CGCCGACCTACCGCTGCCAAGTCCATGGACGATTGCCGTCAAGGCGGCACGCGTCGCTCAACTGCACTTGCACCACAGCCTCGTACAAGAGCCCGAGCAGCCTGCTCTTCGTCGGCTTCTCCGGCTCCTCGCCCAACACGAGTGGCCGCGACGTCACCTCGTCCCGCGGATTGCGCTCCTGCCTCCGCCTGCCTAAATCAAGTCCCTCAACCGAGTACACACAACGAAGAAAGTCCGACAATTTTATTTAGCATAGTTTTATCTATTGTAATAGAGGACCCAATTCAACAACAACAAACTAGCAGCTGGGCTAGTGAAGCACTCGGCAGAGAGAAAGAGGAAGAAGAGAAAGAACCAGAACCGCACACCCGCTGAGGAGTGTGTCCGAGAGCAGTGGAAAGAAGAAGTGAGGCCACGAGTGCTGCTCACGACCCGCCCCGGAATATATTGATATTACGGAGCCTGGCATAGTGAGATCGAGTGGTAAAAACCTTCCACTGGGGAAAGGAAAACAACCATCCTCGTGAGTGGAAATCGCCGCGAGGGCTGGTGAAAACCACTCGGATCCAAGCGTCGGGTGGATCCAACGGCCAAAACCAACGAAGAGTCGAGATCTTCCGAGTTGGCGAACGAACGTGTGGAGTTGCGTTCTTCACATTGATCAAGTTGAGCCGGGAAAGTCGCCCTGCACGGTTTGATTCGCGTCAACCACCCGTAGCACTGCGAAAGCGACGACCATGTTGGTACAATTGTAGGTGCATGTACCTCACCAAGTACTTCACTGTACCGGAGGGCCTCTCGAATGCGCAACGGCGTGTGAGACGGCGATGTAGCCAGAACGGCGGCATCATTGTTGTTTGCCTTTGTTGAGCTACCACAGTGTTTTAGCGTCGATGATTTCATGCTGCTAGACCATTGCATTTCGGGACTGTCTACGTACGGTACCCATGGACAGCCATGGGCGAATCCCACTGCTGGGACGAAGCTCCAGCGCAGTCGTTGATCCCGTCGTTGGTGCATTTTGGCGGCACGCTCGTCGTTGAAGTCGTGGGTGGCGCACGTGGGAAATGCAACGCATCATCATCATGTGAAAAACGTGTGAAATGCACGCCAGCGTGCACAAGTCATGCCGACAATGCAGCCGCCACGACAACCGCCCAGGCTGCGCCATGATGCATGTCATCAAGCTTAACGAGTAGATCGAACTCACTGGAGCGAACTCACTGGAGCGAACCCGGTGCGTGGTCTACATCTCGCGCGACGACGACCTACAAAAGTTGTCCTTCGAAACTCTTGGTCAGTGCGGTTTGTGTTCGGTGCCTTTGTCGCACCTCCACCAGCGTCACGTGCGTGGGGCAGGCTGCTTGTTCGATCGACAGCCACTGTACTCATATTATTGGACCTTCCTTCTCGAGCGTGGCCCCTTCGCTGCTATCCCTTTGGAGAGGGTTGCCCGGCGACGATCGAGTGCTGAGCGCCAGTTTTCGGCATCCATTGCAGCCACCTTTGCGTGTGCAAGCCAGTCACCGGTACGTCCTAGCCAGCCATCAAGGAGTCTGAAATTCAGTCGACGAAAGCTGCGACTGGTAGTGATCTCGTGTGAGTTTGCACTTGGAGCAGGATTTGGCGCGTGTCCAAGAAAATGATTCACACGGTGAGAATTGCAGGTTTGTCACGCTCCGACTCCAACACGCCTTTTGGGATTTACCCCAGGACACTGGGTTTTTCACGTACACGTACTAGCGTTGCACGCCCTAGCCAGCACCGAGTCCGATGCAACCACTGCGACGAGCGTAGCAGCAACGTGGGCATGGTGCGCTGGCGAGCGAAAGCATTATCCGTGTGCCAAGGCTGCTTCTTTTTGTGGAATGTGCGATGGAGTGCAATTTATTTCCTTGGTGTGATGGACGAGTTCGCTCCACTGAGGAAGGGAAATACCTACGTTGCACACTACTTTATCCCGATAAACTGGGACAAAGGAGTGTAAAACGTAGGTATCTCCCACAGCAGATGGCGCCTAATGATGGGCCAAGCGAGCCAGCGAGGTAGAGAGGCTGCGACAGCCGGATGATGCATCGAACGCACTTCAGCATCAAGCAAGGCACGGCCACGAACGATCGCCCACACGCCCACGATGCCCCGGCGCCTCTTCGCCGTCGTTCTAGGTATGTCCTTTCTACACAAGCGGCAATGGATGATGATGTATGGCCACGACTGTACTAGTATGGTGCTGTCTTGGTCTAAGTACCGCCGATACCACGATCTGCTCAGCGCCAACCTGCCGGCTCCTCTCAGGTGAGCTCTGCGCCCGCGCGACTCATGCCTGCCCCATCTGCCTCGTTGCCTTGGGCGCCAACGACACGCGCTGCATCGACGCGCTCAACAGTCTCACGGAAGGCGTCGCCAAGGCCGAGTGTATCCTTGGCACCAAGTGTACGCCGCCGGCGTTGGCACCAGCGCCAACACCGGCCATCGTGCCACTGCGCACCTCGTCCAATGCGACAAGCGGCCCGGCGCTCAACGCCGATGGCCCCAGTGCGTCCGCCGTCGTCCCGTCGTCGGTACCACCGGCCAACAACGCTACGATGATCGTGTTGCCATCATCGACGACGGCGTCGACGGCATCGAATGACGAGGGTCCGTCGTCGTCGCTGAAAAACTACGTTGGCGTCACAGTGTGGGCAACGTTCCTCATTGCAGGAATCCTCTTGGCACGGCGCATGTACCGACAGACGGAAGCGAGCGAAGAGACGCCGCGGCTGAGCGCCGACTCGAAGGACGGCATTGCTATGCTTGACAGCTACCGCCCATCAATGGCCAAGTTTTACAGCACGCGGTCCGATCCCGTGCTCACCCGCGGGCGGCCCCTCGACACATTTCGGGGCTTGAGCCTCCTGAGCCTGTCGTCGACCAACACGATGAACAACAACGGAACACTGCTTGAGCGCGGGTCCAAGCCCGCAGTCGTCAACGTCCCGTTCCATGTCTTTGACGAAGAAGACGAAGCGATTGCGACCATGCGGCGGCCCAACGACACCTTCAACAGCAACGGGACGTTCAACAGCAACCATGATTCCGTCGAAGACGGCGTCTGCTTTGAGAGCATGCGCACGCGCATCTCCAACATGACGATGATTGACGCCAAGCACATCATCTAGTCGAGGCACGCGTCATAAACTATTATTTATACGGCCGATAGATGTAGCCCATGTGTCTGTTTTGTCGAATGCAAACTCGAACCTGAAACGTGCAAACTCGAATCTGAAACGTGCATGCTCGGGTCTAGAAAGTGCAAACTCAGGTGTAGAAAGAGCAAACTCAAGTGCATCTTTGAGAGGAAATGAATGCAGGAAAAAGCATTCGACTTGGTAGCGAAGCGCAACCAAGCTCGTACTATGTGTTAGTTCTACTGGATGGGGAGAGCAGCAACAGTTCTGAGGTGTAAACAAGGCCTACCGAGAAGCCTGGATCCCCGAATGGTTAAAGATACCTGACGTCGATCGGCGGTCAACGATCTCCAAGTGTGCGCGTCTTGGCCTCTTGCAACGCGGTTGATATCGGCCGGCGGCCCACTTGGAACGCGCGTTCCTACACCCACGGTTCTCTTCGAAAGCTACTTTGCCGATGCACGCGTGCAGTAACATCTCCACTCTTGTCAGGACGACTCTATTGGGTTGAGAGAACGTCGACGACGCTGCCACGTCGCCGCCGTGAATGCTCGGAACGTCCATGCCATCGACAGTCCCGCAACGCACCTGGGGACATTGCGTGCGAGGTGCGATATCCTCGGGCATTTCGCAAGCCGACGACACGCCCACGGGGGTTGGTTCCGGCTCGTTTTTTCTGAACGTTTGAAGGCTCCGTCGCAACAACGTACCCGTGTACAAGACTGGCCGTGAATGCTGGCAGCAATCACGACGCGTGCAGATTCAGTTTTGAGCCGACAAAGAGTCGGTGGATATGTCGCTTCCGGTCCACCAAACATTGCAAGCAGCGTTGCACCGTGGCACGACTCTTGCATTCCACGCACACAACATCTTTCAAGGTCCTCGCGGCAACGGAGAATGCGTCCACTGTGCCTGGACTGCAAACGGCTCTGCGGTTCGTTTAGAATGCTAGGTCGTGTACACGCGTGGAACCGACCGCTCTTGAGCGCGCCCAGCGTTATTCGTCATGAGATGTGAATTATGCCATTTGGCCGGCTTCAAACGCACGACCGAACGACCGGCTCTTGTCAAAACAGCGGTTCGGGTCTAGGATCCAACATGTATTATAATCAAAGGACATTGAAGTAGACCATCTGATTTGGATTAGTCGCCGTTACACTGGAAAACGGCGCAAGCTGGTTTCAGGTCTCATTCTCGCACGCCCTATCGCTGGTTCTCCAGTTGACATTTCACTCGGAGTTGGTCATCCCTCATGCTGCAGCGCAGTCGTCTTGTCGGTGTGCTCTTGCTTCTTACGAACGCCGCCACCGACGCCGTGACGCCAACGACGACGACGACACCGTGGCAATGCGTACAACTGCCGCGCGGCTACGGCGCCTTTCGCTACACGACGGGCATTCTAGAGTGCAAGTCGGTGCGTGGCAACTGCCTTGTATCGGCGACGACAGGCCACTGCAATGACACGTTGATGGTTTTGCGCTGCACGGACACCCTTCCCGACTGCGTCGCAGCGGCCAGTATCCTGGCATTCAGTAACAGCACCACTGGGGCGCCGACAAACCGGTCGGGTGTGTCTGTGCCGATCCCAAGCAACACGACGACGCTATTGCCCAACTCAACAATGTTCAGCACGACTCGTGAGCCCACGACACCGGTACCGACAACCGCCGACACGGTCGTGGCCGCTGCCACCGAGCGGTCGTCGTTCGACACCAAGTCGGCAGTTTGCATTGCCGTCATTGCGGCGTCGGCAGTCGTGGCGCTGGCGACGGCAACGTGGAAGGTGCAGCTGTGGCGCCAAGAAGCCCGTCGCGCGGCGCGGACCCCGTTGCCGCAGTTTACTGTGCAGCACGAGAAAACCAACGAAGACAGCCTGGGACCGAACCACGTTGCTCTCCACTCTACACGCATGTGGTGGGAACACCCGACGATCTTGAACAGCGTCTTTTTGAGTGCAAAGTCGAGCAAGTCCAGTCGGCACGGCGGGCTCGACACGCCGTCGTCGTCGTCGCGGCCCCCCGTGCATCTCTAGAAACTCCTATTTTACTAATTTATCATCTCTTCTTTTTTACACGTGTTGTGAAGTCAATGTAGAAGACCAGTAGCCTTCGACTATAGGGTTAGTGCCCGCCGCACTCGAACGCCTGCATGGTCCGCGGAAGGCAACGGCGGGCGGCTCACAATGAGTTGACGCATTGTCGTCTCGATCGCATGCCGGAGTTGCCTTTTGGCGAGAAAGGCCGTCGCCGAAGTCCGCCACAGCTCGACACGAAACACACAAAACTCGTCCAGTTGATCGAGTAGGATCCAGACCGCGCCGCCGAGCGCGAGGCGATAGATGGCGTGTTTGAGCTCCCATGGGAATGGCAGGAGGTAGAGCGATGCCAGCACGACGCATCCGAGCACAAGTCGAAGCCAATTCGAACGGCGCGTGATGGCCCGGAGCCGAGCGGCCGCTGCGCGCTGCACGTCGATCGTCGTCATGTAGTCGTGCCCGTCGCGCTGGAACGCCTCGTGGCTGTACGGCGCCTTGCAGTCGCGGTATACGAGGCTCAGCGTGGTGCCCATTCGTCGTTCTACAGTCAGCTAGTATCTGGTACGCTTGACGCGCGTGTCCTCGGTGCCTGGAGCGTGTCTGCGACGCAATGCTGGCTTTCAAGAGCGCTAAACGGCGGCGGCAACGACGACGCGACGTCGCGCCAATGCATCTGATACGACGCACCAGATTCGATAACGACGCGCTCTCCGCTCAACGCGCCAAGAGGCGTTTCGTGAGGTAGAAAGACGGTGGTAGAACCACGTACGAATGGACACGCTAGCGAAGAATCGAGATGCCAAGCGCTCGCGTGGACTCCGTAGCCGGCAGAGCCAAAGCCACACACAAGGAATCGGGCAAACAACTCACTTCAACAAGAAGGAATCGGGCAACGACCAGCCAGTGTATATGCCCGAACCACTTGTCTGCATCCCTCACTTGCGTGGCACTTGTCGGTGGCTCTCAAGGCACTCGTCACGGTAGTATGACGCCGTTTCAGGCGTCGGCCGAGGCGGTCAGCTGAAAGGCGTGGCGGTGAGGCTGTGGCGGTGGCAATCAATGTATATTCATTTCAAGGAAATTATTGAACCCGCAGCAGCCAACGTCATAAACACGCCCTTGCAGTGGACCACGGCACAAAAGCATTGCATCTCATCATTACCTACGCCTGCTGTTGTCGAGCGAGGTCCTGCGTGCTGCGGCGGTCGTAAGTGCAGAGAGTTCTTGCATTCGGCTTGGTATTGTGCCGGGCACACGCCATGTACCGCGGCCGGGATGGGCGCGATCGGGCAAATGGCATTGATGTGGCCGCACGAGACGAACACCTCGCATCCCGCTTGCACCATTGAAGGCGCAAAGGCGGCGATCGTAGAGTCTATGTAGCCGTCTTCCCACAATGGCCGTGACCGACTGAACAATCACCGAAACGCATGCAAGTACGCTGTCGCATTCGACCCATCATCCGTCCTGCTGCACTCGCGACTGCATGAACACACGTCTTGGCACCCTACACTGTACACTGCTCTCGCCGTCGTCGTTTCCCGCATGACGCTCGCAAACTGTGGCGGACGCAGTAAGTCATCGCGTGCTCCCTTGTGGGCGATAGAAACACTACTGTGCGACCGGACCTGTCACCTTGAGCGCGGGAGTGAAAACCTCTCAAAACGCATACTGCACGACGTATGCAATGCACGCTTGACAGGGACGGCCAATCGGGATGTCGCACAGTCGTAACTTGCGCAGACGACGGGCTCTCGCAGCAGCATCTTTGAAGCCACCATGGGCCGCATACGTGTCATGGTCCTCGGCCTTCTTCTCGCCGCCGTCGCCGGTACGCACGGATGCGACAGCTCGCACCTCACCTCTTGACGACGTAGCGGCCACTGACTGCGCCGTCGCCTGCCTCGGCGTCGCGACCGCCACCGCCGACACGCCGTGCACGTACACCGCAAATGCATCGACGCACGCGCAAACATGCCTGTACATGCCAGCAGCGCAGTGCGCAACGCTACTGCATGGTACGCTGTGTATGGTCCGGCACAACCGTACTACCGCGGGCCTCCTTGGCGAGAACGCCACCAATCTCAACGCGACGACAAGCATCGCGACGCCTGTGTCGACCACCGTGACGCCGCCACCCATCTCGACGCCCGAGTCGTCGTCGTCGACGATCGTCGCCCTCGGTGCCGCCGCCGCCATGCTCGTCGTTATCATCGTTGTCATCGTGCTCTGGTACCGGTGCAAGGTGGCTCAAAAGCAGCAAAGCCACCAGAGCTCGGCCTTTAGCCTCGTGGGGACGACCCGGCGACCGTACCAGCCGACGCTGCACGACACGCTGCGGTCGCCGACGCCCGAGGTCTGGGCGCGCAAGTACTCGCTCTTCGCGTCCGGGCTGAGCAAGGTGCCCAAGAGCTCGAACGCGTCGTACTTGGACACGGTCACGTCGTCGAGCGTCGATCCATGGGTCTTCAAAGAGCACGACTTGAGCTCGTCCAACTGCTCGGACATGCCGCTGTCGCAGAGCGTCGTCATGATGCGGGACACGGCCACGTTCACGCGCGACGACGACGACGGTTTCTTCGATATGACGGGCGTGTACGCGCCGCCCGAGACGACGAATATGCCCCGTTTGTGAGTTTAGTGTTTCTCTCTGTCGTGGACTATCTATTAACTTGTCTTATTTAATGCAACTCGCATACGACGCGGCTCTTGGTCGTACAATATTGTACTAGTAGTACCAATGGACTCCATGACGTGTCTGGAAAGGCCGCACCAGCCTCGACAATAATGTACAAAAGTGCCATCCGTGTGTTGTTCGATCTGCAGAAGCAGCGCATGGATGCGACGGTCGTTCTCGCTGCCTCGATCGATGTACCAAGAATAGCCCAAGAACGAGTTGGAGAGAGAAGAGTCTCGTCAAAGCGTCATGTTCACAGGCGATCGTCTCCGTGCGCGGCGCATCAACGTGGGTGGTTCGTATGCACGGATTTCACACCCATCGTCGTATCGCACGCCTCGACATGTCGTCCAAAGTACTGTACGATGTCATCCACGATCACTATCCATCACTATCTTCAGTCCGCTGTCCGAGACTCATTGCGGTGTTCTCAACATCAAACCGATAAAGGAGAGACGTGAGGGCGAGTGCGCGTAGCCATTGTGCTGTGCTGACCTGCTCTCTCTCCACAACAACTCTGCCTCGCAGTCTGTAGTCTGCCACGCTCGTCGTACTAGTACCGGTTTGACAAGTGCGAGGGCTGGCGTGGCATCTCGCGTCCCATGGCGCCACGTCACGTTTGAAGTGGATTTTTCATCCGGATAAGGCACCACAGCGAGGGCCAGTGCTTTGCCGGCCAGACAAAGTGTGGTGGGTGGCGCCTCTGAGGAAAGGCGGGCCGATGACGCGGCGGTGGTGGGCATTGGCAGGACCGTCGTTTGCTGGGCACAACGACGGCACCGAGCCGGCACCGATCGAACGCGGCGGCTTCGTGGACGTTCCATGCCCTCGTCGTGCGTGCGCTGTCGATGGCGCCGCGCGGCCTATCCGGATAGCCGGTTCTTCGAAATGGTGTCGCAGCAAAGATGATGGCAACCTTGCCCGGCCCGATGCTGCGCACTCCAATGCGGCGAGTCGTCCACCGCGCACCGATCGAGGTCGGCGTGGTCAAGTTGTCCAACAAACTGCAGACAATAATGCATACCACCGATGGCCAGGACGTCGGCCCTCGTCGCCGCGCCGCGGCCCGTGGCATCGGCGTAACAGCCTTTCGCGTAACGCCATCCGTGGACCGACTGGTTGCCACTTTGCCATTGGTGGAATCGGCAAGATACAAGACCCACCACGTCCCGCCACCGGTCCCGATGCAGCTGCCGTGGAGCGTCGTAGTCGTCGTCGTCGTGTGCCACCTCATGGCATCGGTGGGCGCGTTGGCTTGCGGCGTCGTCTGCGCGTCCGTGCCACTCAACGCCACGTGCGCCTCGTGCCAGCCGTGCGCGATCGCATCGGATGCCGCGAACGGCTCGTGGACGTGCCAGCGCCTCCTCCCGCCCGAGTGCCAGTCTCAGCGCACGGCGCGCGTCGTCTGCGACGTCCTTGTGGCCGACGCCGCGCCAAGCGGCAGCAGTGACGAGCCTTCGCATGCGTCGCCGGCGTTTCCGCCACAGGTGCTCTTCTTCATCGTCGCAGGCACCCTCGGGACCATCATGGGGCTGATCACGCTGCACTACCGACGCAAGTACTACCCGCGCAAGAGCCAGCGCCCGCGCCCGCCGCCCATCGAGACGCCCGTGCGGTCGCCGCACGAGCGCAAGCCCGAGCCGATCGCGCTCGATATGACGTCGACGCCCAAGTACATCCCGACGTTTTCGATACTCCAAGACGAACAGGACGAAGTCGCGGGACCGTGGGTCCACCACCATGTCGGCGCGACGCACGGCCCCAACGGCGTCTGGTCGTCGTCGTCGGTCGACACTATCTCAAGCGTCAACAACGACCCGTGGCTCTTCTTACGCACGGAGCGGGCGTCCGAGGTGCAACTGCATCGGAGCACCGAGACGGGCAGCGAGCGCACGCCGTCGAGCAATCTCACCAGTAGCTACGTCGACCGCATGGTGAGCCCTCTCGGCGCGAAGTCGCGCTCGAAAGATAGTTTCTACATCTAATAGTCGCGTCGTCGACATCCTATTTAACCACCCACAACGTCTTTTGCGTACTGCGCTATACTGCATCGCTCTCTGCGTTGGGATGGGCGGACAGTGCAACGGACCTCGCTTCAAGCAGGTAGCGGCACAGACACACACGGTAAAAGAAACGATCTAGTTGATAGGAATTGTCATTGTACTGCATATCATCCTTCGTTGTCCACGTAGAAACGTGCACACAACGACGAATCGTGGCAGCAATATGCACTAATCTTTTCACTAAATGATGCAAGATTGACTGGTCGCGTTCACTCGCTTCGTCTGGACGCCTCGCTTAAAAAGGGGCAAAAGGGCTACAACAAGCTTGAGACATTGAAGGAGGTTCCTCCGTGGAGGCGCCTAGAACTCTAGTAATACCATCAACTTCAATACAGTAATATCAAGTCGAGCGATAAGTCTTGCCTCGGCGCTGTGCATTCTGTTGCTCCACGTCAAGGGTCATAAAAATGGCCCGCTGACAAGAAAGAGTCGTTGGCTACCATCCATTTGATGGGCATCGACGCGTCATGCCGAGCAAACGACAGCGCAACACCACAAGGCAGGTGGATTACATTATTCGAGTGTATAAATTACAAGTTTATACAGCAGTTTTCGGTGTTGCGACCAACGTGGCGATCGCATGTATCCAGAGAGAACGCGTCGAACGAGAGGCGTAGAGGTGATCCAATCGGCTCTGCGATTGCATTTGGAGGCACATTTCAAGCGGGTCCGTGCCCCACGCATCCGCTGCGTACACCCACCGCAAATGCACCGCCGCCTCGAAAATGACGATGTCCGAGCCGTCACGCTGTTGTGGCTCTTTCTCGTGCTCCTCGGTTGCATCGTGTTGGCCAAAGCCATTCTCGTCTGCCTCCACGCGGCCAAGTCAAACCAACTGGCCAAGCCTTCTGCCAAGACCGCCGTGTACATTGATCCGACGACGCTGCAGAGCATCGTGTACATCGTGGCCTTGTCGCCGGTGCACGAACGAAGCAGCGAAAGCGCGGCGTTCAGCACCACGGGACGTATTTCCAACTTTGGCGGCGGCCCCTTGGACGACGCGGACGTCGAATGGAGCATCACCGACCCCACGCACAGTCGCGCGTAGATGTCGTTTGTACTCGTATACATTAGTTGTTTCTTTGGTATATATATGCGTTCATTTACGATCAAGACTCACAAATATGACAGCAGTGAGATAACGCAAAAAACGAGCTTGGAATCCCTAACCTCCTCGACGCATTCAACTCCATCTGCGTGGCCTTATCGCCATCATGTACGTTGTGGTACCTCTGTCTTCTTACTGCTACATGTACGTGCTCTGTGTGTATAGGTAGCTACTACAAAGCCATCACTGCAGCTCGAACGTGTTGCGAGATCTCGCAGCAGCGTCGTTGTGCAGCTATCATCGGTCTATCTCGACTACGGGGTCGAGGGACGGGGCCCATACTACACTTTATACGCTTATTTATCCTTGTTGAGCTCTGAACGATGTTACGACATGGTCAAAATAACTTATGAGTTCTCGGTGGCGCTGTCGAATGAGCTATATAACGTTGGAGAGACCAGTGTCTATGGAATACATTTCGAAGCCCCTTTGCAGCACTCAACATTCAAGTAGCACTCGATCAGCCACTACGATGTACTCTGGGTCGGTGCGACATCTTGACCATGGTAGACTACACCAAGTGCACACTTCTGCCCTTTGTAGACCCTGCAGCAGCTTGAACTTGCAGCTCGTACTGACGTGGCGGGCTGACTGCGCTCTCCATGTAGAGTGCTGGTCATTACAATTCCTTGGTCCACGAGAATTATAATTAATTTACATAAACTATCCACTTCTTTGTATTTTCATTCGATTAATTAGTTTTAAAATACACTGAAATGTACCGTCACTCTTGGACCAGGGCATTGAAGTTGGCTCCAACTTGTTGACATTTGATTGGCGATTACTCATCTTTATTCATCCAATCACCACCTGGATTAAATTTGCGATCTGCAAGCCCTGCGATGCTTCGCTGCTTCTCGACCCTCGTCCTCGTCCTCGCCGCCGTCGCCGCCGCCAAGCCGTGCACAGCGCCGTGCGACTTTCCGCAAGACTGCGGCCTCCATGAATGGTGCGATCCGCAGACCAAGTGCTGCGAAGTTGGCGCTGTGCGTTGCGACCCTGTGTGCCCGGCAGGCTGGCGCTGCATCTCGTACGGTCTGTGTGTGCCTGCGACGGCCGTAATGGACAACGGTAAAGCGAACGGTGTGTAGTAGACCACGCCTTGGACCTTTTGTAATGCGACTACAATGGCTCGACGCATGCGTGTCATGGCTGTTCCTTGCATAGCTCGCGGCAGAAGCGCAACCTTGGTTTTAATTGCTTAGACGAGGCACGATAGATGAGCACGATGTTCGACTCAGATACAGGAACATGCGTGGGCCGCCTCTAGCAAGACGCATGCTTCGATGACGCGAGGTAGAAGATGCGCCAAAGCCAGCTGGAGCAGGTCCATTAGGCTTGCAAGCACTGCAGTACCCGAGTCATTCTCTGATTTTTAACAATGGTGCGACGTACCACAGCTCTTGCCCTTGGCTGCCTCGCTGGTTGGTGGCAAGTTCAGCTATCTTCAGCAACTCATGCGGCGATGTAGGCCTTGCGATGGCCGACGATGCGATTTGCGCCGTGAAGGAATGCACCGTCATCACGACAGGAAAGCTCTGCAACCGTCTCACGGACGACTGCCCGACGTGTCTGAGTCAGCTCATGGGCGGCAAGACAGCCCGTTGTACGAACGCTACCTTTGACGGATGCCAAGGCGGGACCGTGTGCTCGAGCATCACCACGCTGCCACCGACGCCGACGGCATCGACGGCGCCGCCCAATGCGACGACGCCCGTGGTGACGGTACCCGGTGACACGAAGCCGTCGCCCACACCGACGACGAGCTCGTCGAAACCGACGACGACCTTGCCCAAGACGACGGCGCCAGTGTCATCGGCAACGACGACCTGGTGCACTTTTGCAACAACGGCTCTTGTCGTCGTCGTCGCGGTTGCGTTGGGTGTCTAAGATACGATGGACGGTGTAGAAAGCAATGTCAACCAATGTACAGTACAGTGTTTTCAATGTCGTACGTACTAGTAACAGTTGTTTCATCGCGCTAGAGGAAGATGGTAAAGGAGACGTGAACAACGGTAGAGGTGTAGAGATAGCAGCGCGTCAGGCGCGTACCGGTACGATAGCGGAGCACGTGCGCCACGTCGTGTGTATCTGTGGCAGATACAAACTACTCGAATTCATTGCCGTGAGCACATACCTTGAGCACATGTGTGCGATCTTGCGGCTGCTTCGAGTCAGATTGCCCTTCGAAAAAACGGCTCTGTCTCGCCTTTCGCGTCCAAACCTGTCACAACACATACCCCATCCTTTAAAACCTATATGGACATACCTCACAGGAACCGCTTCGGTTTCGCCGCACCTCGTATTGGAAGTGGTCCAGCCACAATCTATCCACCGCTCCGGCATTTCAGGCTTGAATGGTATCGATGCCAACTCTGGGCGCTGCCGATGTTGGCTAGCACCTTCGTGCTGCGCATACTAGCATCCAGTCCGGTCTAACTGTGTGTTCTTATATCCTGTAACAATCGATACCCTGTAGCAAGAAATGTGTTGAAGACCGGTCGCTTGCACCGTGCTGCGGCCGCGTGGTCCGGTTGTGATTACATAGCTGCGCGCCAATCTCGCGCAGTGCAGTTCCACCCACCTATTAGCGGCCATGGACCGAACGCGAGCACTTGCGGCGACAAGCGTTCTTCTAACACTACTGGCCCGCGCCGGTGCGGCTTGCTTCAACGTCACACTCCTCGTTTGCTCATAAACGTGCCCGTAGCTGCCGCGACGATGGACGCGCTGGACCCGCTCTGCAGCGCGCCGACGTGCGTGCAGTCGCTTCTGGACGCGCCGTGCGTGCGCGGCTCGGCGGCATGCTACGACTACAACTGCGTGTACATACAAAAGAAGATTGTCTATTGCACCAACCCCACCTTTGGCGGGTGCCAAAACGGCGTCATTTGCCCCAAGAACGTGTCGACGCCAGTGCCGACCTCGAACGCCCCGTCGCCAACGACCAGCTTGACGCCGCCTCCGACAACAGTCCCGACGCCCGACCCGACGACTTTCAAGCCCATGGACGACGCCCGCACGTCCAGCAACCACACGACGAGCATCATCCTGGGCGTCCTCTTGGGCCTTGTCAGTATTGGAGCGCTCGTTGTCTACATGTGCATTCGGAAGCGGCGCGAACGCGAAGAAGCCGAAGACACGGATATCGAGATCACGTCGTATCGCCACCGAGAGCCCCGCCCGGCGCCGCCGACGCAGCGCCATTTCATCCTCGCGTCGTCCGCGCAGCAGCCGTCGAGTATGCTCGACTCGGTCGCGAGCAAGTCGATGTTCAACACGACAGGGCGGCAGTCCAACCACGATTTGATGTCGCAAAAGTCCGATTGGTGGCAGCACTCGACACCAAGCAACCCGTCGGCGACGCAGTACGACACACGAGGCGGCGCCGAGCCGAGCCTGTGCCACATCCTCGAGGAGCGCAAGACCGAGCCGCATCTCGCACGCTAGCCCTTCTGCAATGCAATTTAACTTAGTCAAAGAGAGGTCGTACTTGAGTATTGTACAAGGAGGTATTGCGGCATGAACAACGGTCGCTTGTTTGGACCCGCTAGGCAGCTCGGTCCTCGAGGCTTTCGAATTGACGCGTACGTCTGGCGTGTGCTGGTAGAGGCGCTGTGAAATATCGAACGGTTCGAAATTCTATTTATAGCATGTACTAGAAAGGCCGACTTGCTACGCCGTGACCGTCGCAGGCGCGTCGTAGTAGCGGTGGCACTGGTCCTCGAGGATCTTCTTGGTCTCGGACAAGATGAAGACGGCGCCAATGAGACGGATGCCGCGCGGGATCGTGCCCTTGTACATGGAACGAATCCCGCCTTGGGCCCAGAGCCGACGCGTCTCGCCCACGAGACCCAGCGCGTTCTTGTCGAGCGCGTTGCCTTGCATGATCGTCTTGACCGTGTCCACGGGCTGCGTGGCGAGGACCGCGATGAGCCCGGCGCCAATGCTGCCACCCATGGCAGCAGCGCCCCGTTGCGAGAGCGATGCAGTCGCGGCATCGCCAAACGTCTCGGGAAAGTGTGCGTGGAGCTTCTCGCCGAGGACGGGGCCAAGCGCGAGGTAGCTCGCGCACCAGATCATTTCGCGAAGGCACGTGTACGGCAGCCCGCGGTAGAGCCGTCCGACGCCGTGTGCCGCTGTCACGTCTTGAATGGTGCGCTGCACGCCGTGGCCCGTGTGCTGCTGCAGCGTCATGACGAGCTCGGCCGGCGAGCTCAGTAGCGACGAGCAAACGCCGGCCGTCGCTGCCGTGAGGATGCGCGAGCCCTCGGACGACGGCACGTCCGCCGAGCGAAGCGACGTCGTTAGAACGCCGTCGACGGCAAACTGCACGGCCGAGACAGGCGCAATGGACGCACACATGACGCCGACGCCGCGGTACATGACGAGCGGGTGGAAGGACATGGGCCGGCTTTGCTGGACACAGTTCTTGATGTACATCATCGGCTGCTGCACGCAGACTTCAAACATGCCCGCGACAGAGCCAACGGCAGCGTACTGCAGGCCCGAGAGCGGCGCGCGCATCGCGGTGGCCGGCGAGGTGGGTGTCGACTCGGCCATGGTCGGTGAAGCACAAGAATGATCGGCCCAGTGGCGCAACTTGAAGGCGGGCCAGGGCTGTCTTCAATGCTACGACTTTATTCCATCTTGGTATTTGTATTGTCATTGCTCGAATTAAAAAACCAAGCGATGCCATTGGTCAAAATACGCGCTGCAATTTGTAAGCAAGTGGCAGCGCCCGTTTTGATTGGTCAAATATCGTCACGGTTCTTGATTGGCTAAAATGAGGTGTGCAATTATATACACCATGTAAAACCAAGCGCCATGTTTGTAGGGATGACCATTATATTACAATCAAAGCGCTGGGATTGGCTTAATTTCGGATGCGATCCAAAGCCAAAGCGGAGGATTGCGCAAAGCTCGAACAGCCATGACGCGCACGGAACGACGCCCGCTCAGTGGTGTCGACCACGCGCTCATCGGGTCCATCGCGGGCATGACCGAGGTCCTCATCCAGCAGCCCACAGTCTACATCAAGAACACGCTCCAGGTATGACTGTCGATACCTTTGCCGCCACGCTAATGGCCTCGCCGTGCAGCAAAGCCAACCGCTCGTCTTTCGGCCCAGCGTCATGTACCGTGGCGTCGGCATCAATTGCCTCTCGATCGCGCCCATTTGCGCTGTTCAATTTGCTGCCAACGGCGTGCTCGGAAAGCTCGTCGCCCCCGACGACGCACTCGGGCGCATCGGAACCGCCATGATCGCTGGCGGCCTCTCGTCGCTCCTGAGCTCGCCGGCCGAGCTCGTCATGACGCTCCAGCAGCGCACGGGGCAGCCTCTTGGCGCGACCGTCCGATCGGTCGTGGAAACCCATGGCGTGACGCGGCTGTACCGAGGCCTGCCACTCACCGCGTTCCGCGAAGCCTCGTGGTGCGCCTGCTACCTCGCGCTCGGGCCTGTCGTCTCGTCGACACTCCACGACACGTTTCCGTCCATCTTTGGCGACAAGGAGACGGCATCTACAGCGCAAAAGACGTGGGCGGCCATGGGCGGTAGCATCGCCGCCGGCCTTGTCGCTGTGATGGCGAGCCAGCCCGTCGACACGTTCAAGACGATCGCACAAGGAAATGCGATGGAGGCCAACACGACATCTATGACCAAGCATGCGTCACAGCTCTGGCGCGACGGCGGCCTTGGCTTATACTACAAGGGCACTGTACCGCGCGGTCTGCGCTTGATTGGCGCCGTCTTCATCATGTCGAACACGAAGGAGGTCTTGGAAGACCATTTTAGCGCCATCTAGATACTAATACGTCTTGTGTCATCGTCTTTGCTGTGGAAGACACGTTGCTGCTCCATTGAATCGATGTGCCACCAGGAATCTGCGCATGGATCGTTCTTTGCGAAATGGCATCGAGCGCCGTGGGACGTCCATACGAAGGTGGGTGGAGGATAGCCATTCCAAACCCTCGCCATTTAGTGTGCACTTCAAATATGCCTCGTCTGTGTACGAGGGCTCTGGTCCATGGACATGTTCAATTCATGCTGGCACTGGTCCACGCGTCTGATGGTCACTTGTTGCCTGACGATCAATACCGTCGCTTCGCCCATCGGCGCGTGCGGCATGTTCGGGGCCGGTGTCGAGGTGGTAGGCATCTCGTAGAGTCCTAGTAGCCTTGAACTGTGTTGCTATTCAGCACTATCAAAGAGCTGTGTGCGTGTTGAAGGGGATCAATTCCTCGAGCTGCCAGGAAGCGGGTGCGAGGAACGTTCTCCAGGAGTGCGTGTCGTGATGGATCTGACCAAAGGTCGGGTGATGGTCGATCGCGCCATTGGCACAACGGCCTGATCCATCATTTGACTACTCGATGCCTCGACCCAGCATGCGCGAGAAGACCCGTGCACGCTTGGGAGCCCACATTGTGGCACTGTCGGAGAATGACACGGCGGCCATCTTTGGCGACTCGCTCACGGAGCGCCTCCAGTGGCAGCACCCGACCTTGGCACCGCCGTCGACGTGGCTCTGTGGCGTCGGCGGCGACCGCATCTCGCAGCTCGCGTGGCGCGTGGCGAACGACGAAGGCAGCGGATACACGCAAGCGGCATTGGTGCCAGCGCGCCTCCAGCAGATTGCAGTCTTGATCGGCTCCAACGACGTGGGCCGTGGCGACGGCTCGACGCCGCGCGAGCAAAAAAAGCTCGCAGGTATGGTCCAACACGTGGCAGCCATTGTGGCCGCGCTCCGTGACCGATGGCCCGATGCCCATTTGCATGTGCTGCCGATCCCACCGATCCCGACACGCGGCCAGCACGAGCGGTCCCCGGCGTTCCGAGGAGCCTACTTGGCCATGCTGCGCGAGCAAGGTCTGCTGACAACTGCGGTCGACTGGCCACCGATGGACCTCGAGAATGATTTCGAAGACGGTGTGCACCTCTCGGCGTCTGGCTACCAAGTCTTCTTGTCCCTACTCGCGTCGCTTTCGATTCCCGTACTACCGGCGACTTGATAGCGAGACGAGTATAAGACATCGTGATATCATTTTGGCAATCGTTGAGATCCAGTTGATGGCGTCAGTAGCTGCCGACACTTGATGGCCGGCGACACCATGGACCCTTGCATTATGAACCTGGCCAACACTGCAATATAGAGTTGGATCTTTACTCCTGCAAATGGACGCTGTCCTGATACATTGAAAATTTTTCATGCCGACAAGAACGCTGCAACGCCCCAGTCGAGAAGACAATAACGTCGCCTGTTCTCGTCACGAGTTGGGTGCTCGGACTAGCGAGCGTTTGTTTAAAGCACTCGTGTATATGAGTACATCATCATGAGAAGTGGTTGGTAAGACCTTTCCGGCCATTTCCAGTTGAAGCATTGCGACTAGTACCTTGGCGCCATTCCTGGGCGTTTCCATGATGCCCAAACACTGCCGTCTTTGGATCCTCACATTGGATTTCCCGATCTCCTGCGCTCATGAAGACCACTTGCTTGATCACGATGCTCGGCGCGCTCGCTGGCGCTGCGGCGAACCCTGCTCCTTCCGGCCCCACTGCACCGGATTCGCCCGTGATGAAGGAGACGACACCACCGGACGTGCCGACGGAACACGCTGACCAGGAATGGCGTGGTGGCTGGGGCCATGGTCGCTGGGGCCATGGTCGCTGGGGTCATGGTCGCTGGGGCCATGGTGGCTGGGGTCCTCGCTGGGGTCCTACCTGGGGTCCTCGCTGGGGTCCTACCTGGCGCTGCGGCCCGTACGGTTGCGGGTGGTGGTAAATTGTACTGCACTTGGGATAAGCTCTCCAGCTAACACGACCCCGACGTTCGCTCGATGTAGTGTGTTTTGAGTTGTGTCTTCAGATTTGTAAACCAGTAGAAAGTCGACAAGTCGGTCGAAAGTCATGCGACATGTCGAAACGGTCGTCCATTTGTACGTGGCGACCACATGGGCTCCAATCCCGTTTCCAGCAATCGTTGAGGAGATGCATGTGAGTGATCATACTTACCTGGCTGGAGCTCGACCCTGATCAACTCGGGGGTTGACTTGGGCCGGAGCAGGCCTTCATGCACTCCGGTGCTGTAATGGTCTAGGAGTGCCTTCGGGTTCCTCCACAGCGCAATTTTTGCCAGCGGGGGTGTGCGCGTGCGCCACCCCACCCCAACTCCGCTAACTCATATCAACCTATCAACCCACCGAATACACAATCCACGTTATGACAATGTGTATGCACAGCTACGATGTACAGACGTCGGTGTTCGAACCGTCGTCGGTGCCGTCGAGAAGGAATAGCGTTGCAATTGCCAGGTTGATGTAATGTGGCAGATGCCATTTTTAACACGCAGCCGGCGACAGCGCGGCATGCGATTGGTCCAAGCCTGCAAAAAACACGACGACCATTCTTGAGGTGCTTGGATTCGGCACGATGGATTCGGCACGAGCCTGCTGCGACCGTCGTCCCCGCAGCGACCCCGACACCATGCTGGCTGTGCGCATTGGTGGGCTTCCACCACAGTCGTCTTGTGATGATGCTACTCTGCCTCTCCTCGCGATAGGCTCGGTGCACGCACCGGGGCTTCGCATGGCTTGTGAGAGGTTTTTAAAAGCGGCATATGCCATATTTAGTGGCGTGTGACTGCGATCTTGGTCGAAGAACGCCAACACGCAGGATGGCAGCAGCAAGTCGCCGCCCATCCCGGCCCGTGGCCGCGCAAGGATCATCGGAGCTCGAGCTCATCCGCACGATCCTCGGCGAGGAGGTTCCGACGAACGTGCTCCTCTCGTGCCTCCATGCGGCGTCGAACGACGTGTCGACCGCCGTCAACCTCTACTTTGCGCAGGCGACGCCGACCGAGGCCATCGACCCCACCAAGAGCATCCGCTCGTCGATGCCACTGACGCTGCACCCGTTCGATGCACCTGGCATGCTGAGCACGCTCAACGGCTCGGCGACGCTGACGACGGGCGCGGTCGACGCCATCACGACGCTCAACGAGCGCTTCCGCGTGCTGCGGTTCCGGAAGCGCGGCAGCCCGGGCACGGACGTGCTCCTGCGCAACGGCGACATTGTCTCCCTCGAGTGCAACGGCCTCTGGCTCAGCGCGCGTAAGAACAATGCGCTCCAGTGGCGGCCGGTATGCCATCATGACGCTGCACCCTCCTCGAACCTCGTCGTCGATCTACTAGGTGAGCGACACGGACGACCGCAACAAGTTTGTCGTGCGTGGCCTCGGCCTCGGCGCCGTCATGAGCATCGGCGAGCCCTTCTTCCTCACGAGCTACCGCTGGAAGGACCGCGAGATCTGCATTCGGCACGTCCAGAGCATTGGCCTCTCGCTGAACCTGCCATGGAACAAGCCAGCCGCGGTCGCCACGAACGAGGTCGCGACGCCGCTCAACAACGTCCACCGCTGCTTCCTCGGCCTCACGCGCCCGACCGAGTACGACGACGGTATCGCCATCTGCCTCGTTTCTTATCGAATATGATGTAGCGGCCACTGGCGCCTCTACTTTCGCCCGGCGCTGACAGCCAAGGCTGCGCTCGCCCTCGCAAAGACGACTGCGATCCCTGCGCCGCTCAACATTCGCGTCAACAAGGCACGGCCGCCACGTCTCTCGCGCGTCAACGAAGACGACGACGACGCGAGCTCGCTCTTTGGCTCGGCCCGCACGTCCGTGTCGGTGGACGAGCTCACGCAGCGCGAGGCCAAGCTCGATCAGATGCAAATTGTCGTCGGAACGCAGTCGACGCGCGACCAGCTCCTGCCGTACCTCGACGGCGCCGGTACGACCTGCCTCGTCCCTTGCTGCATTGATACATTGATACAGGCGGCAATGTGCAAATTGCACTGGAGCACTACTTTATGAACATGACGGAGCGCAAACGCACGCGGCCGGACAGCCGCATGCTTCTCGCGATGCCCCACGAGCCCCTGTATCGTCCGGTAGGATCATCGTTTGTTGATAGAAAAGAGTCGACAACAATATTGTCATGTAGGGTGCCCACCTCGCACCGGCGGCCAGCGTCCCGATGGCCACTGCACCGCCGCCGGCGCCGATGCAAGCCGTGCCGCGCCAAGGTAGACGGGTGCAATCGAGGAAGAGGGTTCATGTAGAAAGTAGATTCTGGGATGTTTCTACCGCCGCCCACACCGCTCGGCGACGCAGGCGACCGTAGGCTTCGTCAACGATCGAGGTGGCACTCATGGCGGAGAGCTAGGTCCGCCGGCGCCGACCGTGATTTCCCACAAATCGCTGACAATCGAGGACTTTGAGATGCTCCAAGTGCTTGGTCGCGGAAGCTTTGGCGCGGTACGACCCCTTCTTTCCCATGGCACACAAGACAACGAGCATGGCGCAGGTGATGATGGTGCGCTACAAGCAAGACGGGCGTATTTTCGCCATCAAAATTCTGAAAAAGTCGACCATGGACACGGTCGACATGCAGAATGCGATGGAAGAGCGCCAGATCCTCCAGCGTCTCCACCACCCGTACGTCTCGTCGCTCATCTTTGCCTTCCAGACCAACGAACGGCTTTACCTCGGTTGATTTCTCTATCTACGTTGACAATGTTCAATATGTCTTATACTAGGCATGAAGTACTATGCGGCCGGCGACTGTTTTACCACCTCAACGAGAAAGGCGGCGGCCTCGACCTCCAGAGCGCGCGCTTGTACGCGGCCGAGCTCGTGCTCGCGATTTCGTATCTGCACTCGCTCAACATTTTGTATCGGGACCTCAAGGTATCAACGTATCAAGTGGCGCGCCATGAACCACTTGTCTCGTAGCCGTCGAACGTCATGATTGACGACGAAGGACACATTGGTGTAGTGGATTTTGGCTTGTCCAAGCAGCACATTTACGGCACCAACCACGGCGTCAAGACGCTCTCGGGCACCGGTGCGCCGCTCTCTCTCTATCAAGGTATCAACTGCGACATGTCTAGCCGAGTACGTGGCGCCCGAAGCGCTCGTCCAGACCGCCGACGGGTCGCGCGATTATGGCAAGTCGTACGACTGGTGGAGCTTTGGCATCGTCTTTGTACGAATCCGGCGTTGTGGGATGGACAATATTGTCTTATATGGCACGTAGTATGAGATGCTCGTGGGCGTCTCGCCCTTCTACCACGAGAACGAGCGCATCATGCTCCAGCGCATCGTGAGCGAAGACGTGCAGTTCCCACCCCATTTTCCCAAAGACGCGACGTCGCTCGTTCTCGGTAGCTGGGTCTTCGTCCTCCTCCAACGACGACGGATTGTCTAGGGCTCTTGAACCGCGACCCGAACGCGCGCTTTGGCGTCGAGAAGATCAAGGCCCACCCGTTCTTTCGCGACGTCAACTGGACCAAGCTCGCGGCGCGCCAAGTTCCCGCGTTCTGGCGCCCGCACCTCGTACATGACTGCTCTCGTAGTACAGGATGTCGACTAAAGTATCTCTGACTAGTCGAGCGAGACGGACACGCGGTACGTGGACCCGGAGTTTACGCGCGAGGGCCCGCCGTCGGCCGTCCACGACGTCGCGAGCACCAAGACCAAGTGGAGCCGGCGCTTTAGTCAGTTTTCGTTCGACTTGAAAAATTGAAACACGCTTAGGTCAAACATGTCTCTCTTTTCGGTTGTGAAACACGACTTTTGGCACCTTGAAGCAGTAGTGTACACCGACCGGCTGAAGGGAATAACTACATTCTTCGCTTTCGTTAGCCGGCAGCGCGATCGAGAGGCATCGATCACATGTCCCTCCGTGCTGCCCAAAAGTGTGTTCCGTCACCGCCTTCTTCGACGTGTCGGAGGAGCCCAGAGTTTGGTCCGCTCCATTGATCGTCGAGGACTCGCGACGCTTGAGAGAGCATGTCGTTGTCGCCTCAACGGGGCTGTGAGCCCACTGACGCCCGCCACGGCCCAGCGAACGAGCGAGTGGAGAAAAAGACGAAGTTTGGAGATTGCTACATGATAGTACCCTCTTGCGTCCACCACAACGAGAGCGCGTTGGATCAAGATATTGGTATCGTCATCATTAACCGTGTCACCAACCGTGTCACCAACCGTGTCAACCTTTCTCGCCGGCACCAACCGGTCGGTCGCAACCGCCGCGTCTTATCGGACGTTTCAGTCTCATGGGTGCCGGCGACTTCGCCTGCACGAGCAACACGACGGCGACGTGGACGTCGTTCCCACTGCCGTCGCCGCCGTCGCTCGCCCACGTCTCGGTCGCGTGTCAACGGCTCTGCGATTCGTTTCTGGCGCTGCAGGCGCCAACGCCGGCGACCCGCCTCGTCGCGGTGCAATGCGACGGTGTCCTCACCGGCTCGGCGTTCATTGTGCGCGAGTCGGTGGCCGACTGCCTCGCGCTCTGCAACGGCCTTCGCGTCTTCGAGCTCGCGACCGACGACGCATCGTCGGTCGCGACCATGTCGACGGCCAAGTCGCTTCTCGCCGGTGCGGTCGCGCTCACGGTCTGCTGCGGGCTTGCGTTTGGCCTCTACAAGACGTACCGAGTTCTGCGCGCCCGGCGGCTCGTGGCGTCGCTGCAGACGTTCTCGCGCCAGTTCAAGCGCATGGATTCCATGGTGCAGGCGCTATCGTGGCACCGAAGAGGCTCTCGCCTCGACATGGACGTCCAGACGCTGCGATGGGAGCACGACGTCGCCAAGTGGGTGCGGGCGAACGCCGAAGTCGCCTTCTACAACAACCAAGTGGCTGCGTTTGCAAGCACCAAAGACGCGTTTCTGAGCGACCTCTACCACCGCCTTGATAGCATGGTCGACGACGAGGGCGGAGTCGCGTCGTTCACGTCGGTGCTGCCGGCGTACCAGGCGCAAATCCGCCTCCTCTTGGACGAGTGCGACGCCAACGACAACCGCATGCGCGACCACGTCGACGGTGCGTGGCGCCGGCGCCTCGACGGCGCGCCGCAGTTGATCGACGCGCCGATCGTGCTGCAAATGCAGACGGACGAGCGCCGCGTGCTCGAAGATGCGCTGGCGTACCAACGCAGCCGGCTCTTGGCGGAAATCGAGCTCACGTGGACGCCGTCAACGACGCCGATGCGCAAGATGGTCGAGATGCAAGGTTGCGTCCAGCTCGCGGAGCTTGTGACGACGTATGCAAGGACGTGGGCGGCCTTCAACGAAAGCGTCTTGCGGGACACGGACCTCCACGTGCGTCGGCTGCACGAGGCGATCCGCGACGGGAACGCCCGGTCGTTCATGGAAGCCATCTGGAACGATCTCACGACGCTCGCACCGAGCGACGACGACCACGCGACGGTTGACGCCGACGGAAAACCGCCACTGCGGGCGGTCGGTGACGCGGCCAGGGGTGCTAGCATGGACCCGGACGCAATCGACGCACTTGTAGAGTCGCAGGCCGCCGCGCTCTCAGCCGAGTACGAGGCGCAGCTCGCATCGCTTGCTGCCGCCCAGGACGCCGAGCTTCTCGCACTGCGTTCGCAGATGGAGAAAGCAACGACCCACCGAGTCGTGGATGTGCTGCGTGCCACAACGCACGCCTCGTCGCTGGCCGATAAAGTCCGCGGCCACGAAGCGGCCTGCGTCAAAGAGCGGGCCAACGCGCAACGCGTGGCCGAGATGGCGGCGGCGCAGGCGGCGGCGGCGAAGCGCCGGCTCGCGCTCCAGCAACAGCGCGACCTCGACGCGCTCAAAGCCGCCAACGAGGCCGAGACGCAGAAGCTCAACGAGGAGCTCGCAACCGAGCAGGCGACGCATCAAGCGCGGCTGCTCGCGCGCGTCCACCCGGTCGACGCCATCGAAGTCGAATCAAGCGACGCCGTTTTGGCGCTCCAAGAAGAACGCGCCGAGCTGGAGAGAGCGCAAGTCGCGCTTCTCGCCGAGGTGACGCAGGCCAGCGAGAACGAGGCCGCGCTAAAAGCACTGCACGAGGGGCATGCCCGCGAGGCTGCCCGCGTCGCCACCGAGTTGGAGGCCGAGAGGGCCGCACATCAAGCCCGGCTGGACGCCCGTCTCGCGCAGCGCCGGCGACGGTCTCACACGCACGACGACGAGTCGCCGCCACCGGTCCTTGCAGCGCTCGAGCGAGAGCATACCGAGCTGCAGGCGCAGATGGCGTCGGACGCCGATGCGCTCAATGCAGCCGCGGCCGCCAAGGCGCGCCTCGAAGCCATGCAAGCAGAAAACGCGGCCGACCGTGCTCGCTTGGACATCGAATTGCGGCGAGAACAAGCAGCGCATGACGCTCGGTTGCAGGCGCGGCTACAAAAGAGACATGCGAAAAACGACTCGGCGCCGACACCCGCGGCCATCGACGACCACAGTGCGACCGTGGCCGCGCTCCTCGCCACCAGCGACGTGGACCGCGCGCGGCTCGCGCAATTGGCGGCCGACGAGAGCGAGTCCAAGCACGCGCAGCTCATGGCGCGGCTCGAGGAGAAGAAGCGGCGGCGGAGCCTCGTGGCGTCCGAGAACCAGCGGCTCGCCAAGAAGCTGGCCGACGTCGAGCAGCGGAAACAAGCGCTGCGGCTGGCCGAAGACGCGCTCGCGAAGCAAGCCCAAGCGAGTGCGATCGACGCGATGGCGGCCGAAGCCGCGTATGCGAAGTTTATGGCGTCGCGCCCAAAGGCGGCGGCGGTGTCGTTTGAGAAGGTGCTCGCCGACCTCGTGGCCCACGAAGACGACGACGTGACGCTCGAGCAAATCCAAATTGTCGAAGCCTTCGGCAAAGTGCTCGAGGCGCGCTACAAGGCGCGGACGGCCAAGAAGAAGACGGCGCACGGAGGCAAGATCATGGTTGAACGATGACGCGTACTGTCTCGTCGAGCTGGTTTGCGTCGGTGCCCTGGACGTTCTGTACATAACAACTGCAAATCCACGTCGTCGGATGCAATTGGAAAATCCGGTAGCAAAAGGAGCGAACGGATTGCCCGTACGTTCCCTTTCCTGTCGCCCTGGAGAGCCGTTGGAGTGCCGGCTCTTGGTGCCAACCCACCGTCGCTTGAGCCTTCGCATCGCGCATTTGTCTGCCATTTGGAACCTCGCTCATCTATTTTCTACCGGGCTCGGCTCCTTGGTGCGGATGCGAGCTGGAGAACGCGGTTAGGGTCGACGGTTGCCACCGCCAACAGCACTCCGGTGGAGAGCAACGGCGTCGTGAGCTGTGCATTGCGGAGTGTACCGCCGTCCGCATTGTCGCTCCATGGTGCCCACCTGCCAACCTGCGAAAGCAGCGACTCTGCGTGCACTAGAGATGCAACGCGGAGGTTGACGAGACCATCCACGACCCGTTCTTCCGATGGGACGCCTGGTGACTGCCTCCATCCATATCCATATCGGCGCCTGTTGTTGAGCGCTGCGGCTGCTGTCGCTGTGTACATCGCTCCCCAGCGACTGGACCGGGCCTAGCCACCGGCTCTACCGGACGTGGGTGCGGCGGGCAATACGCTGTTTGTCGACAGCCTACGTCGCAGCTGCGTGGGTCCAGCCCTCGCAGTTGGCCAGTCAGTACGTTGGCGCTCGGAGGCCTCGAGCACCCGCGCCAGGCGCTTCTGCAGGTAGCACGCAGCTCTGCGAGACAGATGCATCATCGCTTCTGCGGGACTCGGCCATGCATGTGGCATGCACGAGTGCTTGGTGGCCACGGCCCCCTGCGATCGGCCTGCAGGCAAAAGAACCGAGTGCAAGAGTGAAAACAAGTGTAGTTCGTATTCAAGCTCGACAACATGGAAGCGCCTTAGATCGTGATCTCAAGCAGCGAGAGGCCGACGAGGCAGTAGAGCGTCAGGAGCATCGAGCCCTCGAGCCAGTTGGACTTGCCGTCGGCGACGATAACGTACACGATGAGCGTCGAGAAGATGTACGTGAGCGCCTCAAACGTGTTGAAGGCCAGCGTCATGGGCTGGCCCATGATCCAGCCGGCAATGACGCAGACGGGCACGACGAAGAGCGAGATCTGGGTCGCCGAGCCGACGGCAACGCCCATGGCCAGCTCCATGTTGTTCTTGTACGCGACCTTGAGCGCCGTGATGTGCTCGACGGCGTTGCCGACGATCGGGAGGAGGATGATACCAATGAACGCCTTGGGGATGCCCGAGGTTTCCGTGACCTCGTCGACCGACGAGACGAGCCACTCGGAGAAGAAGGCGACGGCGACGGTGGCGAGGCAGAGGATGATCATCGACGACGCCATCGAGAGGGCCGGCTTGTGCTCCTCCTCCGTCTCGTCGACCTCGGCCTTGTGCGTGTAGAGTTGGAAGAAGAGCAGCTGGGCGTACATGAGGACGAGGAAGATGGCCGAGATGTGCGAGAGACCGAGGACGGCTTGCTCGTGCTCCGTCTGCGTGTCGTGCGTCATGGTCGACTGGTAGTACGACGGCACGAGCATCGCAAAGCTCGAGACAAAGAGCAGCGACATGTTGATCGACGCGCCGGCGCCGTTGAAGCTCGACTCCTTCGCGCCGCCAAAGTGGCCGCTCACGAAGCAGCAGCCGAGCACGAGGAGGAGGTTCGAGAGCATCGAACCGATGAGCGACGACTGGACGAGCTCGATCTCGCCTTGCTTCAACGCGAAGATCGCAATGATGATCTCGACCGCGTTACCGAACGAGGCGTTGACGAGGCCGCCGATCGTGTCGCCCGTGTGCTCGGCGAGCGTCTCGGTGGCTTCGCCCAAGATGTTGGCCAGCGGCATCATCGTGAGGAAGTTGAGGCCAAAGACCCACATGGGCGACCAGTGGCCAAAGTACGACCAGGCCGCGAACGGCGCGACGAGGAGCAGCGCGTTGATGTTGCTGCCGAAAATGACGTCCTTGATGGCCTCGCACTGGCTGACCGTGCGCGTGCCGTGGCCGGTCAGCGGCATGCTCTCGCCGTCGGCGGCGCCGAGCTTGGCGCTGCTGGCCTCCTTCTTGGCGGCCTTGAGATGCGGGTTGGACATGGCAAAAGGCGGAATGGCGTCCGTCGAGCAGTGTGGCTCGCCACCTCTACAAACTGATTTTCACTTTTTTTCAAAAGTTGATATTTGGTGAATCGCACCGAACGCAGTCGGACAACTGTCGTTGTCTCTTGGTCGCCGTCGTTGGGTCTATCGATCGCCGTCGTTGGGTCCGTCGTTTGCGGTCGTTGGGTCCGTTGCTGGCGGTCGTTGGGTCCGTCGAGATTGGCGCTGCAGAGGACGGGCCCAAGGACGCTTCTCTGCACCACGCAGGTGCCACGTACTGAGGGATCTGGGTGCAAGCGCCGATGCATGGAAGAGGTGGACGTCAAGAAGATCCTTGACCAGTCATTAGGCCCCGCCAGGCGAAATTCGCCTAATAAGTACAGTACGATTCAGTGATATCACGGTGGCTTGACAAGCGAACGGCGCAAGGAAGGCGTGCACGCGTTTGCGCCAATCATCCTACCACTGGAGCGCGCGCCAAACCACCATAAGCTTTGCGCTGCAAGGGCTGTCGAGGGTTCTTTCATCATCATACGCTCGTAGCCTGGCGGGAGCTGTCGCACCTTGATAATATTAATAGTGTGTCGTCGATGGAGATACTATGCAGGAGGACACAGTGCCCTGCAGCAGACATATTGGACTACATGCACGGCTTCCATCAATGTGTCAATGTGCGCCACGGAATCATCGATGCGATCCGTGGGCATCCCTCTTCGGCGCCACCTCGAACGCTCGTTGTACTTTTTAAGGTAATATCTATTGTATCCGGCGCATGGAATCCGGATCGTGACGGCCGCCGCGGCTTGTTTCATGCACCCATGGCAGTTCTCGACAAGCGCTTCCTTGAAGAAAATCCTGCAGTCGCTACATCCTCGCCGTGCAGAAGAAGCTGCAGGAGGCGCTGACATCGCGATGCTTGTACTGTGCCATGGACATGCCTCCAAGATGATGGGCGATAGAAGGCCAGTCCCATGCTGACCAGCGACGACGAGACGACTCTGAGAAAACGCCCTTTGCGAACTTCAAGCGCGCGAACATATGGCAAATGAAATTCATAAAGGCGCCATCCGCCTCCGTTCAGAGTACACCCAGAGGTACGTCCAGTATTCAGTGGCCTCGCAGGTGACCTCGTGCATGGACCAGAACCAGAGGCCAGACACCAGCGCAGCGAATCTGCTGCTTGATTCGCCGTCAGGTCGGAAGAAGGCAGTCTCTGCTCGAAGCAAAGTGAAACCCAGCCACTGCCAAGGAGGATCTGCGCAGCTGCCGGCAACCTTTTTCTTCTCCGCCGCCACGTGCGAAGGCGATGGGCCCACCTATCTAGATATCACATAGCTGACTTTTGTATGAGCACATACAGTGTATTACATAGAAAGCGCATCGTGGGGACATCGCGCGTCGAGAGATACTACCAGTACCGTACAATAGCAGCGGCGTCGACGACCGCGTGCGTTTGTGTTCTTGAACTACCCAAGGATTGCGTTTTATCTGCAGCCGGCTCGTCGTCGCGTGAAGAGCAACGAGCAACCGAGCTATATATTGATATATTGTCAAGTCGAGCGCGCCTGGGTATATACCGTATTCCTCGTGCCTCCTCCTGTCTACAGACGACGTGGCACGAGGCATATGGACACGAAGGCAGAAGATGCAGCGTACAACATGACTTTGCTGACATGAACTCGAGTGGACTCGGGCTAGAATATACTAGTATAGTCGATTCCATCCCAAGTGCAATATCATTGCGCCAGGATAGTATCCTGGTGCAATGATATTGTACTTAGCTCGACTCATGAGCTCGACTAATGCAAGCTCGGAGCGCGACCCTCGTCAAGAGCATCCGCGCTACTACGGCCAAGTCGAGGAGCTCCACGCTCGGGCGTGTCTGTGCACTCGACATCGCACTCTTTTCGTGGCCGACGGTGGCGTCCACCACCCGCTGCGCCATGCGTATATCAGCAGACAATGTAGACACGTAGGTAGTAGTATTAAGAGATAAGTGCAGCTAGCTGTACGGAGATTACAGAAGCGCCGCGACCGCGGCCACGGCCGTGACCGAGACGGCGATCGAGGCGAGGCTGGCACTGCTGGGGGCCGGCGTGGCCACCGCCGTCGTCGGAGCGGGCTTGGTCGTCGTGACGGCCGGCTTAGTCTTGGGCGCGGTCGTCGAGTTGCCGTCGCTGCCGGCGCAGAGCTGGCCGTTGGCAAACGTCTGAAACTTGCTCAGCGGCTGCGACGTGGGCCACGTGACGACGGGCTGGGCGCGGTTGCAGTTGCCAAAGGCCGCCGAGCGCTGGTTGCAGCAGCTAAAGTCCAGACCCGTTTGGTACAAGTTGGCGACGTCCTTCGTGCAGCTCAGCGTAAAGTTGAGCTCCTTGACGTTGTTGGCGATCGAGCTGCAGTCGGTCGTGCCGTCGTGCTGCGTGTAGAGGAACATGGTGCTGTCCGAGCTGCAGCGGAGGTTCGTGGCCGAGTACTTTTGCGTGTTGCCGCTCGCGTCCGAAGCCGACCAGCCGTGGCAGTAGCTCGCGTCGACGCCGACGGGCCATGCGTGCGTGCCCTGCGACCCGTCGCACGTCGTGTCGTACGAGCTCTTGGACGTCACCACGTAGTTGGTGCACTCGACTTGGGCGGCGACGGCGCCGGCGAGCGCCGCAAGGGTGAGAAGAGACGAAGCGTGCATCGCAGCAATCGGAAGAAACAAGAATGAGCGATGCATGGCCATGGCCACGTTGGTGCGCTGCGAGCGTGAGTAGCTGCCACCTGGCGTGTGTCCAGCAATGCACGACCAGTCCGCTCCAGCGGCCATTCGCGTAATCAAGTAGTCTGGTCGCATCGCCTCCTGCTGATGCATCGCGACGACGTCCTCTTCCGCGTCGCGCCCCATCGCCTTCAGCGAAGCGCGATGTGCTAGCGCAGACGCAGGGCGCTGGCCACGCGACGGCGCATCCCCAGCCGTCGTCGTCGGTCGCGGCGCTGGCGACTGCACTTATCTAAGCGAATCGCAGCCATCCGATTCCCACTTCAATGACTCCATACGCTTCGATATGGGTCCTTCGCACCATGTGAAATCCAGTGACAAATGCCTTTTCGCACGTTTCCCACGGCCACCACAGTGGAATTGCGGGTGAAAACCACGCAAATGTCGTTCAAGCCAGGAGATTCCCTTGGTTCAACGACAATTGACCGTATTCACCAGGGTTCAGATGGCCCTTCCCAAAGATATCACCTTGCCATTCGGCCTCTGTGGGGCAGGGCAGGAGCATGGGCGGGGCGACTGCGAAGGCGTTCGAAGTCCATGGCCGACGTCCTCTTCATGGATGATGCTTACTACTACCTACTACAGCATGGCGTCTCTAGGCCATGAACTTGAACCGGAACTGGGACGGCGACCGCTCGACGAGCACGGGGCGGTGCGTCGCTCGGCTCAGCGCCTTGACCCAGCGCGCATGGGTCCGCTGCCGCTCCTCTTCACCGCCTTCGCAGCAGTACTCGGCGCGGAAGGTCCACGGTGGCAACGCATGCTTTTCATGGCTGTGCAGTTCCCACTGCCCATCTTCGTTCTCCTGGTCCAAAATGCGCGCGATCGAATCGAGTGGCACGGTGAAGCTCGGGCTGCACGTCGCGCGGTCCTTCGCCGAGTAGAGCACCAGTGTATCGCTTCGCAAAACGCCATACATCTCCTGGAAGGTCGGGCCCGTGCCAAACCAGTTGGCGCGGACCAGAGGCGCTGGCGGGAGCACGCGGAGGAGCCCCGAGACAAGGCATGGCACGGGCGAGAGCGTGAGGCCCAGCGTGCCCTACGTTAGCGTGAGAGACACATGGGAGGCGCGACGAGGCACATACCTGGCCGGGCGTGTCCCGGTCGCCAAAGCTCATGGGCGAGCCGTCGGCGTGCAACGGCGTGTGCACAAGCGGCCCGAGCTTGAGCTCGAGCGCCGTGCTCTCGTGGAGCTGGTCCATCGAGACCGTCTACGGCGACGGTAAGCCAGCATCCACAGTGGCATCGACGGCTGTACCGCCTGGCCAAGAAAGTCCGGGCTCGAGCCAAAGTCGTAGTCGACGACCGTCAAGCACACCGTTGTCTCGGGCGTCATGTGCGGCCTAGCCATGCAGTCGATGATGATGATGATGATGGTTCATGACAGCAGAGCACGTACAAGAGCACGGTAAAGTCCCAGACCGGGTTGAGCGTCTTGTACTGGATCTCGGTCTTGGTCATCATGTAGTTGGCGACTTCGTAGCGCGTCTGGACACCGCGAAGCTCGAATGCTGTCACAATCACATACGGGTCACTGAACCCGTTCCAGTCGGCGGGCCGCAACCCCGTCGCGCGGTGAACTACGCATGGCATGAGCAAGCACTCGGCCGCAAGAAACAACGGAGTCGTACTCTGGAGCTGCATCGGGCGCTCGCTTCGATGCAAGAGCCGCTTGAACTTTTGCGCCGCCCGCTGGATCGTCCGTGCCAGCCGGACCATGCGCAGCATCGCGTCCAGACGCAGCTCGGGCGTCATGGTGCCCTTTGCGTCCGTCAAATCGAAAGCCGGGAGCAAGCTCTGCGTCGTGCTGGCGTCCGCGACTGGTGATGGCAGGTCATGCGTCGCCTGGTTGTCGCCCTGCGGCTCGGCCGCATACATGGACTCGACCGTCGTCGGACCGAGCAGCGCCGTCGGGGGTCCTAGCAGCGTCCACGCTGCACATGGCGTCGCCTCCTCATGCGTAGGCATGACGAGTCGTACCTTCGGATGGCTCCCATGGGCTCTTCTTCTTCGTCTTGCGAGGTTGCTGCGCTTGCAAAATGTCCTGCCACAGCGCCGAGCCGAAGTGCATCTCGACCAGCATGTCCAGCTGCTCGAAAAGTCGGCCGAGAAGCGCTGGAAGTACGGCGCGTCCTCCATGCTCCTGCCCTCTTCCGGCGCCATGATGATCCCTTCCTCGATGCACTCCTTCGTGAGGCCGCGCGTGAGCTGCCGCAGCGCCTTGTCTGCCATCTCGTGCGAATTCGAATCTGTTGCGATCTTTCAATTGCCTATACAAATAGCAAGAGTCGTGATTTCCGCCAATGGCATCCGCGACAGGAAAGAACATGCGCTGATTGGCTCTACTTTATGATCGCAACGTGTTGATTGGCTGGCTCACAAGATATGCCCGCGATGGAACCAATCAAACGACAAAGTATCTTGGAGCGAAGGGACACGCAACCTTGCCACCCCGCAGGTTCGAGGCGCACGGCCAGGTGGCCCTTGCAGTAGTAGACGATAATGGTCTTCTCTGTGGATGGAGCACATGGAAGTCTTTCTGTCGACTAGAGTACTAAATAGACTACTGCGCAAGCAGGCACAGAAGGATGTAGTTTGCAGGCGCCTCGCATGGCGGGGTCGATACGCTTGCGATCCCCCGACATGGTCGCCCGACAGCAGAGACGCACCATCTCATACCTCAACCAGTACAGTGCAGTGTAACCCGGTGTACACTTCGGCGGCTGGTTGATGGCGGCGAGATCGAACTTGGCAGTGACATATATTGCCCGAGCACACGCCGCTAGTCCACTGTGCTATGCGTCCACGCTAGGCGTCCGCAATGGCTCTCGTCCAGGTGCATGGAGCTTATTGCGCACCTCCTGCGTCCTAAAGTTGCTCCACCCACTCTGTCCTTTCTATCGAAGTGCCGCTGCGGTCGCTGAGAAGGAAATCTAGGTGCTCGTCATGCGGAATCGGCATCAACAGAGACGCTCCTTTGATCGAGGGCCATCCCACTGCGGTTGCTGCCATGTCCTGCAACCTATCTCAGTCACCACACATGCAGCCGTTTCATCGGTCCAACAAAATGACGTGGCACGCGGAGAGATCGAGGCGAAGGGACGCCGACGACACAACCTACGCTCTGGAGCCGCGTTGTGGATATGGCTGCATCATACTACAGACAGTACATTGATCAACATCGACGTCCTGTTGGCATGTGTATGAACTGTCGCGAGAGACGCAATGTACCCAACACAACGTGCTGGCCGAGTCTCGGCGTAAAGTTCATCCGTTCCGTCGCTGACGGCGGTCGTCGCGGTGGCGTGCGAGCGACTGGTCATTCTCATTTAGGACATGTAAGGTCGTTTCTACGCTGCAGCATCCGCGGTAAGACCGAGTACTCGAATGGAGCGCGCGAGCGAGGATCAATACCGGTACGAGCACATGCCGGCGTTACCGGAACCGCCGTCGACGGCCCATCACGCCCGCGTGTTACGACACAGTACCCGGCACCTTGCACTCTCCACCGACGCACAGCGAGCAGCATCGAACAACACGCGTTCTACGGTGTACGGCGAGCGCCTTGAAGGTACCGAGACGCTTGGAAGCTCGGTCGTACACGCGTGTGCGTCAATTGAGGAATGCAGGGAGGGCCACCAATCGCAGCGGAACGTCGCGGCGCTTCGACGGCGTTCCGACCTGTGGACGCCGAATCGCCGCGACAGTCGCGCCCACGTCATTTGTTGAGCATTTGTTGAAGCCGTCGTCCACCTAGCATCGAATTCGCCAGGATGATCGTTGAAGCCGATCGTTCAGGATGATCGTCCAGAGCGATAGATGTCTCGCGAGCGTTCGCAGCGACCTCTTGACTGGTCGGTGCACCGAGACACGGGCTGGAAAATTTAGGGTCGCAATGGCTGGCCACAGAGATGCTGCCACGGACGCCTTAGCCTGCAGATTTAATGGCTGTAAGGTCGGTGACACTGCCTTGATTCGCTGCAAACCTGCTACCCAACGCCGCCTTTGACGGCTACAAAGTATGGTTTCCACGATACTCGACGGTCATGTCTGTACGCCCAGCTGAACCGAAGCCAAAATTCTGGGCCCTGGACCCAACACGCTTCAACGTAATACTACTCCATGGAGCCCTTCTTCCGTGCTAGTACGATCTGCATCGCCGAGCGACATTGCTGCGCACGCCATCGTCGCCAGTGTCGAGCCCACAGAGTGTACGGTCCAGGCGACGACATCTCGCGCGAAGACCATCTGCCGCCACGGGTCGCAGAACGCGACATGTGACTATGGATGACCTACCCTGTACACAACGCGGTATACTTTGTTGCAATCAAACATCTCAGATGGCGATCGCATTCCATCGCGAGCTTTCGCAGGTCACTCGCTCCAATCGGCGCCACAACTCAAAATTCTCGATCCCGCTAATAGCATGCCCAGCAAGCACACGCTGCATGTCAAACGCCAAGAGCCCACGCACGACGCTTTGGTCAAGTGCCCGGCGTCTCTCGCCAAGACCCCGCGCGTCTACAGCCTCGGCGCACAAAAGATCACGACGCGGACCAAGGGCAACCTCGCCGGAGCCGACGCGTACATGAGCTACCGGTTCGTGGTCGTGTGTCCGCGCAAGAAGAGCTGGTGGATCTTCGACCGCCGGTACTCGGACTTTTACGCGCTCCGCGCACTGCTGCGGGACCTGCCGACGACCAAGGAGCCCATGCTATCGGCGCCGTTGCCGCGCCGCCGCCTCGCCTTTGCCGTCGACAACCGCCGTATCGTCGACGAGCGCTCCGAAGGGCTTGCTCGGTTTACTGCCGACGTCGCGCGGTTGCTCGCACCGGACGATCGCAAGAACGGCGACGTGGGCCAGCTCGTGGGCAACTTTCTCTGCGCGCCGCGCCGCGCAGAGGCCCTCCGCAAGCCGTGCAGCATCACGCACGACTGTCCGATTTGCTTGGAAGAGACGGCGATGGGCGATCGCAGCCTCACAACAGCGTGCGGCCATAGCTTCCACGAGGCGTGCTTGGTCAAGTGGCTCGAGACCGAGGCCTCGTGCCCGCTCTGCCGCGCGAGCGCCCTGCATGGCACGCTAGGCTAACCGTGTCGATTTTTATTTAATTTAATTTATCCGCATGCATCACATGAACATGGCATGTAGTACTACAGTATGCAAGGGAATCGATCCCCTTGGAGCGAATTGGTACTGCCAAGACGATGCGCAGTTCTCGGTCAAACGACGACGAGAGAGAAGGAGCAGAGACGACAACCTCCTCCGACGGTGGCGTGCGTCATGGCGTGCGAGGTTCTAGTGGCCTGTGGTGGCGCCACGTCATCAGTCTCGGTCGTTACACGGTGTCGATCGATGATGGCCGTGGAGAGATCGAGACGTGTTGTGGTGTCGCGAATCGGCATGGTGACGCGAGCACTGGACGTCGACTGGAGGCATGTCGCTGCAACGTTGGCAGCACGGACAAGGTGTCTACCCACTGATGTCTACCCTACTCGTACAGCAGTACAGTCGAGTTGGGCGGCGATGTGCCCCAGTATCCCATCCTTCCAAGGGAGGGTTGGCGTGTCGATGGCAGGCACCGAGGTGCATCACGAAGTATCACTTTTCTATCACGTGGTCCCATGATGTGGTCCGCTCCCAGAGCGCATCCGAGCTCGAAGAACGACGTGGGAACTTGATACTTTTGGGCGCGGGTCCTTGATAATATGGGCACAGGTCGTGGCGCTGTGTGCCCACACAAACAAATGAGCCAGCAAGAGACCATGCGTACGCAACCGGTCGAAGAGTCGACGCCGAGGTCCAACGCGCCGCTACTAGTCCACCCGGAGACCGACCAGAGGACGATCGAGGAGAGCCGCCCCGAGCCAACACGACCTCAATGCGAGACCAACTCAAGCACGACGGTCAATGCGACCGACAGCGAGATACTGGTGGTATACGCTACTAGTACTCTGGAGAAAGAAAACCCCGAGGAATGGGCCCCCGTCAATTCCAGCCATCCCGCAAGCATGGAGGATTGTGACTTGGACCCATCGGACCCTCGGACGGACTATGACGGTAGCGTGCCTGATCCGCTGCTGCGAGACAAAGCTGCGCGGGCTGCAGCGTTCGAAGCGCCGTGGGTCGAAAACATCCCATCCGCACCTTGGGCCGAGATTTCGTCGCCGGCCGGTGGCGTACCGGTACTGGACCAGCTTCACGCCGTGCTCGTCCTGTACAACCAGCGCCTCGACGACGGCTACCTCCCGCACCTCTTTTTCGAGCGCCTCTTACAATCGATCGAGCTGTTTCTGCCGCACTGCCCAGTCGACATGGCGCACGTTCTTGGCGACATGATGACGCGTGCCCTCAACGCAAGCGACGCATACGTCAAGGCGTCGCGCGCCGTGTACTTTTGGTGCATGGCACTGACGTCGCAGCTTACGGTGCTCCAAGACCTTCTCAAGACAGGCCATCTCGACGATGCACGCACGGTTTTGTGCTCGATCTACGACGGCAGTGCCGACACCATATTCACGGCCGTCGCGGCCCTTGCGATTACAAAAGCGTACTTGAAGAATGTCGAAGACAACGTCGTGACGTTCAGTCACCGCATGCGCACCGGCAGACTGGCCCCACCGTTGTCGGTAACGGACGACACCACGCTGTCAATGTCAGGGGCGAGCGCCAACGACGAGGCGACCATGGAGACGTCAGAGACGACGATGACGACGACGTTGCCCAAATGGGCGCCCAACATGCAGAAAAGCGCACTGGAATTCGGCGAGACCATCAAGAAGTGCACCACCTTCTGCAACAAAGGAACGCGGCTACTGCCGTCAACACAAAAGCGCACGACGACGTGTCCACCAATCACGATCGACATTACCATGGCCGACGCCTTGAACAAATTGGCCTCACGACTGCAAGTGATGGTTGCCCACATCGAGACGGGTTTGCTGCAGCTCCCGACCACGGGCGTCGCTGCGCTGGTGGCGAAGGAGCTCCCGGACCCCACGGACCTTACCGATCACGTTCAAGTCTACTGCAAGGTTGCGTCGGCCTTGTGCAACGCATGCAACGAGTTCGTCGAGAACCACAAGCGTCATTACGATCTAGCGACGACGACGCTGTAAATCCCACACATCCCACACTCGTGTGTAATAAAAAACCACCGTGTTTTTAGCAGGACGATTGGATTGGCTAATCATGATGGCCGTCACGGTGCTGCCAGGAAGACGGCGTGAACGCACGAGCTCGCTCAAGGACGATGGCCCTGCCACGCAAGGTTGGAGTGACTGCGAGTCGGCGAGATGCAATCGGCTCGACTCGTCGCGTGGAATAGTGCACTGTCACAGGCTAAGTCTAGGGTCAAGCAAAAGGCAGGGGTTCCACAACCAACTGCCGCGTTGTGCAATGGCCGGAAAACCAAGCTGCGCTCGTCTTCTTGGAGCCGACGCTGGGCGATTCACAATAAGTACAAGCTCACGAGCGCGCTTGGGCGAAAGCTAGCGACGAGCCGAGCTCAAAGAGCCCTTGCGAGTCGCCCAACTGCCGCAGACGAACGAAGGCCCGATGTTCGTACAACCAACAACAATATCTGTCATAATACTAGCTGAACAATTCCATTACATGACCTTAAAATTCGTGTGGATGCGTTCTCGATGCTTGTGCTGGTACTTTGCACATTCTTTTAAGAGGTCGGACGATGGCATCGTGAGCTCCTGAAGCGTCGTTCGATCCAGCGTCTCGAGCGACACGGGGCTCTCGAGGTACGCCTGGAGGGCCTCAATGACGCGCAATGTTTGCAGCGCATTCAACGCTTCGTGGATGCGATCGACAAGCTTGTCAATGCGGCGTCCATGGCACTGCAGTGCCTTGGCCCACTCGACATCGTCATGCCCACCACTGCCTGGAACTCGTTGGCTAGACGACGCCACGGTTCCGGAAAGGTTCCGGGTCGTGAGCGCTTTGGTCGTCGCGTTGGACTCGTAGAGCGCAACAAGGTCTTTATACGAGGCGGCCGTGACTTTCAACATGTCGATGCACGATTGCATTGCTGTCGCCACCGTTCGCATGACGTCGACGCCGCTGCTGCAGAGGGCCACGGTGACACTTGTCGCGTTCGTCAAGTTGTCATCGCGCACCGCTTCGATGGTAAACCCGAGGAAGGATTCGGCTACCATGCACCACGAGTTGACTTCCCGCGCCGCCTTGTCCACCGCGTCGCAGCTGTTGAGCGCCTGCGTCGTCGCCGTTCCGATCAAAGGGGCGGCGGTGCGCGGACACGTGAGCACATAGGCGTCGACGGTCGCCGTCGAGTTGCGAGAAAAGAGCGCCGGCTGGACGCCGACGTGCAGAAGCGTATCAAAGATCTGGAGCCCCGTTCGTAGCCGGTCGAGTCCGCTGACGAGCCCTGAACCGTTGACGGCGAGGGCCTCGGGCGGTGCCACGTCGACAGACGCATCGTACGCGGACCAGATGTCGGCAACTCGCTGCGCAATTGGTCATGAGACCGCCAGGTCGATGGGGGATGGGTCGATGGAAGGTTCATTGTCGTGCGGGGGCGGACGACAACCACGACATCGCACGGCTCGACGACTGGCACGACCGCGGGCTCGATGCCCGTCGACTTGTCTTTCGGCTCGAAAAATGTCGCTGGACTCGGTGTTGTTTCGTCTTGGTGCTTGCAGCTGGGGTGTTGGGGTGTTGGGGGTGATACCGGTAGCTGCTGGTAGTTGATGGACACTGCGACGTGGTCGGTCGAGGGCGACTCGGTGACCGTCGAGGTCGAGAGGCGATGCATGTCGTTCGCCGGGAGTGGCAATCGTTCACCGAAGCTGTTGGAGCGCGGTCCCGTGCGGCGGCGTGTACAGCAACCAGCACCGCCGAGGCAAGCACTCGCGATGGTTACGCCAAGAAGCCCGAGACAAAGAAACAAGATGGGCATGGAGTGGTGCGCGGCGTGGGAAATTGAGGAATGCCCGACTGCGAAACGCGGCAACCCAATTTGATCAACTACAACATCTGGCTACGTGCATTTAGACATTGGATGCTCCAGATGTGTGATGCTATCCGGATCGACTTGATAGTTATCGGTCGATCGGCTTGATACTTTTCAGTGACAAGCCTTTGATTTTATCAAGTCACGGAATCCAGGTCGCCATGCAAAGCTCAACGACTCTCGAGGTATCACTGTCGATGCCGATCCACTTGCGCTTGGAAGCGCCGAGCGGCGTCCTTGCTGCGTACCGCGATGACTTTTCGCCCGAGATCAACGAGATCGTCCAGCGCTACCACGCTCTTGTTGCAAGCAGCCACGCCGCGCGGCAGGAAGCGCTAGGCCCCGCACTTGCGTGGTGCACCGACGTGCTGCATCAGCTCACCGACTATCTCCTTCTGCAAGACGACATGGGCCGCGCCTGCATGCGGCTGTCCATTCTGGAAGCGCTGCAAGAGGGCTGGAGCATGCTCGAGGATGCTCTTTCGCAACTCGAGCACAGCACGTCGACGCTTGATCACACCAAAACGACGCTTCTTTACGAGCTGTCTGCTCGTCTGCGCGCCGACATGGCCACCACAAGCGCGCTTCAAGCCAAGCATTTCAACGACATCCTACACGACGCCAGCAAACTGCGAGTGCTTCGATGCCCCGACGACTCGACGCGGCGGCGGCTTCCAAAACAGGCGATTGCGGGGCCGTGGGGCATGGGTGTCAGCATCGGCCCGTCGTCGGCAACCTCTGTCCGAGCGCTCGCGGCGCAAATCCGAACGCAGGTGACGAGTGCGTTTCAGACGCATGCAAGGAGTGTGCTCCACGCAGCGCTGCTGGACGTCAACGCTATGAGGAACGCAATGGAAGGGTGCTTGTATGCTCGACGACGCGACGGAAGCGCGTTATCGAGCTTGAAGGCGCAGGTTGCCGAGACAATCCTTGCCATTAGCTGCACAAGCGACGGCCAATCGACAAGTTTAGAAGCCCCCGAGAAGCTCTTGTATCTGTGCACAGAGTTGCTGGATGCGTGGGCGATAGTCTAACAAGAGACCACAATAGAGAACTAGAGTACACTAGACAACATGTGACTGGTTTTGCCGGAACATCATACTACAGACACGACGTGGCTATGCTGAAGTAGTACTAGTACGACAACGTGCAAGTGCTTCCGACGTTGCTCTACAACTGTGGCACTTGGGCCACAGAATCCGACGCTGACGAGGCGATTGCGATCGAGAGCCCATTGAGCGACACTGAGTGAGCCCGTCTAGACTCGTGCTTTGAGTGCTGATACACAACGCGTTCCAAACCGGCATACTCACACGTCGTCGACAGGAAGAATCATTTTAGAGCAATTTCTTGCATTGTACGCCACACCGCACTGCCGGGGTTCGATCCCTGTACCGATGTATGGCATATCACGGACCGAGCGGATGAGGGCTCGACCACGGATGCACCGCCGTCTTGATATAAGGCCGGACTGCACGTTTGTGGGATGCAAAATCGGGAAAAGCACGCTCTTCGCGCCAGCTTCGGCCGACCGAGCACCCGTGTAATGGACGTTCGTGGTCGTGTCGCAGTCACACGGAGACCGTGCAGATCTCGCGAAACGCTGCTGCCCAGATGCGTCCGAGCGCCAGTCCGAGCGATTTGGAGATGCCGTAGCGACCGCGGGTCAGCGTCGCCGCAGGCCACGCATAGCGCGATGTCTCGGCGTGTTGAAAGGCCATGGAATCGAGGGCCAGCGACTTGGCTTCCTGCGGCTTCTACGAGGCGAGAGCCGCCAGCTCCGTAGACGTGGTCCGGGTGCCCGGCGCGATGGCGGCGTCGCCGTTGGCGACGCTGCGCGCACCAAGCAGAACGATGCTCTCGGGAAAGCGCTCGGCGAGGAGCCGCGTCGCCTCGAGGCCGATGCTCGACGTCGACAGCTGTGCGCGGCGCGGTCCATCGCCGCACGGCGTACCTTGTTGCCGCCCGTCCCACTTGCTGGCAACGTGCAAAGTGGCACGGTATCCGGAACCTCCCATGTATCCGGAAATATATCTCTCCAGGACGCCAGGACGCTGCCACGTGGGCGATCGTTGTGCACGTCGTTGTCGGTGCACCGAAGACAATAAAGTGCATCAAAATGTCCGGTCTACTCCAATCGTATAACGGTACTATGTCTATTGTCTGAGTAATCTTTGGACTATTGAATTCTAACATTAGATGTGATGATGCTCCATGAATTGGTTGCACGCGGCGCGGAGCGCCTTGGCCGATGTGATGTGCGCTTCGATCGTCGCCTCGTCGAGCAGCTGGAGAAGCTTGGGCTGGCGCATCTCGCTCTCGATCTCGTGGATGACGTTGGTCTGCGCGAGTTGCTGCCAGCCCGACTGGGTGCCTTGAACCATCGACTCGATCTGGTGCGCGAGCCCGAGAAGCACCGTCGCCAGCGTCGACGAAGCCTCCATCACCGGTGGCCGTGTTTTGGCTTCCGCCAAAGCCACGAGGTTGTCGAACTGCACGAGGGACACTGCGCGGGCCGTCGTAGCGTCCGGTGCGGTCAAGCGTTTCATCTCTGGCGCGCTCTCGACTGGCGACTCGGAGCTGTCCGTGGCCAAGCACGTGCTGCTCAAAGCAATGACGTTGGCCTTGGCGCCGGTCAGTTGCTTCTCCGTGGTGGCGAGCGCCAATGCGACCGTGCGCATGATCGTGGCGCCGTTTTCGTAGACGGCAAGCAGGTGCGTCTGCGCGTCGTCCGTGTGTCCTTGCTGCAAGGCGTCGATGAACGAGTCGAGCAGCGGCAAGGCCGACGTGCACCAAAAGTAGACTTCCCGCGACGCTTTCTCGTAGCCGTCGCGGGCGTTGAGCGACTGCGTCGTGATGGCGCCGATGAGTTTGGCGCCGTCGCGAGGACAACAGGGCACGAAGTCGTCGATGAATTTGAGGAGCTGGTCAAAAAATTCTTGGGCGTCGCGGCGTGGCCGAGGTGCTGGACGTAGATGAGCAGGCCAAGGCGTAGCTTGTGCAAGGCTGCGGCGATCACGGGATCGCTGGACGAGGGCAGCTGTTGCGTGCTCGTGGAGTCATACCGAGGCAGCGCCTCCAAGTATTTTTCGACGTCTGCGGATGTGAGCGTGCGAGGGTCCCTGGGACGGACCTTGGGCTTGAAGCGCCGCAATAGACATGGGTGAAGCCACTTCCAAGTGGCGATGACAGCCCCCACAACTAGAATACTAGTCGGGATCCAGTCTAGCATCGACGAGGTGCGTCTGGTAACGGTCATGAGTCCTTCGCCTCTTGACTTCTCGCTGAGGACGCCCGCGCCTTGAGCGTTCATGTCCTTGATGAATGTCGGCAAGTGACGTCGGATGTGAAAGTGGAGTCGAGAATGGCGCCGAATTTTTGGACGCGAGGCTCTGAACGCGATAAGAAAACAGTCATGTTTACAAGTACTTGATAATTTGGAAACAGCCGGTTGATAATTTTGAAACAGCCGTGTCCTCAGCGGATAATTATCAACTTGTCCGATTGGCATCGAACGGACATCGAAACCTGGGCACATCACACAGCTGATGTGTCAACGCTTCGACGTGCATAGAGGACGATAATCCTCCGTTCCCTCGGCCGTGTCTGCAGGACGTTACCCATGTAAGATGGCGCCGGACTCAGCGGCGGAGGCGACGGCAGCAAGCGCCCCGTACAAGTCGATACAAGCCTTGAAGTCGGGCAAATACCGTACGTCAAGACATAAAAGATCCAATCTACAACCAGAAAAAGTGATAGAATCTATCAACTGCGACGCAGCGTTGTGGCGACATTGACATCTTTCGATTTTCTCGCGCCTTGCACAATGGAACGCGCCCTGGTCCAATACCAGTACATGAACATCTGGGCAAATGCCGTCGGCGCCAACGTCCAATACGAGACGCTCTTGCAAGCCCTTCACGACGCGTGCCGCCCTCCGTCGCGGGCTGCAGACGTCATCGGCAGATTGATCCAAAACGCGCATGCTGCATCCACTGCGCACGGACAAGCGACACGCGGTGCGTACAACTGGTGCCACATGTCTGCGCCCTTGCTCTCCATGTACCTTGCGCAACGCGAAGAAGGCAACGAGGACCTTGCGGCAGCATGCCTGAAAATGCTGCAAGAAGGAGCACCCATTTTGGTCGACGCCAATACCAAGCTTGCCGCGAGCATGGATGCGCTCAGCAGCGTTGCTGGCGATGTTGCGATCCTGCAAACTCACGTGCAGAGCGACGTCGAGGCGGCACGGACCCAGCGCAACCTCGAGTACTTTACGAACGTGAAACCCGACGCGTTCGAAAAGACGTGGCGTACGCTCATCAACCTCATTCTCCCGGGCGTTGTCGATACACCGGGCAAAGCCGAGAAGCGTCGGCAAGATATCAACGACAAGCTCGACCAGCAATTGAAAGCGATCGAACAGCACTTGAGCGTTGTCAAGACCAACGTCGAGAGCGCCCAAAACGTCCTTCGTCTCGCTAATCCGGTGCTGAACCGTGATGCAAACACCCTGTCTTCGATGAACATCAATCGCTCGCTGTCGAGCTTCTATCTCTCGCTGCCCAGCCGCCGCCTCGAGCAGCTCGCCCCCGCACTCAGGAATCTCGTTGCTGAATGCAAGATGTACATGGACCTGTACGCCCAAACTCAATAGACCAGTGTGACCATGACGGTCGACACGTCGACTCTTCCCTACGTACCATAACATGACGACTTTGCTTTTCATACGTCAGAATACGGCAGTGAGCCTACTACACAGCTGCCTCGTGCCACCCGTGCAAACCTAGTGCCTAGCGTCATAGACACTTGACTAGGGCAGACGATTTCGACGGGTGTGACAAAATACCCAAGGACGCCGACTTCGTCTACCAAGTGATGCTCCGAGCGGTCAAGTGCCGCGCCCATTTGCACTGGCTCGACAGGGCCTCCTCTGCCCCGAGCACGAGTATATCCTCGTCGACTGCGACTTCATCAAGGACGTGTGGAGCACGCATCACATCGTCACGGTCCCTTTGGGCGTGACCTTGCCGACTACACTCTCAGACTACCTCTACTCGACGCAAAGACGGCGTCCAACATGCATCCATGCATCAAGCCGCGTGCCGCTACCTCTGGCCCGTGCTCCGCGCCTGCGTCTGGTTCAACGTCTGATGAGTCCGGAACAATCGTGTCTTTCGCGCCGACCTACCGCTGCCAAGTCCCTGGACGATTGCCGTCAAGGCGGCACGCGTCGCTCAACTGCACTTGCACCACAGCCTCGTCCAAGAGTCCAAGCAGCCTGCTCTTCGTCGGCTTCTCCGACTCCTCGCTCAACACGGGGACCGCGACGTCACCTCGTCCCGTGGATCGCGCTCCTGCCTCCGCCTGCCTAGATCAAGTTCCTCATTTGCCGCCGCTCGTCATTGGAAAGAGTGCATAACGTCGAGTCGCAAAGCATCATGAACACTCTAGTATTATACATCGTGCCAGAAGCAAACGGCTTACGCGGCGCGTTTAAGAAGCGGCGGATGTTCCTCCAAGTACGCCGTACAAAGAACCGAAAGCTCGCGGGCTTGCTGCTCCATGGTACGCAAAGGCATGTTGTCCAAGTTCATGAAGGTGAGGTTGACGGAGCGGCAGGACTGGATGGACGTGACGGTCTCGGCCTCGTCGCGAAGCTCGTTGAGGGCAGTCTCAATGCTCGTCGAGGTCTCGGTCGCATGATCACGGAGCTTGGTGAACTTAGCCTCCACGGTCGCGAGCTCCTTCTCGAGGCCAGCGCTGCACCACCAAGTGGTCACGGCACCCGTGACGACGCCGGCCGTCGCTCCAGTCGCCACGCCCGAAGGAATTGCACAAGCGAGACCGAATGGACCGACGACCATGCAGATCCCGCCGGCCATAGCGACACCGGCAACGGTCGTGGCCACCTTGGTCGCAAATCGGTCGGCAACCTCGCGTCGGGCCGCAGAGTTGACTTGGCAGTCGAGCTCGAATTGGGTGCAAAGCGACGTCAAGGAGCCACACGCTTCGTTGAAGCAGGTGGAACATGCTGCGAGATTCTCGAGCGCGTCCCGAAGACGTGCGTCGCCCTCATTGAGCGCCCGCAGACAACAATCCCGTGAGGCCGAATCAGACGCCGCACGCTCGCTCAACAAGACGAGAAGAATGCGTTCGCGCAAGTGCACCACTCACGAGCGCTGTTTCTTGCTCGTTGGAGGCGGTCGCGGCCGTTGCGGAGCTCGGTGATGATGGCAGCGACGTGGGGTGCAGCGGCCACGCTGAAGTCGCCCTCGTACGTTTCCAGCCACGCGAGAAGCTGGTTGCCGCGGAAGTCGTGTTGCAGACCCTGCATGAGGGCACGAAGCATTGCGCCTTGATTGCCCGCCATGTTTTGCAGCGCTACTCTCGTCGGCGGGAGAGGGTGCACCATTTCGTGGTGAGCAAGCAGAGCAAAATGCAGAATGCCCCGAAGTAGACCGGGACGATGTGTGCCATGTCCGGATATGGGCACCTCATACAGGACTTGATACGATGGCGCTGATTGGGCATCGCATTTGTAGGCGTCGCAGGAGCGTTACAAACGTCCCAAGTATCAAGTGACCGACCCATGTGACATGGGTCGGTCACATTTCTCGAATCCGCGGGGACATGGGCCATGTCCCCGCGGATTCGAGAAATGTAGCAGGGTACACTACAAGTGCGTGGATGCTAATGGTCACGGCCGCGAAACGTTCTCCCTCGAACCGAGCTCCTTTATCTAATCCATTTGAACGTCATGTTGATAGGGAAACATGCAGCGAATGGAACTCTACTTCATGGCTGCCGTAAACGCATCGCTTGCTTTGCATTCTATCAAGTGAAACTATCCAGTGTATATTGGAGGATGAAGATGGGCGCTATTGATAGCCTGATCGTAGCGTCACGATCTCGATTTGTTTTTGTTGCCAACTGCTATGAATCATGGCGCTCATCGAGGGCCCCAAGATTGTTCAGTGGATTCGGCTGCAGAACAATTCGCCAAGTGCCCAGAAAGAGGTCGAGGCTGCTGCCAGCGCCGAGAGCAACGCCACGACGACGAGCACACCGACACCACTCCAAGACGATTCCCCGTGTGATGCGGTGGCATCGATGCGCTGCGCAGGCTCACGGCTGCTGACGTGGATCGACTCGAAAACTTTCACCGGCAACAACAGCGTCCACTCATCAAGTGTTTACAACCTGCACCACATCTCAAACGTTGCGTTCTACGAGCGGTACCCGACCAAGCCGCTTCGCTTTTGGCTCGCTAAAGCTCTGTGGAGCCTTCTTGGTCCAATCCCTCCGCAGCGGATCCGACACCCTAGCCCACGATGGGTGCCCGAGTACTCTGTCCTGCAGCGGGCGCTGTAGAGTCCTTGTCCATGGATTCCAGCGGCTGCTGGGAGTTATCAAAGTCGACACCGAGGACCGTGATCCAGAAACTCATCGAGGTCGAGCACTTGATCGGCGACGTTGCCATGATACGTCGTGTGCAGTGGCCAAAGAAATGGCAAGTGCGAGGTGGTGTGGATAGCTCGTGTCGATCAATAAATGTTTGGACATGTGTACTTGATTTTTTGTATATAAGCTTATTTTGTTGCCATCGATGGACGAGGAGACGATGGCTGTTGATCATCATGTCGAAGGGATGTTCTGGCATGGAGCCGTTTGGTTCGTCACGAGAAAGTGCAAATTCAAACAATGTACTAAGAAGAGGATGTAGAGAAGATAGAAGGGATGGAGCGCTACTAGTAGGCGCCAGCGGTTGCCATGGGGTGTCTTGCCTGGAACTCGAGGCACTGCGCGATGAGTTGTTCACTCAATTCCTGCGCGCGCGTAAGGTTGCTCTCTTGGATCTGGACGAAGAGGACCGACGAGCGGCGCGTCGCATCGATGCGGCTGACTCGAATCTTGTCGTCTTTGATCACCTCGGTTGCCGCGTTCAGAACCGTTTGTGTCGTTTGAACCTTGCTTTCGACGTCGACCAGTTTGTTGGAAATGATGTCGAGGTGCTTCTGAATCGCGGGGCCAAAGTCCGCATCGGAGTTGTTCGCGGCCTTGTAGATGCACACGCCCGCGACGGTCACGACAGCGATTACGAGACCCAAGGGCCCCAAGATAGCAGTGGCGGTGGCGGACTCGGCCGCAGCCGCCGCCACCGCAGACGACTCGGCGACGAAGCCGACGAGAGACTGCGCGGCAAGATGGCCGGCACCACCGGCGATGCCCCCCATCGTCCCGGATTTAAGCATATTGCGATGCTTTTCCTCGGTGCGTGCCTTGAGCTGCTTGTAGTACTCGGTCGACGGGTCGAAATCGGCCTTGATTTGGACGAGAAGCTCCCGAAGCATTCCGGTCGCGATGTTGACGTTGAGCGACGCCTCCATGAGCTTCTGTTGTGCGGTTGCGAGCTGCTCCTGGCCTCTGATGAGGGCGTCGTGGCACGCGGCGGCGTCTCCGTCGTGTCCTGCCGCACGCGCCTCGATGTGCGCGCGGAGCAGTGGGATGGTAAAGTCGCACCAGTAGTAGACGGAGCGCACTGCCGCGGCGTGCGCATCGGCAGCGTTGAGCATGCTAGTTTTGATCGTGCCGAGAAGCCTTGCGGCTTGGATGGAAAAGTCGCCTTGGAAGTCGTCAAGGGCTATGAGGGTGTCGTTGGCGTCGAAAGTGGTGTCGATGCTCTGCATCCACGAGTGCACTGCGTAGAGCTCGGGTACGGTGACGCGAACCATCGAGCCAAGGAATAGCGGTGTGCGTAGCTCGGTCGACAAAAAAAAGTAATTCGATTTGTAAAAGCGCGTTGACACCTGGCACGTTGATTCGAAATGATCAAGTAGCAGGCAACACACGGAGAAGACATGCTGGATCGAGGCAGGACACGAATCCAGTTGTTTTGTGTGGCGATGGTACCAGCGCGCGCCTTCGCCTCAGCTGTGGCTGGTCTTGTCGATCGTCTTGCGTGGCCGGCTCCTTTTGCTTCTTCGCGACCATAAGCCCCTACGGCCTTGAACGCAATCCGAAATCGTCACAAGTCGGTCGACCAGCAGATGCGCGTGACTGGATTACATCGAGTTGATACAATTGTAAATTGTATCAACTCGATGTAGTCCAGGCACGGGTCAATTGTGCAGGTGGTGTCCGAGGTGACATGCTCCATCGGACGTCGATCGCTTTCCATCTTCGCTGCACGAAATGCCACCGCTCTCTACAAAGGACCAGTAGAATCCATAACGTTGTTGTTGCTGAGCTGCGTCAACCGATGGGCTCACCACGTACTGTACGTACGATTGACGTGTGCGGCTTGAAAAACGACGTTAATCATTCGGTGCACTCAATCCAAAGCTAAACTATCAAGTTGGATGCCTCCCAGCCTGTCGATTTTGCGGATGTACAGTGTAGCACGAATCGTCATTTTTCAATTTCCTTTGTAGACCTCCAATGGAACTCACTGCCCCGACGACCACAGCCTCACGGACACTTAGGCTTCAAACCCTCACCGACGCCATCGCCCCGGGGTACCAAGGCAGTCCCATCGTCGAGTGGCTGCAAAGCTGCGACACCGACTTCTCTCCTGCGGCCATGCCATTCGTCACTGAAATACTCACACAATTGCTCAACGGCCACGACTGCTACACCGACGCGACGCAGACCGTCCTCGCCTGGTGCATGCTCGTCACAGACGCGCTCCCGCTCTTCCTCGCGTCCACGTCGGACCAAACCCAAGCCATCTGCCTTCAGCATCTCAACGAAGGCGACGATCTACTCCAGAACGCGCTCAAAGCACTCGAGCAGTGCGCACTCCACTTCAACGCCGCCATCGGCAAGCTCAAAACGCTCCAGAGACAGCTCGGTGCGGACTTTGACCGCGACAGCGCGTACCACGAAAAGCTCGTTGACCAGGCCGTCGACAAATGGAAGACCTGCAGCCACGTCGGGGGTGCAGCCATCGGTGCGTTGTTTTGCATTCCGCTCGGTTTACTCGGTCTTGCGCTGGTGGTCCCCGCTGCTCTTCTTGCCGGGGAGGCCTCGGAAGCCGTCATTCGCGCAGCGTGGCGCGACGAGGTCAGCAACCAATTGACGACGGTCAACACCAAGCTCAAGACGTTGACTGCGCATGTGACCTCGACGAAAAAAGCCATCGACTACGCGCTGAGCGTCCAGAGACACGAGGCCGAGGCGATCACATCGCTCGACGCCAACCGGTCAGTGAATGCAACCTACCTCGGCTTGGCCAACATGCCGCTTCGGTCGATTCGTCCCGAGGCTGAGAACCTTGTGAACATGTGCAACGCGTACATTGAAGCACACCAAGAGGCGACCACAACGTCCGACGATCCGTGAGCGACTAGTATCTTCTCCACGAAGGATACAAAAACGTACTACGATGTTGCAATGCATGGAGCCACAACCATACTAGTAGATGGCTAATGAAATCATTTTTACATGCACCGGATGTACCATACTGGCATGTCCAGATCATGCCTCGCAGCCACTAACATCTTGTCCGCAGCATGCGAGCCGTCCATATTCCGATGGCTAGCGTTGGGCACAAATCGCTTCGATTGCCTTGGATCCGAAAGCGCTTGACCACAAGCCCTTGGCCATTTTGTATCAAGGCGATATCTCGATACTAGTACATAATTCTTGAACCATTCCAGATCCACCTGTTTCAGCCAAGCGTTTTGATGTCCTGTGCCCGCGGGTGTAAAGCCCGAGCGAGCGGGACATCCGAGAGACAAAGCACCGCGAAGTATCGGTGTTATTCCACTTGAAATAGTGCTTGGATGTTATTATTACTTTGACCATGTGCTCTGGAATGGAGCAAGAATTAACGTACCGAGAGCCAGTGTTTGACCCCTGGCCCTTGACGTGTCCAGTTGATATCTCGATACGTCATCGTGTCTGGAAGAAAGGCCACTTGATACTTTGTGTCACGTTACAAAAAACTTCGGCACAAAGAAAGGCCCGGCAATTCTGTCATGTGATTGGCTGAAATTATCCATGCGACGTAGGGATTGCACTTTCAATGCCATTGACCAACGAGCCCCATGCATCGCAAGTACTATTGTCTCGCTGCCTTCTCGGGCGTTGTGGGCGGCGTTGCGGGCATCGTCACGGCGTCGCAACGCCCAGATCCCTCCACGTCCAAGCTGCTTGGTGGTGCCATTTGTTTCGTCGCACTCGTCGGCAGCGCGGTGCTGTGCAGCGGAATCACGGGTGACAAGCCTGTTCCCACCATCACGCGCGATGAATTTGCAGCACTCTTAAAGGCGCTGCCTGGGGACGTCTCCACAAACCTGCTGCAGCTGGCTGCGCCTTGCGAACCCGTCATTGCTGCCTTGCACAAGCTACGCCTTGGCCTGCTCATCTACGTCCAGCACCTCGACGACGCCGCTACGCCCAAGGGATTTTTTTACCAGCTCCTCGGCTTCATCGACGGCTTCATGCGCTTCTGTCCACGCAACGGCGCCAAACTCATCGGCGCCATCACGACGCAGTCGCTCAACGCCCGCGACGGCTACGAAAAGGCGTCCCGGGAAGTCTACTTTTGGTGCGTGTCGGCCTTGCCGCTGCTCGACTCGTTCATCGACGCCTTGCAGCACGAACACACGGACGACGCGCAGACGCTCCTGCTTGCCGTCTACGAAAACGGCGCCACGATCATGCGCACGGTCGCATTGGCGCTCGCCACCACGGAGAAGCAACTGACCGGCGCCAAGGCCAACGTCATTGCTTTGAGCAGCACGTGCTTGGCCACGGACAGCTCCGAGACGCCGGTCAAGAGCGCGCCCGCGACGAAACGCTTGACCGCACCGGACGCTACGACGGCCCGCGCAGTGTCCCTCGTGCAGTTCGACAACCTCGTGGCTTTGGCTGAAGCCAAGACACTGCCGCCGGTGATGGAGGCTTCGTCGACGCTGGCGACGTTGCTTCTCGGGCTCGCGCACCAGATCGAGTCAATGGTCCAAGCCATCCGGTCGGACTGGCAGCAACTCGCGCAGACCAACGTCATCCACGAGATCGAGAGCGAGATGCGCCAGCCCAAGCTTCTCCAGCTGCTCGACGAGGCGACGATCGAGGCGTACATCACATCGGCCAAGGCGCTCAAGGCGGCGTGCAACCAGTTCATGGAGCATCATCGCATCTAACGATAGAATTCAATAGTCCAACGACTACTCATGCAATAGACATAGTACCGTTATACGATCGCAGTAGACCGGACATTTCGATGCACTTTATTGTCTTCGATGCACCGACAACGACGTGTGCAGAACGTTTGCCCACGTGGCAGCGTCCTGGCGCGATATGTTCCCGGACACATGGGAGGTTCCGGATACCGTGCCACTTTGCACCTTGCCAGCATGCAGGGCGGCAACAAGGTACGCCGTGCGGCGATGGACCGCGCCGCGTACAGCTGTCGGCGTAGGGCATCGGCCTCGAGTCGACGCGGCACCTCGCCGAGCGCTTTCCCGAGAGCATCGTTCTGCTTGGTGCGCGCAGCGTCGCCAACGGCCACGCCGACGCCAACGTCCGCACGCTCTGCATCAACGTCGCGACTGTGTCGTCCGTGGAGGCGGCGGCCGAGTACGTCGTCTCACAGTATGACCGCGTCGATGGGCTCGTGCAGAACGCCGGTGTCGTCGGGGACGTGCCCTTCGACGTCAACCTCTTGGCGTTGACGCTGTATTTGACGCCTTCCGCCCTCTCCTCGTACCTTCTTCTCTCTTTACAACATAGCGAGACATCGCGGTATGCGTGGTCTGCGGCAACGAGGACACGCGATCGCTAGTCCGTGATGCGCCATACATCGGTACAGGGATCGAACCCCAGCGGTGCAGCAAAGAAAAGCATGCAATACAGACATTCATTTCGAATTCCGACGGTGCGGGGTAAGGTATGCAGATACAACGAGGTGTCGAGTCTGGACGGACTCAGTCAGCTTTGCTTGTCCGAATGTCGATCGCAATCGTGTCGTCCGCGCCTGCTTCTGTGGTCTGCATAGCACAGAGCATCGACGCCACCGCGTCACAAGGGCAAGCGTCTTGGAGTGCTGTCGGTGGGCTGATCGTCGTGGCGTCGGCCGGGGCGTCGCTCTCAGCGCTGCTAGCAGCCTCGGGCTCTTCCTCGGCACGTGGCGCATCGCTCTCCGGCGCTGGGCTTGTCGGCGGCACTACCTCGAGCTGCGTCAAGACCAGAAGCGACTGCAGCGAGGTGCGAAAGTCGAGCGTATGCGTCGGTTGGATCTTGCACACCGGGGCACCGATGAAATGGCTCGTCGTGTCGTGAAAGCGTTTCTTGGAGCGGCCACAGCCGGGGTACGCCAGCGCCACGTCGAGCACGTGCTGCAAGAAGCGTTCGAGCGGCAGGGCTCGCTCCGACATGTGTCGCACGCGCGCCGGCCATCGTCGCGGCGGGAACGGGACCGCCTTGATCGCCGTGCGCACGGCTGCGCAGCGACGGCAGGCGCACGCCGCCTGAATTTGAGATAGCAGCGCATCGCGGAGCGCGACAAACTGGCTGTAGCGCTTGGAGCACTGCGTCTTCTGCCGCGTCTCGGGCACGACGAGCTCCATGTCGTAGCGCAGTTGGCGCTGCTCGGTCGCGCCCTGGACGATGACGAGCCCGACAAAGTTGACGACAATGGCCTCGGTCGCATCGGCCGTCGAGGGTGGAGTGGGCTTGGGCGTCGGCGCCGCCGCTGGCTGGAGCCACCGCGGTAGGAAGCGTCGCATGGACGCCAAATGAAAAATGGAAGCTGGAAGTTCGAACGCATCTCGTCCGCCAATGAAACGGCCAGGCAAGGTCGTTCTCGTCGTTGATTGGCAGATCCACGAATCTCGACAAGCGAATCAAACGCGCCATTTTGGATCTTGCACGGGCACGCTACATGATCACCTATAAAGCGTTCAGTAAGCTCATGTTGATCAAGGATCCGAAACGATTCTACACCAGCGCGCTCAACTCGCATTGTGACGTCGACGGCGAAGTCAGCATCTGCACGAGAGAGATGGGAGCTTTCAGTCCGCACCTTCAGGTTGCGATCACGGGCTAAAAGTTTAAGTACGTTAGCGTAGGGATCGACGTATCACATAGACGGCTTGTACGCTGTGGCTCGTCCAGACAACAACATCAAGTGCTGCAAATCATGTCATGCAATGACGCATCACATGCACCAGACCGAGGGCACCACTGGTCGGCGGATCTCGCAGTGTCTGGAGATCGCGGCGGTGACCGACCCTTGAGGCGTCGGGAACGTCACTTTGGCCGGCAGCACGAGCTCGTTGACAATATAGCGGGACGGCGTCGGTCCTTCGACCACCGTAAGCGCGCTCGGCCCTGCGTTCCCGTCGAGGACGGCCAAGAGACTGAGCCGAATCTTCACTTCAAGGACATCGTCTCGGTAGCAGAGCAAGAAGACGTCCGACCCTCTCAAACTAATTGTCGGGCTCGCTTGATAGGCAGGGTTGACCTCGAAGAGCTTGTAGACACTGCCACCCCGCGTCTCCGATGCTGCGTCGACCTGGTGCTGGCAAAAGCACGAGAGCATGAGTCGGTTCTTGAGGTTGTTGAAGTGATGACTCGCGAAATCGCGCGGGAGCACCGAGGCGCGTCGGTGCAGCCCTACGAAAATCCATTCCAAATCACTTCAAACCATAAGTCGGTTTCGATACATTGCCGGTAGCGCGGCGCGCCAAAGCCGTACATGAGCGGCAAGCACGCAATCACGAGCGTGTAGAGCGCACAGCCGATCGCCATTTCATTTTCTTGACCGCGCACAGCTTCCGGCACCGCGACGAGGAAGAGCCAGTGATACATGCGCGTCATGAAGGCGACGTTGCCACTCACCCACGAGAAGATCGGGCCGTAGATCGTGACGGCGACCGCGACGAGCGTCGGGTCCACTTCGACAAAGAGGTGTTCCTTGTGCCATCGCTTGAGCCCGTACGCGGTAGCACAGAGCGCGCAGTAGGCAAACCAGACCTAGTTTCATCCACTGCTTTCGCCTTGTCAATCAAAACAGAAGCACGTACGGTGCGGGACAGATAGAGCACATTGATCCAGAGCACGTCGAGGTCGCCGTTCTGCGACGCCCTTAAAATCGAGACGCCAACGTTGCTTGTGCTGAGCCAAATGTCGACAAGAAATGCCAGCGCGACTTTAAGGTCGACAAGGATCAGCGCGGTCGGATCGCCGAGCACCACTTCGTAGCGCCAAGCGGCGGCGTCGCATCGGATGGACGCATGGCCGTGGGCTCGAACGCCGGCCTCCAGTGCAACGCAGTGGCGGTAGTAGCAACGCCACATGCGCCAGAGCACAAAGAGCGTCAGCAGAATGCGGTAGCACAACTTGAGCCACAAGAACGACTGGAACCGAGTCGCTGCGTACGTGTATGTGAGCGTGACGATATTGGATGCGTTGGACCCGTGAAGGGCGTCGCTGGGCGTGAGCCAGAGACATGAAGTCCCAAACGTGATGGTGGCCACCTTGTCGTAAAAGCACGACCCGTTGGCGGTGACGTCGGCCAGAGACGCATTCCCGGGCGATGCGAGCGCGCAGACGATGTCCATTTCCGGCTCGGTATAGTAGAGGAGCCCGGGCATTCCCAAGAGCATCTTCGGAAGGCACTGGGACCGATGCAGTTGCCTTGGGTACGGAAACGGAATCGTGGTGCGAAGCACTTGGACGTCGTTGGTGCGGTCGTAGTGGTAGGCAGCGTGCATCGGAAGCGTCGTCGCGGTGTAGACGCGCCGGTTGTGCGCCAGCGACTGCGTGTTGAAGTCGGAATAGTTGGCAAACGAGCTGTTGAGCAGCGGCGGCGCGCGCCACGGAAGGTACTCGGAGATGTACGCCTTCATGGGCTACATGGAATGTCAAGACACGACGGAATGGAGGGGGAGAGCGACCATCGAGACGAGGTTGAGAAACGAGCAAAAGCTCAGGAAGAGACCGACTGTGTTGCGCTTGACTCGGTACGGAGCATGACGCAAGTCGGCCACCTGGGCCATGGGTGGTCCGCCTTTCTAAAGCTGGGCGCGGGCGTTTCAGCAAGTGCAGACAATATAAGCTTCGTGCTTACGTGTTTCCAAGAATGCGACGTGTCGTGTGGTCATAAGAAGCGATTTACCGTAGGCTTATGCACCAAGACACACCTAGGTCAAGGTCGACCCGCAACATTTTCATATTGCAGTAGTGTTATCGGTCTGGTAAGGCCGCTAGGAGACTCGATACTCGCTAGAGGTAGCCCCTGGGTACATATTGTAGCTATATGTAGCCTGCCATCACGTACGAGGCAGTCCCTTGTCGTGTTACAGTGGAGAGCAAACTCGACTCGTTCCAGTAGGGTGATGTCGGGTGCTTGTTGTAGGCCATCAACGTGCTTTAATCTCGATACTGCCTCTACATGCACCAGGCCAACGCAATCGCCGGTCGCTGGAGCTCGACGCGCTTGGCCGCGACGGACCCAATCGTGCGAGGACGCATTGTCAACGTCATGCTGGGGGCACGACTTGAGGTATTCCACACATGCAGCTCCGGGGTCTCAGATTGCACATTGCGCTCTCAACTGACAGCTCTTAGACCTTGATTGTACCAAAATACGGTACTGCCTTGTGTAGAGTCCACACGAAGTCAACGTGTTGAACGAGTTCCAGCTGCCAAGAGCCTCCGCGCATCTATGGTCCCGTGGTACTAGTCCTGCACACTCGGCGACGTCGGGTTGCGGCGTCAAGGCGGCTGCCAGCGTTGCAACGGTGCCGATGCATCTTGAGTTCAAGCTCGCCATACGTGTCGCCTCCAGCGCTCGGAAAACGACTTGCAGTGGTTTTGAATCGCGTCAAGCAAGAATGCACAAGGAGGAGGATGGGCACGGATGATCTGGAAGGTCCAAAGCAGCCAATCACGATGCCGCAACATGAGATCTGGCCATGTCATTGGCGGACGCATAGACACGTTTCACAAACGCGCCAATCCGGACCGACCATGGACATCCTGGAAAGGCTGGCATTTGCCAATCCACAAGCATGACCGTGTACCTCGTGACGGGCGGCAACCGGGTGCGTCAACGACGACGACTGCGGACGACTGGCTAAGGCGACGACGACGGTGTAGGGCATCGGCTACGACACAGTGCGCCTGCTCTCAGAGCGCGACCCGGCTGGCACCGTGCTCCTCGGGTGCCGCTGCGCGGACGCTGGCGCCGACGCCATCGCACGCATGCAAGTCGAGAACCCGGCGTGCACCTACAGCAACATCGCCACGGTCCTCATTGACGTGACGAGCGCGGCGTCCATCTTGGCAGCAGTCGCGCTCGTTGAAGCTCGGCACGGACACCTCGACGTCCTCATCAACAATGCTGGCATCCTCGGCTGTCCAGAAGAGGGCGGCCCCGAGATGTGCTTCCGCGTCAACGTCTTTGGCGTGTACAACACGACCGAAGCCTTCTCGTCCATCATGGTACTTCAGGTTCTTGCGCGCTCTTATGCTGACTCGTCGCTTTAGATTCCAGGGCAGGCCAAGGTCATTGTGCTCTCGACGGAAATGGTCGCCTGGACTTGCTACGAAATGCCGTCGGCGCTGCAAGCGCTCTTCCTCTCCGACCAAGACATGACGATCGAGCGCGTCAAGCAGCTCTGCGACGACTGGCTCCACGGTGACGGCGCCGCCTTCGCGTGGCCCGCGCCGTCGACGACGTATGGCCCGTACGTCATTGCGAACGCCCTCACGCTGGCCATGATGCGCACGTGGGCGCACGGGAATCAGAAAGGCGTCCATACCGTCCTCGTCTGCCCCGGCAATTGCTCGACCGACATGACGCACTACCACGGGTGTCGGACGTCGACGCAAGGCGCCGAGAGCGTCCTGTTTCCCGTATTTCACGCCACCGAGAATGGCGGCTTGTACTATAACGGTGTGCCACTGTCCTTGTGCGCACCGCGCCCGCAGTAGTCTCGATTGAATTTAACCAGTATGAAGTGTTTTTCTTGTGCATTTTGCCTCTACTGATGTGGCATCTTGAACGATTCCATCCATCGAGAGTAGTTTGCGCCAGTACATCAATTCTTGGAGAGACTAGAGTACAAAAAAGATTCCTCATAAATGCGTTTTCAAGCGAACGAGGTCGCGGCAATCAAGTGAGTGGAACTGTTCCGTCAGACGGTCAAAGCTGCCAACTCGGACACGCCCCAACATTTTGATTTAACGTTATTTGTTACATTTTGACCATGCACCGCAACGGCAGGCGTTAGCCTTGTCGATCCGAAATCCAAACTTTTGCAACCTTCTCCAATCGCTGTGATATTTTCAGGGGTGCTTTCTTTAGCTCGAGAGAGGCTGTATGCCACACAAGGACAGTGACACACCGTTTTAGTACAAGTCTTGTACTATAACGGTGTGTCACTGTCCTTGTGTGCACTGCGCCCGCTGTCGTCTCGATTGAATTTATGTTTATTTTGTAGTTTGCCTCCAATAAACAGGTCCCGTGCGGGGTGAGCTGGCAGGCACTTTTGAATGCGACGCGTTGACGACCGGTATTTGCGACGACGGCGCTTGCTGCAGTCTTCGCGCGCTTCTGCAATCGCACCTACTAGTATGGACCGGGCGTCGCGAATAGAAATACTAGGTCCATCCCATGGGTCCATCCTGTGTTCTTAGCTCCTTGCAGCAATACTACGTGGTCGGCTTGAACCAGTATCCGATAGAAACGACATACTCGCTTCACATCAACTCGCTTCTTGCATGCAAATGATCAAGTCAGCTATCAAGTCGCGATCAAGTACCCCATCCGGATGCGTGTCCGCTCCACCAATCAAATACAAGTACCGATTTTATCCGACTGAGAATTATCAAGATGCTCGCACGCGCCTTTGCACTTCATTTTCAGATTGGACAAATGACTGGGTGCTTGGAGGCGTTGTCAAGTTTTATGCGCAAGTGCAACAGTTTGTGCTGCCTACGTTCCGGCAACGTCGACATCACCACGACCTCGGTTTCGCTTCGCCGACTTGCCGCGTTGAAAGCCGCGCTGCCCAAGAAAGTCCAAGCCAACAAATTACTCGAAACCGAACGCAGCGACGGCTTCATTCCAGCTCTGCACAAGCTGCGCCGCGGCCTTCTCATCTACGACCAGCACCTCGACGACGCCGCGACACCCAAGCAATTTTTTGACCAGCTCCTCAAATTCATCGACGACTTCGTGCCCTGTTGTCCTCGCGACGGCGCTGATCTCATCGGCGCCATCACGACGCAGTCGCTCAACGCCCGCGACGGCTACGAGAAAGCGTCCCGGGAAGTCTACTTTTGGTGCGTGTCGGCCTTGCCGCTGCTCGACTCGTTCATCGACGCCTTGCAGCACGAACACACAGCCGACGCGCAGACGCTCCTGCTTGCCGTCTACGAAAACGGCGCCACGATCATGCGCACGGTCGCATTGGCGCTCGCCACCACAGAGAAGCAACTGACCGGCGCCAAGGCCCACGTGATGGCCTTGAGCGCGTGCTTGGCCACGGGCAGCTGCGAGGCGTCGACGGGCAACGACCGCCGCCAGCTCGCTTACTCAACAACGTCAATGAGCGAGCCGCTTCTACCACTTACAAAACCGGCGGCCGACTCACTCACGACGTTGTACGGTCAACCAGCAGCATCCGAGATGGAGGTGCAGCTATCGCATCTGCTTCAACAGCTGGCAGAACGAATGGATTCCATGCTCCTTGGTATCGTGTTTGGATGGAAACAACTGCAGCAGACGCGCGTCGTTGAGACGCTGGACGACGAGCGTCGCCAGCCAAATCTGCTCAAGTGCCTCGACGAGTCGACGACCGAGGCGTACAAGACTTTGGCAACAGCGTTGCGAGCAGCCTGCAGCGACTTCATGTGTCGCCATGCGCACCACCGAGCTGGTGCCGTCTATTAGTCGCGACCACTAACGATCTCAACACGTTGTATATTTCTTCGGCAACCAACACATTATTTGATATTGCAGCGCGCGCTGTCGGGTCGACGCTGTCTTGCGCGTGTCAAACTGTCGTCATATCGTCCCTTCCGTTGTCTCATGATGTCCCGAGCTCGAGCGACAAGCATGCGAAATGACGTGGCAGGCTCCGAGCGCAGATACGTACGACAATCCATTCCAGAGTGGCGCGACGACTAGGGAAACGCACCAACAGTGCATTGGTCGAAGCGACGCGTGCTGTAATACATTAGACACAGACCATGCACGGACTCTTGTCTGTCGGCTCTAGAGTCTCGGCGACCAACACACACTGGGCGCGTGCGGCCGCTTTCCACTGGCGAGCCATTTACGTCCGCAATGCAACGCGCCGGTCAGCGAGAGCGGCCAAGGGGCCGGGCCACGCCTTGCTCGTCCACACACTGCGGGGCTCGCATTCACGGTAGAGACTTTGCAGAGGCGGCGCCGCCGCGTTGATGTCCGGTAGGAGGTCCACCGTGTTGGTAGTCGAGAGGCTATGGCCCTGGATGTCGAGGCGCTCGAGCGGTTGGAGCTGCGGAATGGACTGCAAGAGCACCCGCCAATCCCCCACGTGCAAGCTGCTGTACGTGATCGAGAGCACGCAAAACCCTGGACATAGCGCTAGAGTACGCAGAAAGGGCGACAGCCGGCCCGGCAAACGCTTCAACTCGAGGTGCTTGAGGTGTGCGATCTCTGGCAGAAGCGATATGAGCGCAGTGCTTGGAAGCTCACAAGTTTGACAGGTGCTCAAATGACGTGGCGCCACCTCCGTCGAGCACGGTCCAGGTAAGATCTTAAATTTGGATCATAGCAAGCATTCTGCGATAGTACGGCGTGCTAATGGTACCTCTTGTACGCATCGTCGTTGTTGGTTATGGTTTGTTGAATCAGAGACACCACGGCGACGGCGTCCGAGGTCGTTGCAGCGCTACAAAGGCAGCTTCGACTTGCACCCACACTTTGGAGCCACGGCTGCGCGACACGTCCGGTAGCTGCGTCTCGAGTACGTTGAACATATACGGCGAGGCCGTGCGGGACTCGGCAATGAGCGTGGTGCCTCTGTTCTGGGACAAGCTACTGAGGAGGCTCAGTCGAAGCTTCTCGGTGAGCCCGTCGTCGCTGTCGTAGCAGAGGAGGTAGCAGTCGGCGCCGCAGAGACTGAGCGTCGGACTGTTGTTGAAGTTGGCGTTGCGTCGAAAAAGCTCGTACATGGTTCCACCCCGGCTCGGCACTGGCGACGGATCGCGAAACGACCGCACCAAGCTTAAAAGCACGCGGTTCTTGACCGTGTTGTAGAGGTAGCTGCTATAGTCGGGCACCCGGAGGCGAGGCCAGACGCCTAGATTCTCACATCACTCCAAACCCTTACAAGTAAAGACATACGGCGACGCAAAAGCGCAGCGGCCAAGCCATAGCCCACCGGAAGGCTCGCAATGCACCACGTGTAGAAGACACAGGCGAGGAAGATCTCGTCCTTCTCGCTTTTCTGCGGCTGCGGCACGAGCACCGAGAAGAGCCAGTGGTACACCGATGCCAGCGGCGCCCAGTTGCCGCCGAGCCACGAGATGAGCGGGCCGAAGACCGTGACGCCAATCGCCACCATGGTCGGGTCGACTTCGTCGAAAAGGTGCTGCTTCTCATGTCGCCGGAGAAAGTACGCGGTCACGCACAGACCAAAGTATCCAAACCACACCTACCCACCATCGACATTTGATAGATTGATACGATCCCGATACGTTGACACGAACCATACCGTGCGGGAGAGGTACAGCATGTTGAAGAGGTTCACAAACAAGTCGCCGTTCTGGGACGCACGAAGCACCGCGATGCCGACATTGGCCGTGCTGAGCCAAATATCAACCACGAACGCCAGTGCGACCCACGAATCCAGCAGAATGATCGCTGTCGCCCACGACGAGCTCGTAGCGGTAGAGGTCGCGGCCCGGCGTCGGGACATGGCTCTCAAGGAGAAGGCGTTGCCGCAAATGCACAATGTGTCGATAGTACTGTGTCCAGAGACGGCGCGTGACCACGCCAGTCGTAAAGAGACGGTACACAAACTTGCACCAGAGCCACGTATAGTAGCGCGGCGCGTTGTAGACAAACGAGTACGTGAGCGCCGACGTGTCGTTGCCGCCGTAGACCGCGTCGCCGCGCGTCACCCAGAGACAGATCGTCCCGATCTCGTGCGTCAGCTGCGTAGTTCGAAAGCACGAGCCGCTGTCGACACCGACACGCGTCGTCGCGTTGGCGGCATCGACAAAGTGGCAGAGATAGTCCATTTGCGCCGGCGTGAAGAACATCAAGCCCGGGAGGCCGAGAAGGAACTGCGAGAGGCAGCTGTCGCGCGGCAGCGGGCCCACGGACGCGGGCAAGAGCACCTGCCGCATCACTTGGATGTCGCGGACCGTATCGGTGATGTACGTCGCGCCAAAGGGAAGCGTCGCGCCGTTGTACAGGGCACCATTGAACGCGAGCTTTTGCGCGTTAAAGTCCGAGTAGTTGGCATACGTGTCGGGTACAATGGGCGGTGCTTGCCACGGCAGGTGCTCGGAGATGTAGGCTTTCATCGGCTAGACGATGTGTTGGTCATGGGACGACGTGGGGACATGCAAGGGTACCATGGAGGCGATGTTGAGCAGCGAGACTGCGCTCAGCGCAAGACCAACGCGGTTCAAGCGAACGACGTGGCGCCGCGCTGGGTGGCTACAGACTCCGATGCGCGTCATCGCGGCGACCCGAGAAAGGCGGCCGTTTTAGGCAGGTTATAAATGAACGCATGGTGACTTATCGTCTCATTATTGCGCTATCGCTGGGGTCTCTTCGGAAGACATGTCTACGCAAGGCGTAGTACTCTGGAAAGAACTTGGCGCTACTATTAGACACGTGAAAGCGATACCAAGCGCTCGCCAGATCTGGCACTCCGGGCTGGAGCGGCTCTGTTGGCGCACAGGTTGATTGCGATGCAGGGCGTGACGACACGTTTCCGGCATGGGATTGGACAAAACAACTTGAAAAGCCAAACAATGTCCAATACAACGCCACATATCGCATGCAAAACACAAGATATTTATTTAAAATATATGTATTCCTGCCACAACCACTTCTAATTGGTCAAAAAGCCAATGCATTTCGGGCCGCCCGTCGTATTAAATGTAAAATAGAGTCTCGCATACATACTCTGAGCTTCAATAAAAGGGTGGAATAAAAATGCGCTCGTCGCCAGTGTTACGCCCTCCATTAGCATCCCTGGAAGCAGCATGAGCATGGAAGAGGGAGTCGTCCAGGCCGTCGAGGCCATGTACGCGTCGGGGTCGCCGGCGGACCACCGCGCGGCCGCCGACGAGTTCCTCCGCAAGTTCCAGCGCGACGACGCCGCCTTCGCCACGTGCTACGCGCTCCTCTCGCGGCCGGCGATCCCGTCCATGCGCCTCTCGGTGCACTACGTCCACGCCTTCTGCGCGCAGACCATCTCGCACATGACGCTGCTGGCGGCCGAGCGTGACAGCCTCACGGCGCTCTTCGCGCTCCACCGCGAGCGCGATATCGTGCGCCTCCTCGGCACGGCGCTGGTCCGCAACATGGAGTCGTCGCAGGGCCTCGACTGGCTCATGCTTGGCGCGTGGGACGACGATGTGCGCCTCTCGCTGCTCACGCTCGCGGCGAAGGACGGGATCGCCTACAGCGAAGCGCCCAAGGTCATTGTCTGGCTCGGCAAGACCAACGTCGCGTCTGCCGACGCGCTGCGCTGCCTCGCCGAGTGGATCAACATGCTCGACGATACCACCCGCGATCCAGGTACATGCATGCTTCTCCATCTCTCTCTTCCTCACGTAGCATGGTTCTCTAGAGCTCGTCGTGCCCAACCCCGTCGCAAACGCGGCGCTGCAAGTCCTCCGCAACGGCATGGACGACAACACCGAACTCTTTGACGCAGCCGTCGACGTTGTCATCGAGATCATCCGCGCGTTTCCGTCCGCGGAGCGCGACATGCACGTCATCCAGTGGCTTCTTCCGCAGCTCATGGGGCTCAAGCCGCTCTTCGCCGAGGCTGCCGCTTACGGTACATGCCTCGATCCTTCGCCGTCTGCGTCCTATATCGTGTCACCATAGACAATACCGACTGCTGCATCGGCCTCACGCGCATCTTCACCGAGATGGCTGAGATGTACTTGAACTTGATCCTGAGCGAGTCGCCGATGAACCAGACCGCGGTCGTCGACATGCTTCTCGACTGCATGGCGTACCCGGACGCAGAGAGTACGTGGCTATCGCGGTCCGGCGACCTCCAGCTGACGTCGGTCGTAGTCGCCGAGATCACGATGCCGTTCTGGTTTGTCTTTTGCGATGCGCTCATCTCGTCGCGCGACCCGGGCACCAAAGCCCGCCTTCTCGCGACGTTCACGCCCAGCCTCACGCGCCTCTCGCTCATTTGTACAATATCGTCATGCAACCGATAGACAATTTAAAACGGCACTAGGCATGCAAAACATGTGCTTCCGCGACGGCTTCCGCGAGCTGCCGAGCGACAAGAAGCAAGATTTCAAAAACTTCCGCGCCGACGTACGTTGTGGTCGATGTTTTGTTTTCTTTCAAGGTATCAAGCGCTCTCTTTCGATAGCTCGGCGATATCTTGCGCGACTGCTGCCACCTCCTCGGCGCCGAGCTCGTACTCCAGCACTGCGTGCAGGGGCTTCAAACGATTTTCCAGTCCCAGGTGCCAGATCTGGTGCGGATGCGATGCGCAGAACCTAGATATTTGTAGGAGTCGCCCGAGCGTCAATGGGAGGCGATCGAAGCCCATTTGTACAGCTTTCGCTCGATTGCGCGCAAGGTCGAGCTCCAGATCCAGTCGCGCTCCAGTACGGTCCGATTCTAGATGCCAGAGTGTCTCGATAGACATTGTAGACTTTGACGAGACGCCGCTGCACAGCATCTTTTCGTACCTGCCGCAGTTTCCCGACCACCCCGCGATCAAGTACACGTCGTGCCTCATCATCTCGCGGTACGCCGAGTGGCTCGGCACGAGCGCCACAAGCTACCTCCCGTCCATGCTGCAGTTCATCGACGCGACGATCCAGCAGTGCCTGAGCCGCAAGGACTACCAGGAATGGTACGTGCGAGCTCGTCGATGCTCGTCGTTTTTTCATGGGCTCTAGGCAAGTGCCGACGGCCGTCAGCGCGGGTCTGCGCTCGCTCTGCATTGACTGCTGGAAGCACGTGGGCCGCGACCTCATCGAGTACTACGTGCGTCTCCAAGCCAGCGACGCGCTCCTCGTTGAGGACCAAGTCATTTTGCTCGAGGTATTGCTGCTGGGCTTGATCGCAGGAAGTCACGGCGCGTAGGGTATCTGCAAGGGCGTCTCGATTGGCGACCGCCAGCTCATGGTCCCGGCGATGCAGACGCTGGTGACGCCGATCGCGCAGCACATGAGCGAGATTTTTGCGCGTGGTACGCCATATTTGGAGCTTCCGTGTATCGGAATTGACGTTGCGTTTCAGATCATCCGTCGGCGAATGGGATTCTCAAGGACCTGCTGCGGCTCATGTGCATCTACGACCACATTACGGTCTCGGTCGTCGACCCGAACGCGACGCACCCGCTCGTCGCGCTCACCGAACAGCTCTTCCCGCTCTTCCAGCAGGTTGCTTTGCTGTCAAACAGGAGTATCAATGTATCAACAACAACACGGCTGCATTAGACGCTGCGCGTGTACGGCCACAACGCCGAAGTCGTCGAGCGCAGCTGTCGCTGCTTCAAGCGCATGCTTCGCGTGCCGCAGATGAAGGTCGTCGTGCCGACACTCGCGGAGCTGCTCGTGACCCACTTTGAAGCGCATCCGCAGTCGTCGTACCTCTACTGCGCGAGCATGATCCTCAAGCACTTTGCTTCGGACGCCGACTGCGCGCCGATCTTCGAGCAGCTGCTGCTGGCGCTGAGCCGCAAGACGTTTGGCGTGCTCCAGGTAGGTCTCCACAAGACGTTACATTCGCATGACAAGCATCGGATATGTAGGAGTCGTCGCACGCGATGGTCGACAACCCCGATATTGTCGAAGAGTTCTTCTACCTTATTGAGCGCTACCTGCGCTGCTTGCCGCTGCAGACCGTGCCGCTGCTGCCGAGCGTCTTCCAGGTGCGTCACCGTCAAGACGACGTCTCCAATGTGATCTCTTCTAGTGTGCGTTGGCGGGGCTCGCCATGCAGCACAACGACGCCAACAAGGGCGTCCTGAGCTGCCTCCAGCTCCTTCTGCAGCAAATGGCACTGGTGCACACGGACCCGACGTTCCAGCCCTACTACGTACTACAATATTGTCTCTACTTGGATCTCTGATGGCGATGTTATAGACGACCGTCGACGAGTGTCTGCGGACGCAGGGCCACCTTCTCGTGCACGCACTGTTGCGCGGCGTCATGGGCCACCTCTCGGGGTCGCGCGTCGACGCAGACCACGGGTCGTGCGCCGGTGTGCTCCTCTGCATCGCGCAGCTTCACGGCAACCTCTTCCAGGTACCTCCTCTCGGAAGCATCGATCAACGTATCAACATGAAATGCTAGGAATGGGTCACGAGTGTGCTCGGGGCCATGGAGACCGGACCCAAGCTCAAGCCGGACGAGAAGCAAAAGTTCCTCGAGACGCTTCTCGCGTCGACGGACGAAGGCACGTTCCGCCGCACGATCCGTCACTTCTCCAAGCTCTGCAAGCAGTGCAACGTGTACGTCTAAGCCACGCATCATCACGCATGTGCACTTGGTTCCATCCTCATGTGTGCAAGGACGACGACGACGTGTTGGTGGGATTGGGTTAAAGCAACGTACAAAACTTGAGGAAGAGCGGGCCGGGCTCGTCGTAGAGACCGATCGGGTTTTGCCGCACGACGATCGTCTTGACCTCGTCGCCCGTCGGCCGGCCTTCCATCGGCGGCTGGCGGCGGAAGATTACGATGAGTTCGCGCAGATGCGCGTTCGACATGTACGGATCCATGTAGAAGAGCCGTGTCTGCGGCGCAACCTCGAGATGTCCGCAGTGCAAATGCTCGATGAGCAGCGAGAGCGCCGAGCTAGGTCGTCGTCGTCGATGAGATAATGAGGGGCAGACATCGTACTACCTCGCAAAGGCCGAGCCGCCGCTCTCAACAAACGCTGCGTCCGACACTAGAAGGCAAGCGATGCCACGTGGCCACACGCGATGTGAGCGTACCTCGCCACGCCAGGACGTTGGCCTTTGCAATGTTGCCTTGGATGAAGCGCCGAAGCCCTTGCAAGAACGGGTGGGCGCCTATAAATTCATCAAATGCAAGCCATCGGGGCTCGAAGTAGGGACCAATGTTGGCGTTGTGTTGCGTGAGAAACGCCATGAGCGCGTCTTTGGCCGCGTCAATCTCGGCGCGGGTGCGCAAGTACCCTTCCTGCAGCCGCACGGTCAAGAAGGGCGTGCCATCGACCGGGTGCGTCTCGGCGAGGTAGTGCACACTCTGGCGCTGCGCCAGCGTCGCGGCAAACTCCGCATACTACACCATCGTACGTCGTCATTCGAGCAAGCGTTGGCATCGATGGCGCCTACCCGCTGCTTGGACGCGTACGCGTGGAACTCGGCGCGGACTTGGTTCTTGACGCGCTCGAGCACGGTGAGGCTAGTAACAGCACGTTGGTCGTGAGCCTCCGGGACGTCTCGTGACGTCGGGCACCGACTTGGTGTAGAACACGTCGCTGTGGTCGGCGATGGGGCAGTGAGCGAGGCCAAGGCTCGCGAGCGTCGCGTCGGCGCTCGAGGTGCTGCCCACGCCCGGGATCGAGATGCTACGAATGACGTGTCATTGGCAGGCGACGTCGGCGGATTGGAGGAACGTACGCGACTTGGTCGAGCTTGAGGCCTTCGTAGACGTCGAGGATGGCCTTGGCGTCGTGGGTCTCGTCGTGCTGGAAGTAGTACGCTTGGCAGATGCCCCGCCACTGGCCAAGGACGCTCTCGGCGCTCGCATCGACGCAGCGGCAGCCCATGGTCGCACCCGAAATGCTTCTTTTTTGAGTGGGTGAAAAAGGTTACACACGACGTTTTTCACGTTGGTAGGTGGGAAATACAGCGTCAAGTGCAAAGTGACGTCTCGAAAGCAGCACGTCGACAACGAGGAGCGAGGTCGATGACGCCTGCTTGACAAGGAAAAATTAGCGCCGACCAACGCGAGCTCCTTGCTTATCTTGCGCTGCGGCGCATTGGAATACCTTCCAACGTGGAACGTCCTGGTGCGAGCCTTTCGTCCGTGGGCCCATTGAGAGCGATGCAGAAGGGTCGTAGTAGGTCGAGGAAACGAGGGTGTGACGCACGTGCTTAAAGACACCACTCGGAAGAAGGGTGAGATCCATGGATGGTTGACGCATTCTCAAAGAAACACGCAAGGGGCAACGACGGGCGCTTCGATTCTTCGAAATATGCGCTGGCACTTGAAGTTGGGCCTTCGACAGCGCATGTTGGAACCGAGTTTTTTGCATGTGATCGGATTCCTCCATCTCGCGTGGACTCTCGCTCGACAACTCTATCGTTGCGAGCGTCCAGCCCAATAAGACCTGATCGGAGGCGAGATGCTGCAGGGCAAAAGCGAGGGCATCTACGGTACTACACTACATGAACGGTGTGTATATCGTCAATGGATACTACTTCCAAAAGAGCTGCCAAGTAGTACGTCCATTCTTACTGTGGGCCCAACCAATGCTCAATCGTCAATTTGGCACGAGCCGTCGCAGCATTTGCTCCATGGACAAAGGCCCTACCCGCGGCTCAACCCGAAATCTTGTCATTCGCGGGAAGAAGCCTTGGTATGGCTCTTTAGCCCATCTCACTGTATGTGGAAAGGACTGGGCCAAGAGCCTGGTCGCGCCACGCGAGTCATTGACGCATCAACGGCGTCCCACCGGATCTGGATTTCCCACGCGCCGTGTTTCGTTTCACACATGGCACACGGTGGGTTTTTAATCGGCATCCGATTGGCCCATGCCACTGACTTTCAACTTCGGGTATTAACTTCGATTGGCACGCGTATTCTTTTTCGGTGCATTTCCAATATACTGGATATGGGTATACAAGCGCACATATTGGTCATTGAATTCAAATCGAGCAGCGGCACTTCGAACTTCGCGTCCCTCGGGCCACAATTCCGGGCCAGTAACTTTTGCTGCCACGAAGGAAGGATGAGCTCCAAGGCCCTCTCTGCCGTCGCCCGTAGCCGCCCGCTCGCGATCCGCGCGGCCGTCCGCGGTGGCCACCACCACGCGCCGCCGCCGCCGCCGTTTGCGCGCCTGCCTGTGCCCCATGGCAACAAGCCGCTCGAGCTCCACCGCGATCTGGTCTGGACCGACTCGGTCGCGCCCGAGCTGCTCCTCGACTTTGACTCGCCGCACATTACGAGCGGCCAGGCCCTGCGCGCGCTCCTCGGTATGCTCTCGATGGTGCCCATCTTCTTGGGCGTGCTCTACGTGGCCAACCCGGACGGCATGCGCAAGGCCTCCAAGCGCGGCAACCACTTGCAAGACTTGCGGTGGGAATTCGGCCAGATCGACGAACCGGAAGGCGAGATGGAAGAGATGTAAGCGTGTCATGCGACGTACCTCCTATCAACATGAATAATCAAACTCGGTGTGCGCGACCTCGCTCGTCTGTGGCAAGCAATGCACGCAGGAACGACGACGCGGCAATGGCCACAGCCACGATGCATGGCAGCGGGCAGAGACATCTTTGGCTCGTCGACAGCACACCTCGATCAACGACATCCAACAGCTGCGGCCCACAGTTCGTGGAAGTTGACTTCAACTGCCCGTATATCGACCGTGCTTGCACCGGCCATCTCGACCTTTTCGTACCTAGAAAGTGCTTGCAACGATATGGCTAGAGCTCGTGCCTCGACGAGCTCGTAGCTTGCAGCTGCACTCGTGCTCTGGCGTATGAAGTCGCCGAAGACAGCATTCTCGCAACGGGTGATACCTGCTGCATGTGGACGTTGTTGTTGCTTCGGCGCATCCGGCAGTCGATGCAGCGCGTTGCGGCCACATCAACGCGGCTCGATACAGCGTGAGCAAGCTCGTCGAGACAGAAGACATGAAATATATTGAACACCTCCACGACGTATACTAGTCCTAGATAAATACTGTCGTCTTGGCTTCGATCTTGGTCTTGCAGAGGGGACACTCGGTCGTGATGTGCGCCGAGCAGCTCGTGCAGAGGCAGAGGTGCTTGCACGGCAGGAGCAGCACGTTCTTGGTCGCAGAGAGACAGACCACGCACTCCAAATTCGGATCCCGCGTCGTCGTCCATGCAGAATCATCATCATCATCGTCGGCGGCGACGGTGCTGGACGGCGCCGGCTTGGTCTCGCCCTGCTTGCCTAAAAAGTACTCTTGCGTCTTGAGCGCCGCCGCAGGGTCGCGCAGGATCGTCGACTCGACGAGCGACCGCGCTTGCGAGACGACGGCGCAGCCGCGCGAAAAGTTCTCCTGGGTCTGCAGTGCGCCTCTTGCATCGCCCTTTAGCACCTGCACGAGCGACTTGGCCTGCGAGAGGAAGAGGCAGTGGTCCATCGAGAAGGAGCTAAAGTGGCTCCGCGTGCGGGCGGCGGCCGCCGGGTCCTGGATGATCGTGTCTTCGACGACTGCGCGGACCTGCGAGACGACGGGGCAGCCGCGTGAAAAGTTGTCTTGGGTCTGCGACGCGCCCTTGAGGTCGCCCGTGATGGCCTGGAAGAGCGACTTGGCCTGGGACACGAGTGGCACCGTGTCGATCGGCGCGGCCGTCGCTGGCTCGGGCGGGCTGGAGGTCGTCGGCGAGGCCATGGCGGATTGCTGAATACTTCGTTGCATTCGTACGGAACCACGCCCAGTCTCCGATTGTCTAAACACACGTCACTTATGGAGCCACCAGCCCAGACGGCGCTTCACCAAGGTCCGAAAACCCGCTCTTCATCGTCGGTCAGCTAGCTCTGCACATCGACATGGCTCGGTGCTACGAAAGAGTGCACCAGGCACCCCTGTTGCCTCGCAGCAAGGCAGCGTGACACGTAGAGCCACGCTAAGGTGGCGTGCGTTTAGGTTGAAGTGTCATCCGGATACGCAGCTCGGATGGGGCACAGCTCGAATCGAGTTTGGTCGGACTGCCACGTTCGCAGTTGATACTACTTGGCGAGCGAACGCATGGCATGGCGTCGCTGCGTCCGACGCGCTGAGCTACGAGCGCGACGAGTGCGCCGCCAACGTGCGTTGAAAGGCGACGGCAGAGGGCGCAGGACGTTGTAGTAGCAGTGGCGTAATGCTGCGGTGCAATGGGTGCGTCAGACCAACTTGATTTTGACGTGCTGGACCACTGGACCACTGGTGCTGGACAAGATCTTGCCCAGGAGCTGCAAGATACTACTTGCTAGCCACTTCGATCCAACACGTAGCGCACTAGGCGTTGTCTAAAGTGCTCAAACTAGCGGAGCTCGCACCTCAATCGTCTCTAAGATCTCGATTGCATCCTAGACACTATGTGCACTCGTTCGCGACTGTTGACCGTGCGCGAATGGAGTTGTGGGTAGAAGAGCTTCGTTTGTCTCGTCGCAGGCTAGAACGCGGCGTGGATCCAACTCCAAGGACACACACTGCGCCAGGTCGACGGGCTAGTTGCATGCATGCTCGACCAATGTGCCAATGTGCGATCCAAGCGCAATCTTCCAGCGTGAAAGCGTGTATATCATATCTGAGAGGTCTCCGCTGTGCAAAGTTCAATATCAAATGCCAGAGGCACGCGAGGCGCACGCTATCAAATGGGCCCTTGAACTCCCCTCATGAGACGCGGCACTAGACTATATAGAATGTGGAGTAGGTCCAGTTTTCGGCCCGTGAACGTACTTGGCGCTTTAACGCTCAACTAGACGTCTCGAAATCATGCTCGTCCGTGGAGAGATCGTTCAAAGTGAATCCGCCACAGCGCCATGCGCAAGAAGCACTACTGAGTACGGCATCTGAATGACGAAGGACTGCGACGAGACAGACCATACCCTAGCACAAACTACACCGTCTTTGCAGGGATTGCACGGGATGTCAGTCGCTGGCGTCCAACGCTGCCGAATGAAGGTCTTTTTCAAGAGACTTTGATGAATGGGAGTACATGAATTCATTTGAAAAGAATCAAAACAAAGCCAGCTAGCTTTGATGCATCAAGGTATGCGATCTCGAGGTACTGTACCATCGATCAACAAGCGTGGGCTAGCAGCACGCCATCACAGACCGCACCAACGGAAAGCATGACGTCAGTAGCTTCCAAGCGTGGTGCAGAGACAGAGGAGTCGACCACGAGTGATTCCTATCCTGGCGTCATGCCTGCGTGCCTATGCTGCTGGCCATAAGGATGGTCTAAGGCTGAATCGTGATTTCGCATCCGCGATGCGTCGAAATTCTATGTTTCGCTTGCAGTTGATTGGTGGAAAGTTGATGGGCATGTCAAAAGGTTAGCGTTTATTTTGCATGTTCAAAACACCGATTTTAATCTAATTACTCCTTGTTTTAGGCGCATATGCCGAATTAGAGGCCCTAAAAAGGAATAATGCCTTGCCATAGGCATGCAACATATGCATTTCCACACTATAGCTATATTTCGATTTTACAACCCGTCCACGTGTTTGTTGCTCATCCAGATGCGACCGGCCAAACGACGATGACCATCACCATTCCTCTCACAACCCAAATTGCCTTCAAGCACGCAACCCATACATGGGCTCAATCACGTCCCGCCTCCTCGCCCTCGTCGCCCGGAAGCGCAAGCTGCGGGTCATGCTGGTCGGCCTCGATGGCGCAGGCAAGACCACACTCCTCTACCGCGCGTTCCTTGACGAGACGCTCTCGACGGTCCCAACCGTCAGCTACAACCTCGAGACCATCCAGCACAAGTGCGCGACGCTAACGATGTGGGACTTTGGCGGCGATGAGCGCTGTCGACGCGTCTGGGTCGACTTTCTCGCGCACCAGTTTCACATTGTCATCTTCGTCGTCGATGCAACCGCAGTCGATCGCTTGGACGAGGCCCAGCAGGCACTCCACGACATCCTGGGCGCCGACACCGCGCGCGACTGCCGCGTGCTCATCTTTGCTAATAAGCAAGATCGCCCGGGCGCGCTGGACGACGGCGCGATCTCGTCGGCCTTGGACCTCGCGCATCTGAAACAGCGTATGTGGAAGGTGCAAGGCGGGTCCGCGACCACGGGCAACGGCGTCCACGAAGGCCTCGCGTGGTGCGCGCAAGGCGGATGCTGAGCAGCACCATGGTATTTAAGTCGACATAACCATTATTTATCCAGTCCGTTCCATTTGAACGCGCATCAAATCAAATCAATGGCTGTGCATCGCCTCCACATTGTCGCGGATTGTTGTAGCGCTTGCGTGAGCTTTTATTTGGTGAGTATGCTTGCGGACTCAGTTCTTATTGACATGCCTTTGACGTCGCTGGCGATTTCTCGCCAAAGGCAGACTATGCGTACCGGTACTAGATACCAACGGTGGCGCCACGAAGCCTTCACGAAGCCTTCACGGGGTCCTGTGGGACGTCTGTTTGGAGATACTGAATTCTCCAGGCTGGTTCGATCCGATCGAAAAATGCGCAAAAAATATGATTTAGACGCCCAGCACCCCATCGCAAGTGCCCGCTCTCCGTGGCAAAGTCGACGCCACCAAAGACGCCCATCGCTCCGACAGCGAGTGCGTAGATCTTGGCCTCTAGAGACATCTTTGGTACCGTGTACGTATGCCTCAATTATTTCGTAGTATTAGTCTTGATATTTGTATCGATCGATTTGCCTTTGTAAAAAACACGGGGAGAGTGTCTACTGCGCCGTGATTGGCTGCTGGAATTGCACTTTCCGATCGGTCGACCAAGGTCATGGGCGCCGTCGTGTCCCGCCTCGCCGCGCGCCTCTTTGGGAAGAAGGAGCTGCGCGTTATGATGGTCGGGCTCGATGCGGCGGGCAAGACAACGATATTGTACCGGCTCAAGCTCGCCGAGACGGTCACGACGGTCCCCACAATCGGCGCCAACGTCCAAACCGTCGAGTACCGTAACCTGAGTTTGCAGGTTTGGGACTTTGGCGGCCAAGACAAGATCCGCGCGCTCTGGCGCTGCTACCTCGTCAACAACGACTTCAACGTACTCATCTACGTCGTCGACTCGAGCGACCGCGACCGCATGCCCGAGGCCCGCGACGAGCTGGTGCGCATTTTGCAGCAAGAAGAGCTCCGCCACTGCCGCGTGCTCGTCCTCGCCAACAAGCAAGATGTCGCAAAAGCCATGAACACGCTCGAGGTCACGGCCAAGCTCGGCTTGTACGAGCTCGAGCACAACTGGTACATCCAAGCCTGCTGCGCCACCACTGGCGCTGGTCTTGTCCAAGGCCTGCAATGGATCGCGCGGACCAGCTAGACAACACAACGTTGAGTGAAGGTGTTGCCACCCAAATACTACCTACTATCTAATACCTCATATACAACACTTGCATTTCCTCCATCGAGGCTCTTCTCCTTGCGAGGACGACCGCTCGTTGTGCTATCTCCGGAGCATGAGCACTATGGTCGTCCGCTGCACTCAGCTCGGTCTCCCGAACCATAGTCCAGTTGAATGTCAGAAACTCGTACAGTACGCACGGACCGATCGACCTCCTACGGCACTAACCCTTCCTCGTCCGCATCAAAGAAAGCACAGACGACAAATGCAAGCAAAATGAATGGCAAGTTAATGATGGAAGGGATAAAGATTTACGGCGCCTGCTCTTTTTCAACGTCGCCGAGAGCCAGTCAAGGCCTTCGTACAATCCGTCGCCCGTGGTTGCGCAGCAGGCTTGGATGTACCACGGCCGGCCAAACGTCCGCAGACCGAGCTTCTCGGTCATCTCAGCCGCGCTCATCGAGTTTGGCAAATCCTGCTTGTTGGCAAAGCAAGGGTGATCGCGTCGCGGAGCTCGTCCTGGGCAAGCATGCGATGGAGCTCGTCGCGGGCTTGGTCGATGCGGTCGCGGTCGTTCGAGTCGACGACGAAGATGAGGCCGCGCGTGTTGTCGTAGTAGTGGCGCCACAGCGGGCGGATCTTGTCTTGGCCACCGACGTCCCAAACCGTAAAGTTGATGTTCTTGTACTCGAGCGTCTCGACGTTGAAGCCGATGGTCGGGATCGTCGTCACGACTTCGCCGAGCTTGAGCTTGTAGAGGATTGTGGTTTTGCCGGCGGCGTCGAGGCCGACCATGAGGATGCGGACGTCTTGCTTGCTGAAGAGGCGGTCCATGACCCGGGAAAAGAGCATACCCATGATGCTTAAAGGCTCGAGGTGCGAGAATGAATTAAGAAGAATGGGGGTATCCCTCGCCGCGAGCCGTCGCGCAGTGCGTGCTTCTTGAACCCGTGCATATAGACACCGGGGGCGCCAAAGACAGGGATCTCAACGGTCCGTGTGATTGGCTGGGTCGTTGAAGCGGCACACCTGATTGGCTCGATCGTTGAAGCAGAGAGGGTGCTCAAGAAACGAGCAATGTGTGCCGTTTCTCTTGTGACGACCGCGGACGTGTATGGTCTATAGACTGACACTACGATCAGCGCATATGCACGTCAAGTAGACAGACGCCACACCGATGTTCAACGGTGGTGGCGTTTGATTGGAGAGTATAAGGCGCAAAACGTCGTTTCATTGGCTGATTTTCAGCAAATGGCCTTGCGCGATTCGGATGTTTGTTGACATGCTTGCAAGTGCAAAGTCGTCGTTCCAGCGCGATTTGGGCTGCTGATGATTATGCGTAGAGTAGCTGTGTTGACGAAAACGGAGTATACTCTGCAGGGGCTTACACGAGTGCTGCGAGCGCGATGACGCCAAGGGCGACACCACTGACCGCGACGGTGGACGCAAGCGAGCTAGGGGGCGTCGTGGGCGGCGCCGACGTCTTGGGCGCCCGCGTCGGGGTCGTCGGAAGAGGCTCGGTGACCGGGGGCTCGGGCGTCGCGGGGCAGATCGCGTCGCAGTCGAAGCGCTTGCCGGCGAGGTACTGGGCGCGGCAACTGCCGCACGTGAGGCATTGCTTGGTGAGGACGACCCCCGGCGTGTCGTTGATTTCTTGGATGCAATGGAGCTCTTCGGCACAGCGCCGCGTCGGCTTTTCGTTCAACTCGAGGATGTAGTCGGTAAAGCCGAGGCCAGACGAGCACTGCCGCGAGTCGGTGCAGAGACCAAACTGCGGAACGGACCCGTCCGGGGTGGTTTTAAGGCACTCGGAAGTCTTGGAGGTGCCCCCTTGCAGCCGCACTGCCGGTTCGTACCCGACACGATGCACGTCAGGTTGTACCCGTTCAGCGTACCGCAGTCGAGATCCTTCTTGCACGGACTGAGAAACTGGAGCTTGCACGTCGCGGGGTCTGGCGTCCCGGGTACGCTCGTCGCGGCGGCGGCGACAAGGCAGAGTGCAAAGAGTGGCAACCACTGCATTTTGGGAATTGGGAAATGACCGAGCTCGACACCAGCCACACCACCTTGCAAACAAGGCGGGTGCTAAGTCCGACGCGCGGATCTCAAGTTGCGGAAATGGCATCAGACCTGACCAATCGCACGCCGGAGACGCCCACGCGACACGACATCGACGGGTGCAGGCGTCGGGTCAGCTACGATGGTGTAGACTGACGGTCGTTGGCACTAGCCGACCAGAGACTTCAACGAGCAGTCTACGATGGCAGGAATGTATTGCTTGCCGCACCAGCTCGACGCGCCGTGTGTTTCTACTGCGCTTGGACGTCCGCATGGAAAGCTGCTGTGATTTCTGCTGTGATGCATCTCAGAATAGATAACCGGACCGGTAGCCGTGCTGCAACAAACGTAATGAACGTCGCTTGGGACATGGTGCATGTTGATGGGATCGCAGGTGTACCTACTGTATCTTCTGTAGTCTAGTGAATTCGTCCAGCCCTGTGAGCCCCCCGTGTCTAGACAGACTTACGAGGTCAAGGCACTATATCCTGGGAGTCCAAGCATCATCACGAGTGAAGTGTTGATGGCTATCAATCTCCACCAAACGGACCAAACGTAAAATCATCGACAGGAATCAAGGCTGCTTTTACGGCTAGAGCGGAAAAAGGGTGTGTGTGTGTTTTCTTCCTCTGTAAAAGCTCTTTACACATCGTAGAGAAAGCATCGCTGAACATTTCGGCTTTGCTGTTGTCTTTGCCCCATGGCGCATCTCTGCACGTCCTTTGCTTGGCCGCATGCTCTCGGACACGAGGCCGAGGCCCTTCGCCCGGCTACGTCCTGCGACGCTAATGAGGCGCCGCCGATGAGCGACCACTGCAGCTACGCCAAGGGCACCAAGTGCTTTGCGCCTCGTGCGCACAAGGCCAATGGGACGCGCCATTCGCTCTGCGCGTACCACCGCGAGCGCTCCTGCATCAACCAACGCGCCGTCGACCAGCGAAAACGCCATCAAAAAGGCCAGTGGAAGTCGACAGTCGTTCCCGTGCGCGACCAGCGTCTCTTTCTGGATTTTGTCGCGTCCCTCTGGGCGACACCACCGCCACCACCCCATTGCGCACTCAACATTTCCTAACCTCGTGTCTTGTTTTATGTCTACCATAGTAGACTAGTAGTAGTGCGTTAAACGCATGTCCAGATCGGTCGTGGAAGGGTCGCTTCCAGGGACCATCTCTCACTTTCTCTTACTCAAACAGTATCCTGCCGCGATCTATGAACCAATGAGTGATGGTCCACCGATCCATCACGTGGTCGCGTGGTCACCGCCGTCAATGCAGCATCTTGTCGTTCTTGTAGTTCATGGTGCCGAGAGAGCTGGAGATCCGAATCCCAGTGCTTCGATCGGTGAACAAAATCCTCTTTCTGGTGCGCTTCAAGCGCTCGTAATGTCTGGTGGGATGCACAGTAAACGCGCCCCATCACAGTAAAGTCTCCCCGTCGGTCGTCCGATCGGTTGACGCTGATCCCTCTCCGCGTCATCTTTTGACAGAGTAGTCATCTTTCCAGGTCCTGTCTCCATCTGGACTAGCGTTTTTGGCGGGCGGCAAGGGAGCAGTCGTGCCCTCTCCCGCCATCGCGATCGACTGAATTTTCGCACCCTTTGCCGCGTGGGCTGACGATTGACCATCACTCGACGCCAGGTGCTGGTCGTTTCGTACGGTACTGCGGCGCTAGTTTCCATTTTGCGACCTTGTGACCAGGCACTTGGCGTTCCACTCCCTTAAAACAATCATCTCCATCTCCATCTGAGGACGTCTGCTCACAAACCAACGCAACTGTATGCGCTCTCTTTTTCCATGCGGTTCGTTGTCTTTCCAAGGCCGCGTCTCGCTTGCTTTGAAGGAGCTTCCCGCCAAGTGGATTGTAGCGACGCGCCATGATTGGTCGTCGTCGTCGAACCGCATCTTTGAATAACCTTGTGGTGTGTATAGTATACTCAAGTACAATGTCACAAATCCTTGAAATTGCACTTGGCAGCCAATTGAACTTTCAGCGAATTTTCCAGGTGGTCGCGCCTGTGACTGGCCGGGACGCTCATTTTTCAATTGTCGACCTCACGCCCAAGCCTCTCTTCGCTTGCGCCCCGCCCCGTCCGACTCGCCTCCTACGATGATCTTTGCGAACCTTGAATCTTTACCCGCCACCTCCGCGACGGCGACGACCTTGGGCCGGTCGACGACGAGTAGTGTGGGCACGACGCAATGGCTGGGATAGCGTGGACGACCAAGTGTCTTCCACGTTCAAGCAACCCAGAAACAACCATTGCTCGTGCTCACATCTCTTTTTTTCCATGCAGCCGCCGCCGCCTTGCCCAAGCCTTTGCCCTTGGTGCCGAATTTAACTTTATACCTCTTGTCGCTGTCGACGCCCACGACCACGTACGACTGAAGAGCCTACTACCCTCCACCCCGAAGAAACATATTTGGTGCCCTCCAAATATTCCTGCAAGTCCGTTGTTCGACAGCCCGCGTCCATCCACGGCCTTGCCGGACTATTTTGACGCAAATAGAATGTGTCTTTCCACTACTTTTTGTCTTATAGTTCTTAGTTGCTGATGTATTTTGTCATTTGGGAGATGCTACCGGGCGCAGCGCATGAAGGGTCGATAGCGAAACCAGACAGACTACCTAATAACGAAGAGCACTGGCTTGTCACCAGTACTGGGCGGCGCGGTCCTCCGTAGGCTTGTTGTGCGATCGACAGCAAGACGGCGTAGGATCAAAAAATCCTTGGACTACGACAGCCTAGTAGCGAGAAGACAATCTTGTCGACACTCACCACTATCGCAAGGAGGCATTAGAATGTCCACATTGTCCACGCTGGTGCGAACTGGAAACTGTCATCTTGCTACGTCAGAAGTCGAGTTTTGAATGTTTCTTGACGCACCTCGTAGACATTCCCACACCAATCAACCAGTAAATTTTAATTTCTGGTAAATGAACCAATCAACATGCCGCGCGCCGATCGCTTGTGGCCCAAGAGCGTGCCACGTAATTTCAACTGGCACATCCACCAACGGGCGAATGCAGAACGACCGTCTCGCCACCAAAAGCAAACTCGCGGCCGCGATGCAAGTAGGGTGGCAGCGTCTCACGTCCGCGCATCTCGACGGCGTCCTGCACGTCGACGTCTACGAGCTGACCACGATAACGACGGTCGCCGACCTCAAGGCGCTTCTCCTCCGCCAGCTGCATGCGGCCGACGTTGCTGCGCACGATCCGGTCCTCGAGCTCTTGAACTACGCCCTCGACGATGGCGACGAGCTTGCCCCGTACGGACCAACGCTCGACGACGGCGACCTCCGATGGATGCTGCGCTTCGCCGACGTGGCCACTAACGATGGCCGCGTCCCGGTCCTTTTCGAGGTGCTTCCATGGCGTCGCACCTTCGAGCTCTATCTCCGCTTGGACACGATGTACACTGCCGTGCTTGAAGCGCTGACGATCCGGACGAACGTGGCGGTCCCGGAGCTTCGGTTGTTTTACGCGGGCACTCGCATGATGCACAACGCTACCCTGGCGTCCTACGGCGTTGAAGCGCTCAGTTGCATACGCGTCATGTTCGCACAATACGGTGGCGGCGGTCCCGCGGCGATGTTTCCGGACGTCTCGAACACTGATGCGCTGCATTCCATGGGCTTTTCGTCGCAAGCGCCGCGCTGGCGTGAGGTGCATCGTGGGCTCAACATTCACGGTACGTGCCTCTACACAAAGTGCCAAGCCTTTGGCCAAGAAGTCATTGCACCGCAGCGCTTCAAGCCCTTCAACGTTGTTTTCCACACTGCGATGTGTCCGGTGTGCCACACGCCGTTCGAGGCGCAATCCTGTGGCTTCCTCCGATGCACGTGGCGCTTCCTGGGGCAAAAGGCCGAGACAAGCCTCGTTCTGAGTTCGCTCTGGAAGACGCTGCCCAGCGAAGACGAGTACCACACGTTCGACGGCGACGAGAGCACCCTCGTGCTGTGGCGCTCGCTGATGTTGTTTGCGCGCCCGAGCAAGAAAAACCAACGTGCGCGCTGTGCCATGGCCACCTCGCGCCGCGTGCCCGGACGTCGTGTGGGCATGCGCATCGTGCATGTGCAACGACGTGGGCTGCTAGCTGTGCCATGCGGCGCAGCGCTCGAGCCACTTGCCCCGAGTGTCGTACGTCTCTTGCGTGAGGCTACGTCAAACACGACCGACGCATCATTTTGCGTGTACCAATCACGTTGCGAGGCAGTTGTACTTGATGGAATGCGTTGCAGCGAGGGCAGAGGACACGGCGAGGTTGGCGTCGAGGCAACGCTGTAAGGACGCTCCGACGTCGATGGTGCATCCAAACACGCGTGAGCAGCGCAGCTGGCGCGCAAAGAGGTCGCGGCGCGTTTGGATGGGCGTGGTTGTTGTGGCAATATCCAGCTACGCGGGTTGTGATTTCCATCGGAACACATCTTGGCGCCGACACTCCAAGGCGAACGCATGGGCTGCCACGACAAAAGTGCACCTATTTCATGAATTTATAGACGAAAAATAGCTTTAACAAAAAATTCGGAAAGCGCACCCACTGGACGATTTCAATGTTTTCGGTCAAGGCGCGCAACGCGCTGGGTGGCCCATCCCTATAGCAACCTTTTCGCCTCGTGCAGATCTCGCGCAGACAGGTTGTCGTTTAGCTCTTCTTTCTGTTCTAGTGGCGTCCATAGCCCATCTCGCTGGCGCGTTCATGAAGAGCTCTTGCGGTAAAGTCGCTCTCCGATGGCTCGACTTCGCCGCAGGGACATGTGCTTTTTTCTCGGGTTGGATCGCAACACCATCGACACGTCGCCACTCCTCCACGAACACTCCTCGTCGTCGGCTCTCGAGAAGCCTCCGGAGCGGGGCGTCGAGAATGCATGCGCATCCTCCGGAATGTATGCGCAAACCGAGTCGTTGAGGCTGTTGCAGCTGTTGAACGACATGCAATGTCAGCGAGGGCAGGCTGCAGCACATGGGCCCTTGCTCTGGCACACGTCGCGCGGCTCTACGCGGTCTGCTGCTGCTACGACGACGCTGTAATGCATTCCCTCCTCTGGGGACGAAGAACGGACCGGGAGAGCAAAAGGGCAGCAGCCGAGGCAGATGGATACGCTTTGCACCAATCACAGCGCGCGTTTGGTCGATAGACACGACCTTGGTATGTGAAGCCAATCACGCGCGCTGTCTCGCTCCCGGCCAATGGATGGGCCCGTCCGATTCGGCAACTTGAAATATGGTCATTTCCCCTTTCGCTCCGTTCTTATTGGCATGCGTGAGATTCTGTCGCTGCACATTGGCCAAGGTGGCATCCAAGTCGGCAACTCGTGCTGGGAGCTCTACTGCCTCGAGCACGGCATCCAGCCCAACGGCCACATGCCCGACGAGTCGACGGCCAGCTCAGACAGCGCCTTTAGCACCTTCTTCAGCGAGACGGGTGCTGGCATGCACGTGCCCCGCGCGATCTTCGTCGACCTCGAACCCTCGGTCTGCGACGAAATCCGCACGGGCACGTACCGCCAGCTGTACCACCCGGAGCAAATCATCTCGGGCAAGGAGGACGCGGCCAACAACTACGCGCGCGGCCACTACACGATCGGCAAAGAGGTCGTCGACAAGGTCCTCGACCGCATCCGCAAGCTCGCCGACAACTGCACGGGCCTCCAAGGCTTTATGGTCTTTAACGCTGTGGGCGGCGGCACCGGGTCGGGCCTCGGCGCCCTCCTCCTCGAGCGCCTCTCGGTCGACTATGGCCGCAAGTCGAAGCTCGGGTTCACGATCTACCCGTCGCCGCAGCTCTCGACGGCCGTCGTCGAGCCGTACAACGCCGTGCTGGCAACGCACGCGCTGCTCGAGCACACGGACATAAGCATCCTCCTCGACAACGAAGCGATCTACGACATTTGCAAGCGGTCGCTCGACATCGAGCGGCCGTCGTACACGAATTTGAACCGGTTGATTGCCCAAGTGATCTCGTCGCTCACAACCTCCCTGCGCTTCGACGGCTCGCTCAACGTCGACATCACCGAGTTCCAGACCAACCTCGTGCCGTACCCGCGCATCCACTTCATGCTCTCGTCGTACGCGCCGGTGATTTCGGCCGAGAAAGCCTACCACGAGCAGCTCTCGGTCGCTGAAATCACCAACTCGGTGTTTGAACCGGCGTCGATGATGGCGAAATGCGACCCGCGCCACGGCAAGTACATGGCGGCGTGCCTCATGTACCGCGGCGACATCGTCCCGAAGGACGTCAACGCGGCCGTGGCCACGATCAAGACGAAGCGCACGATCCAGTTCGTCGACTGGTGCCCGACCGGCTTCAAGTGCGGCATTAACTACGAGCCGCCGTCGGTCGTGCCGGGCGGCGACCTCGCCCGCGTCCAGCGCGCGTGCACGCTCATCTCCAACACGTCGGCGATCGCCGAGGTCTTCTCGCGCATCAACCACAAGTTTGATTTGATGTACGCCAAGCGCGCGTTCGTCCACTGGTATGTCGGCGAAGGCATGGAGGAAGGCGAGTTCTCGGAGGCGCGCGAAGATTTGGCGGCGCTCGAGAAGGATTACGAAGAGGTCTCGGCCGAGACGCAGGACGCCGACGACATGGACGTCGGCGAAGAGTACTAAGTGCAACGTGCGACGATATATGTCGATATATATATAAAGACTATGGATTGTTTCTGTTGTTTTTGATGAGGATGGAAGGATTGTCCTTTTCTTGGTGCTCCTCGCGCAATAAACTTAAACACGTAGGGCGTTTGCTTCAGAACGAGGCTTCAAGTACCTCAATTGGTTCTCGTCAAGGAAGGCACGTGTGGAATCGAGCGGACGAGGAAGAGAGGCTGCTGCTCGAACGAGAACACGTCGACACGAAATCGCCACGTCATCTCTAGTGTGGAATTGTAGTTGGTTCGTCGACTTATATCGCTCCACGCGTCTACTCGAAGCGCATCCACTCGAGCGTGAGACCATGCGCCGGCGCGCCGGGCGACTCGATGCGCTCGTTGGCGTCGACCATCGCCTTGACATCGTCGAGCGTCTTCTTGTGGAGACCCACGTGCACGAGGAGGCCGACCATGTTGCGCACCATGCGATAGAGGAACCGGTCGCCTTGGAACGTGATCGTGAGCTCGTCCTCGATCGTTGTCATCTCGATGCGGCGGACCGCGCAGAGCGTGCTCATGTCCTCTTCGAGGCGGCGCGTCGGCGTGAACGCACTGCAGTCCCGCGGCGTCGAGCTCTCGAGGATCGCGGCCGCCTCGCGCATCAAGGCCACGTCCAGCGGCTTGCACACCTATTGATGTCGTACGGTCAAGATGTAAGATGACCAAGGAGCACGAAAGAAGGGTACCTGCCACGCTTGGTCGCGCCCTAGCACTTGCCGGATCTCGCCCGTGAAGATGCGGTACGAGTAGCACTTAAGTGTGGACGCCTTGCGCGGGTCAAAGCCGTCGGCGACCTTGACAAGGCGCGTGACGGCCACATCGTCGGGCAGGCGGTTGTTGATTGCGCGCAGAAGGCCGCTGGCGTCGACCACCGTGCTCTCAAAGGCGGCCTCTTGGCCGCGCGCGTGGACGCCCCTGTCGGTGCGCGACGCGCCGCGCACGCGGAGGACCTCGCCCGTCGTGCGCTTGATCGCGTCCTCGAGCGTCGCCTGCACCGTGCGCACGGGCGGCGTCTTCTCCTGCGCCTGGTAGCCATTGAAGGCCTTGCCGTCGTACGCGAGCGTCACGCGGTAGGTCGACGGCGGCGCTGTGGCATCCGTCGCCACGAAGCTGCCCGTCGGCTTGGCTCCACGCTTCCGCTTCTCGCCCATGCTGCAACCGCCAAAATCCATTGGCTCCCGCACCAGCCAATGGCCTTGGAGCAATCTTGACGCTGGATCGACCCATGCTTTTCAACAAGAATATACACACTGCTGGTTGCTACATCATTACTTGTGGACGATCGAATCGTCAAGGACTAGGTCGTCGTCGTCGCAGCATCTACTGCACTGGCGTCGGCTTCGTCGTCGGAGCACTGCAGAAAGTACGCCATCGCATCGGCGGCGACGAGACCCATCTCAATCGGCTGTCCCTGCTGCGCGCGGTCGATGCCAGCTTGCACCACGCACGCATGGACGCTGGCGTGACGTCGCAGGACGTCGCCGTGGTCCTTGAGAAGATGATAGATGGGGCGGAACGACATGGTGCTCTCCAGCCACGTCTGGGCCAAAGCTGTCATCTCGCTCGGTGCATACATCGCATAAAACGTGAACGCGTCGGCTGCATTCGACGCCTCGACACTGGTCGAAGGGTACATATATCTCGCTTGCGCCATCCTGTGCTCGGACCAGCGGTGATGGGCGAGGATGTGGGCGATCCCTGCGGCGAGGAGGTAGATTACCGGGTCGCCTGGCGCCAGACGGTGCTCGCGTGCAAACAAGAGAAAGGCCGGGATCGCAAGGAACGACGCCTTGGCCACGCACGCGTCAACTGCATCGAAGTTCGGTTGGCGCCAGCGCAGTTGAGCGACCGTGGCCGCCACGAGCTGGTGGTCGCCGCCAACCTCCGGTGCGATCGCTGCCGGTATTGTCGCCAGCAGTGCGGTGTGGTGGGCGACGTCTCGGTGAAGCATCAGCTGCGGCGCTCGGTCCTGTGCCAGCACCAGCGCTGGCACCACCACCTCAAAGCGTGGCAGCTTTGTGAGAACCGTTGCGAGCGTCGCGCGGGGAGCGAGGTAGGCGTCGATATGCGCGGTGACGTTGGGCGGCAAGAGGTGTGCCAGCCAGTGTCCGTCCTCGTGCGAACGGTCCAAGTACGATTCCAGCACGATCAAGTACGCGATCGTGTCGACTTGGGTCGCAATTGGCTCGCGCCACACGGTGCATGTGCGGACAAGCTGGTTGTAGAGTCGCTTGAGGAGCTCGAGGGATTTCGGTGCGTCGAGGGCCGGGCAGAGATCGCCGAGCCCCGCGAGGCTAGCGACAAAGGCCGGTGCGCCCACGCTCTGCGCATGGCCGACAAAGACGCAGAGGCTCTCGACCAGCGACGTCCACCCGAAGCGAACGAGCTGCGCGTAGATCCAGTGACCGGTATCAGCGACCTGCATAGGGTACCGATGCCAACACCGCGCCAAGAAGCTCTGCACGAGGCCGACGTCGTCGAGACGCGAGAGGATCGCCGTCAAGCGCGCGCGGTCCATGTGCGAGGTGGAGACGGCCGCGTAGGTGTGGATGACGGCGGCCGCCAGGGCCTTGCACGACAAGTGGCCCCACACTGGCTGCTCGTCCGTTGCGATCGCCGCCTCGAGGGCCGAAAGCGCCGCATCGACGCTGGCAAAGTGCAAGCGCGAGGTCTTCCGCCACACAACCAGGCAGATTGGCATCGACGTGCAGACGTTTTGTCCGCAGAGGCCGACGGCGGCGGTCGTCGGGAGCCCACACGCGGGGTCAACTACGACCTCGGTTAGCGTCTTCCACTCATCGTGGACACCGTCGCTTAGCTGCGCGAGACCGACGTCAAAGCGACCGGACGCTGCCACGTCACGAACGAGGCGCAAGTCGGCGGGCCCGAGCGCGTCCCAGGACAGCGTCGACATCGGCTCTCGGAGCGTGTAGGCGTACAGCCACGACGGCGAGCTGGCGCTGGCCGAGGCGCAGAGCCACGCGTCGAGGGCGTCGGCACATGACGCGGGCGCGCAGCGTGTATGGGTCGTCGGTCTCGTGTAGACCAAGTGGTAGACGAGGACGGCGCGGCAGCCGCGGGTGAGCGGCGCTGTCGTCAGTGACGTGGCAGTGTACAGTGCAAGCAGCCCGTGAGGGGCGAGATGCACGTCTTGGTGGTCGACGTACACCCTGCCGCCGTCGTAGAGCGATGGCAAGACGACGAGCAGTCGGCCAAACGCACCGCGTGGGCTGGCCTCGAGGGGCACGAAGGATGTGGTGTCGCTGCCGACAGTGTCCAGCGCCAAGTGCGACAATACGAGCGTAAAGGGCCCTTCGGGCACGAGCGCGCCCTTGACGAACCGCTGCACGCTCGTCAGACCCTGCGCAAAGGTCGCGTCGATGTGGGCTGATGGCACTCGGTGGCCCAAGCGAGCCGCGAGGTCGATGGCGACGACGTCGGTGACTGGCAACTGGAGGCACTTCGCATCGACAAGGACATGAACGTCGCCTTGGGTGACGGCGAAGGTGCGTGGCAGCCACGGATCGATCCCTGCATCGCTCGGCTGCATCGCCACGGGCCTCGTCAAGCACGATGCAGCTGGCAAGATTTTGCCGCTTTGGATTGGCCAAAAAGAAGTGCCTTTCAAACGAATTATCCAATCATATCGGTTGCAGCAGCGATCATTTTCATTTCCGAAGATTCGACATGGACGCCGACGGCCTGGCGATCGTCGACCTCTCGCAGCCCGCGGAGGTGGTCGCGCGGGACATTGCGGCGGCCTGCGCCACGTCCGGCTGCTTCCATCTCGTGCAGCATGGCATCTCGCCTCGTCTTCTCGCCGACGTCTGGCAGGCCATGGACACCTTCTTCGACCTCGCGCTTCCGCAGAAGCAGCAGTGCCAGCCAGCCAACGCCGCCGACGACCGCGGCTACTCGAGCTTCGGCACCGAGAACGTGGCCGCTTTCATGGGCCGGCGCGGCGAGCCCAACGACCCGGTGGAGAAGTTTGCGTTCTCCAACCCAGCGATCGTCGATCCTGCGATCGACGTGCACGCGCGACCCAACGTGTGGCCGCCCGTCGATGGCTTCCAGTCGACCATGGAGGCCTACTACGCTGCGGTTAAGGCCCTCTCGAGAACGCTCTTTGGCCACTTTGCAATGGCCCTTGGCGTCGACCCGACGTACTTTGCGGCACGGACGTCGACGGCGCCCGACTCGGTCAAGCTCAACTACTACCCACCCTCGTCTTCTGGCCGCCGCTTTGCCGAGCACACGGACTCGGTGCCATTTACGATCTTGAACATGGATGCGACGCGCGATGCGCTCTATGTGCAGACGCGTAGCAGCCGTTCATGGGTGCCCGTGAACGCGCAGCCGAACGGACTCTTTGTGAACCTCGGCGACGTGCTCCAGCGCTGGACCAATGACGCGTGGGTCGCGACCCGCACCGCGTCGACGGCGGCAGCGGACTCCGCAGAAGCATCGCATTCTTCGTCATGCTCAACGGCGACGCCACCATCGAGTGCATTCCAAGCTGCCAACACACCACCCTCGGGGCCAAGTATCCACCCATTACCTTTCACGCCTTTGTGCAGGAGAAGATGCAGCGTCTCGTGGGCTTGCCCTAAGGTTGATAATCCATTTGTCGTTTGTATGATCTATCTATCTATCTATCTATCTATCTATCTATCTATCTATCTATCTATCTATCTATCTATCTATCTATCTATCTATCTATCTATCTATCTATCTATCTATCTATCTATCTATCTATCTATCTATCGATCTATCGATCCAACAGACTCGCGGTGCGCTAGCCCTCGCCGCTACCCTAGCCCCACACCGGTGCGCTCGACGCCGTGGCACCATTCCCAAGCTACGAGCGAAGAAGGATAGCGTTTATAGAACAAAATGGTCGGGCTGATACACTGTATGGATACCCGGTCAACTACGTAGTACGGGGATCAATGGCGAGTTCCTAGTCGACGTGCTTTTGGTTGAGAAGTCCTCGAAGCCGGTCGAGCTTGCAACTCCACTCGTCGAGCGCAATGTACGTTTTAGTGCTCTCGGTCTTGCGCCGCCTAATAGAGCAGAGCGGTGAGTGACACTAGACTCTAGTTTGTAGTCTGGTACGGTAGCACGAGGCGGCCCTGGATCTGGTCGATTTGACCCACGAGGCGACCTTCCAAAATGAGCGACGCGCAGAGCTCTTCGACGTCGCGCTCCGATATACCATTGAGCTCCTATTTGCATCGTATCGCCTCTGGATTCGTACAGAATTGAAGTACCGCCGCCAAGTGCGAGAGGTGCACCATCTGATACGGTTTCACGAGCTGGAGCAAGACCTAACCGCCACTGGTGTCAACCACAATCAGATCTCGGATGCTATCTAGACCTTGCTGCGAATCGTCTTGAGGAGGTTTGTAATGTACTGCTTCAAGAAGCCGTCCCCCATAATGTTGTCGTGGTGGCGCTTGAGGATCGATTCTACATGTCGGACAAAACTATCAACTTGATACATAGGAATCGAGACGCGTACCAAACGTGCAAATGTCGTTGTGCAAGAAGGCGTCGGTGAGCTCTGTCATGGCCGAGATCGCCTTGTCGTTCTCATAGGGCTTGGCCTCTTGCGAGTCGAACACGTTAATCTTCGAGTCACTCAGCATGTTGGCGAGCACGAGGTATCTATCCAAAATAAATCCCATGAGTATTCAACGGGCTATCCAAAAAGAGGAGAGGATTTTACTTGAGGCACTGGAGACGGCGCGGCTCGCCGGCCTCGTCATAGCTCTTGAAGCCCTCGAAGAAATCGCTTCGCGCCAAGTCCCACGCCTCCTGCATCATGTGCATCTTGCCGCCGCACTCACGGATGACGCCAATGATGCGCGGGTGCGCGACGCCGGGCTTGACGCGCAGCGCCTTCTCGTACAGCTCGTCGAGCTTCTTGTTGTCTTTCTGCGCCGTGTAGAGCTGAATCTGAAGTGCGTACACCTCGAGGAGCTGCGAGTCTTTTTTGACATTGAGATTCGGCCCGTTCTCGTCGTCCACGTCCGTGTCGAGTGCATCGCAGGACGCGAGGAGCTCCTTGACAATCTGGAAGAGGCGGAGGTGCTTGGCAGTGTCCGGCGCGGCCTCGATCTGCTCAAAGAGCACGTTTCCGAGCTTGAGGTTCGTCTTGAACCTAAGCCATCTTGAGCATGAGGCCGTGCAACGTCCATATGAGGACCTACCAGAGGCGCTCGTTGCGCGTCTCCTTCTTCTGGAGCGTCTCAAGCGTCTTCTCGTAAAACTCTTGGAGGATCGACCAGCTCGTGTCGTCTAGTCGAAGAGGCGGATCGCCATGTGCGATCGATAGAAGGAGCGTACCTGAAGACGCCGCAGTGCTGCTTGCATGCGGCGTGTTGGAGACGAAGTCGAGGATGCCATTGACGCCCTTCTCGCCCATGTTGCGCGTGATGGTCGCCGACGTCGAGATGCGCTTGAGCAGCGCTTCGTAGTGGCCCATGGCCGCCTCGAGTCGATGGCGCCGAAGCTGCCACTTGATCAGCTGCTTGAGCGCGCGGAAGCCCCAGATGCTCTCGCCGTCTTGGTCGAGCGCGAGCACCTCGGCGAAGGCGGCGTCCACGGCGAGGCCCGCGTCCGCCGGCGCGCAGTCCTCCTTGAGACCCTTCGCCACGTAGTACTGGTTCTCTAGGCGGACCTCGACCGACTCCTCGTCCTGGACGTCGCCCATGTCATCGTCGTCGCTGTACTCGAACTCGTACTCTTCCTCGTCGCTCATGCCTGCCTCCCGATGCAATTGCCGCCGATCTTCGGTCCGGATAGTGTATCCGGACGGACCGGTGGTCATCCGGTTGGACAGCCAAAGTCGGTTGCATCTTGGTATCGGTTAACAACCGTGATGACGGCAAAGGTAAGCACACTGGCGTAGCATCAAACCAAGTCTTATTGATGGCCCTGTGCGTTAACGCTGGACCGGTCAATTCGCCGCGAAGGAAGCGGGAATGGCTACCTTCCGAGTCGAATCCTGTAACCGAGTTGTTTGGGCGATCCGGTTGGGATTTAGGGTCGGGTCGTTGGCTCCCTCGGCTGCCGCCATGGAAGGAGCAATAAGACGCGTGAGGCCTTGGAACACACTACAGGTTGAATTGGTGTCTGTGCTGAAGTAGTAGGTTGTATTAGTGGTTTGTTTGACATAACCGTTTGCCATAGCGGATCGAGCTTTCGAACCGGTTGACAACGTACGGTTATCGGACGGATTCGTGCATTCTTGGCTGAAATTCAACCATTTCAACCAATTGGCTTTCGGATGCTCTCGAAACGCTATTTGGATTGGCTATAAAGATCAAGATATGACTGCATTCAATAATTCTTTATCCGCCAATGAAATCCACTCGACTGGCAATGTGCGATGCCATTGGTAGATATGATGACCAGTGAAACGAGACTGCATCATTTGCTGCAACCTCGTCGAGCATGTTCGCCGCGCGCATCTTCCGCCGCTGCATCACGATCAAGAGCACGAAGCTCACGCCCGAGCAGATCGCGGAAAAGACCAAGTACCGCAACAAGATCTCGGCCAAGACGACAGGCCCGATCATCCCCATCGCGCCCACCGACGTCCTCCGCCTGGCCAAGCGGCTTGCGCTCAGTGGCGTGAGCTCGCGCCGCGAAGCCGAAAAGATCATTCAAGACGGCCGCGTCACCGTCAATGGCGTGCTTGTAACTTTTTATCTTCCAACCTTCGACCATCCCTTCACGCTCCGCTAGGTTGACAACGTCGCCCACAACGTCAGTATGGACGACTTGGTCACGGTCGACGACAAGCCGCTGACGTTCAAGGACAAGCGCCGCGTCTGGATCGCGCACAAGCTCATGGGCGTACGTGTCTTGACTCTATAAGGCTTGGAATCTGACGCCAACGCAGGAGCTCGTGACGACCAGCGACCCGCAAGGCCGCCCGACCATCATGGACCGTCTCAAGAAGATGGGCATGCAGCATCACATCATGGCTGTCGTACGTCCTTCTCGCGTCTTCTTGCTCTTCATAAACACTCCTAATAACGCGACCAGGGTCGCCTCGACTTCAACACGGAAGGTCTTTTGCTCCTGACGAACGACGGCGCCTACGCCCGCGAGCTCGAGCACCCGCAGTTTGAGGTGCAGCGCACCTACCGCGTCCTCGTGCGAGGCCAGGTACTGCACCATCGTGGACTTGAATATATCTCCAGTACGCTAATGCTCGCTCGTGGCCAGGTGCTTCCGTCCAAGATCGCCGAGCTGCAGAAAGGCGCGGTCGTCGACGGCATCAAGTACCGCCCGATTCAAGTCACGATCGAGTCGACCAAGGATAAGGACTCGTGGCTCAAGGTCAAGCTCAGCGAAGGCAAGGTACGAGGATTCTTCTTCTCGAAACAACGACTGACAACGATCCATCTCCATCTATGGACAGAACCGAGAAGTGCGCAAGGCGCTTGCCCACGTGCGTCTCATCGTGAAGCGTCTCATCCGCGTCGAGTATGGTCCGTACCGGCTGGCCGACCTCCAGAAAGGCTATGTGCTCGAGGTCCAGCCCAAGCCGTCGCCGACGAAATAGAGCGCTAAATATTACGGAAGCATTGCACGCTAGACGACCGACGTTGATGTTGGTGTTGTTGGGTTCGAGAGACGCTCTTCGGGAATAGCATCGAGGCGCGGCGGGTGCTGCGATCGGCGCTTGCGCTGCTCGAGGTAGAACTGCCGCGCGATGAGCGACGCGCGGTCCTTCTTCTGGTGGAGATGCACGGACGACTCGAAGGCGTGGACGAGCCAGAGGTAGATGGCGAGCACGGAGAGCGAGAGGGCCACGTACGCTGCCGGGTGCAGCGGCGGCACCGTCACTTGCGAGACCGCGCGGATGCTATGGGCGGCCGTCGCCTCCATCGCGTGTGTATCACTGCTGCGAGAGCCAGGACCCGTTGAAGTTGGGAAAGGGCAAAGTCGAGCTCACGCGTGAAAATGCATATTTTATGGCGCAACCCACCGTCGACAACCGACCACGCGTGTGACAGCTGGCGACAGCGCTCGCCGCTAATGCAAAGGAGCGCGCCCCGTGCAACACAGCCGTTGACGCAGCACGATGCGCCACGACACGCCGATCGCTGCGATGTCGCTCTACTCCAGCGCGTCGGTGCCCGGCCTGTCTCGCATGTACCCACATCAACCCTGGCAACGGGCTCGCTTCAAGCAATTCCAGAACTGCAGGCGTGGGACTACGGCCTCGCCAGCGCGAGTGTACCTCGTTTGTCGGACGGTCCTTGGATTCCTTTTTCAGATCTGATCGTTTTCAAAATCTGGTCATGTCCTGTAAGTGCGTCGACGCCAGAATGCACCGCCGGTCTCTATTTCACACCCTCGAAAACACTTGAGGTTATTCGTCATTATTACAAGAATTAGCAGTTGTCGTGGAGAAAGCTCGTGCTTGTAATGTGCGTCAGCAGCGGAAACTCGCGCTGGAGGTACGCCTCGCCCTCGGCGTAGATCTTATCCTGGTCGGGCTCCTCGCCGTAGCCGGCGTAGATCTTGTTTTGGAGCACGTCGAGGCCGCTCGTGACGATCGCAAACGGCGTAAAGCCCTTCGCATCCAGGCGCGAGTTGTTGGCAAAGTTGACGTACACCTGCGTCGTGCGCGTGTTGGGGGCTTCGTCCATCGCATACGCAATCGTGCCCGGAAGGTTCGAGACCGCCACGTTGCGCGGGTCGTCCGTGATGTTGCCGTACTTGTCGTTGACCTTGGGCTCGGCCGCGATGCCCCACTGCGCGACAAAGTTGGGCACATACCGGAAGAACGCCGAGTTGTCGAAGAACTTGTCGGCAATGAGCTCCTTGAAGCGGGCGGCGCCGATCGGCGCCCAGTCCTCGTGCACGTCAATCGTCACGTTGCCGGCTTGGGTCGTGAAGAGCACCGAGTAGACCTCGGCGTTGGCGGCGAGGAGCAGCGACGAGAGGACGGCGGTCTTCATGAAGGCCAAAGGGCAAAGTGCAAAGTGAAACGTCGTCGATCCGCCTGACCAATACGGTACGAGGCGGCGCTCTACGATCTGAGTTGCATGTCTGTGTGCAATGGTCCACCCACAAGCTTCTAGACGACGAAGGATGCATGGGTACGATCGTTGTCCTTGGTGCCGCGGCGGCTTCAAGAGCTGGGAGCTCAAAGCTGAGTGGCGAGGGTGGGCGCTGGAAGCACCTTGCAGCAGGAAAGACCTTTGAGCGTAGAAAACGAAGCTGCTGCTCCACTTCATACGATTACGGTCCCATGAAGCTTCGTCATGCGATGGACACCCAATCCAATCCAACGCATCGGTCTTGGATCATCACCGACGACGTACGATCCCTGCACACCTTGGAGTGTCTTTGTGCCCCGCCTCTGGTACAGCACTTGCGAGCCTTGGCTCGTACCACCGTGCACTACGTTAGGTACATTGCCAACGGCGGACCGAGTGGCGAGGGGTTAGTATGCAGGTATCTTGCTCGATGCCCCGGGTTACGGAAGGGAGCGGGCAAAGGCCGGCGAGTTTGATAGATTGATAGTTTTTGTGTCGGAACGTCTGCGCACCATTGTGTACAAGACGTGTTCTTCTACTCGTGCGACACGAGGCAATGATACGGAGGATTGACGACGAGTTTGTCAGCTACAAGTCACGAGCTCGCGTGCAGGAATCGTTGACCTTTGCCCTCAGTGCGATTGTTGCTATAGACTGCGGGCTTAAGAAACGATTTCTGTACGCTATGGACGACCGCGTTGCAGATTTCGACTTGACAAAAAAATGTACTAGTACACGATCCAACTCGACCGACTCATGACTTATGATTTTTCGTGCAGCGATGACTGCCGACGCCGAGTGCACAGTCCGGATACCGTCCGGATAATCGCGTCAGCCATGAATGACATCACGCATGCTCCTCGATCGATGCTTCACGGCTACACTGTAGCACCGGTGCGCTGCATGCGTGAATATACTACAGTAGTATCTGGTAGAGCTATCTGGTATCTGGTAGAGCTATCTGGTGCCTTTGCACGAACGTTCGTAGTTGACAGTTCTGCCTACTGGGCGAATGGCGCCTGAAAATCGTCGTTCAAGCACCGCGAACGGGGCTAGGGACACGGGTTCGAAGCAGCGGCCGCACCTGGCACCTCTGGCCAGTCACTTCCTGTCTATAACTTCAGTTAGTAGGTGTACGATGGGCAGCCTTTGCACTTGCCGATCGCTTCAAGGTGGTCCCGCTGGCTCCTCGGATGCCATTGGCTGTCCGCATACAACCCGTCTTTTCCGGCGATACGACTTGTTTACGGGAATTCAAGCGCGAAGCCTCTTCGTTTTGGTCGCGCTTCTACGCTTTTACCTGACCTTTTTATGCAAAGTGCGGCCCGTCGCTTGGTAATTCCCGTATAAAGTATCTCCGACCCACCGGCCGATCATCTTATTTGGTCATCCGATGACGCCGCCCGAGACGCCGACGGCGAGCCAGCCGCTGCTGGCGCCGCCGCCACGCCGGCCATCGAGCAAGGCGGCGCTGCGCAAGGAGGCCTCGTACGTCTTCAAGTACCTCATCCTCGCGCAGGTGACCGTCTACCTCGAGGCGGGCTCGATCCCGTGCCTCCTCGACTCGTTCGCGGTCGCATTCAACATGAGCGTGCAGCAGCAAGGCTCGCTCGGCAGCGTCGTCTACGTGGCCCTCTGCTTGGCGTCACCGCTCTGCGGCGTCTGCCTCCGGCACTACGACGCCAAGTGGGTGCTCGGCGTCTCGCTCGTGCTCAACAACCTCTGCGTCCTCGGCTTTGCCATGACGCCGACGGGCCACTCGTACTCGGCGAACCTCCTCATCTTTGCGCGCGCGCTCATTGGCTTCACGCAGGCCTTCCTCTGCGTCTACACGCCGCTGTGGGTCGACGCCTTTAGCCCCCGCGAGCGCGTCGCCGGCTGGATGTCGTACCTCCAGGGCAGCGTGCCCCTCGGCGTCATGTTTGGCTACCTCTTTGGGTCCGTCTCCAACTGGGTCAACGAAGACTCGTGCGGCATGGCGTGCTGGCGCTGGCCGTTCGTGCTGCAGTTCCTTCTCGTGCTGCCGCTCATGGTTGGCGTCTTCTTGATCCCGAGCGAGCACATCTCGATCAAGGCGCTCGATGTCTTCAACAAGAAAAGACGACCAAGGTGCCCACGGTACGGTCGCTCTCGAAGCGCGCGCCGTCGTCAGCGTCGGCGAGTCTCCCGTCGACGTCGGTGCTCGTGCCCGTGCTGCCGATCGTCGAGTCGCCGCCCGTGAGCCACCCGCACGTGCTGCTCGAGCAAGCGCCGTCGTTGCGCTGGAGCTTCAACAACGGCCACCAAGACGAGCTCAACTCGGCGCAGCGCGCATCGATCCGCGCCTCGTACATCACACCGCGCTTCCGCATGGACTCGTACGACATTGATCTGTACTTTGAGCAAATGGAGTGGGACCTGCTGCAGCAACAGCAGAGCCAGAGCGCAATCAAGACGCAGTACGGCACGGTCCTCGAGGAAGACGACGAAGCGCCATCGGAGGCGACCGCGAGCCTCGCCCGGCACCTCTCACTGCGCGACGACTACGCATACGAGCACGACGAGGACGACGAGCACGTGCCGGACGACCTCAGCGTCCTTCAGAGCGTCGTCGTGCTGCTCTCCAAGCCCATCTTTACGCTCATCGTGCTCGGTCTCTCGGCCATCTACTTTGTCGTGACCGGCGTCCAGTTCTGGTGCACGATCTACCTCCAAAAGAACTTCCACACAAGCGTTGTCATTGTCAACGGCCTCTATGTGCTCGTCGCTGGCACGGGGCCGATCCTCGGCGTCTTCTTCGGCGGCGCCCTCATCGACCGCGCAGGTATCTTCTATCCAACGATCCAAAAGTCTCTAGATGTATTCGACATGGGATTGGATAGGTGGCTACATTGGCGCCGTCGCGCGGGCCAAAGCGCTGAGCTACTGCGTCGGTCTCGGGCTCATCGCGTTCCTCCTCGGTATCCTCACCACGTTCCTTCCGGACGTCTATACGACGGCCATGTGCCTCTGGCTGCTCCTCTTCTTCGGCGGGTCCATCTTGCCGGCGTGCACGGGCATCTTCATATCGGCGTCGCCGGTCCAGCTCCGGTCGCTCGCGTCGTCGGTCTCGGTCATGGTCTTCAATATCTTGGGGTACGAAATATATTGTCTTCTAGACGTACGCTCACACACTATGTGCAGGTATGCGCTGGCGCCAGAACTCACGGGCGTCTACATGGACTATGTCCTCTCGCAACAAGGGGTCGAAGGCAGCTACTTTGACCACTGTGACGAAGCCTGCGTGTACCGCTACGGCTTCCGCTTCTGCCTCGCGTGGAGCGTCTGGTCATTTCTCGCACTCATTGGCGCCTATGTCCACGCGCGCCGCGAAGCACTCTCGGCGCCGCCCTCGAGTTCGGTTGACCGCCGCCTCTTGCGGTCGCAGTCGTCCATGAAGCAGCGCCCGACGATGCTCATGCACTAGATCGCGCTCCGTCAAGACACCATATGATGTGATGACCTTATAGAAGCGACAGCAATATTGATTCCATGTTCAAATGCAGTGTTTCAACCACTGGATGCAACGATTCGATGGCTACGTGTACGTAAACGGCGGTGCCTTCTTCTTCTTCTTGATGGATACAGGAGGAGGTTTGGGTAGGGCCACGTCGGATGCGAGCGCTTGCTGGTCGGACGCGAGCTCCACGAGGAGGTTGATCAGGTCCATTTCGCGGCTCGAGTACTCGAGCAGTGCCACTTCTTGCTCCTATGCCCGGATCCAACGATCCAATTCAATGAAGAGAGCTTACGTGGAGGCGCTGAATGAGCTTGTTGAGCGATGGGACGAGCTGCGGCAACGCGCGCTTGATCGCTGCCAGCAGTTTGCGCAAGGTCTCGTCCAGAACGATCGGGCTGCCGTCCGAGAATTGTCGGTTCGACTCGGTGGAGAGGAGGTTCGCGCCGTGCTTTTGGACAAACGAGTCGAGCATGTCCGCTTTGCGTTGTTCCTAGACATAGTTTTTGTGAAATGGACATGTTGTCATATAAATAACAGACATTCTTGACGCTTGCGAGGTACATTTTGACGGCCACGAGCTCTTCGGCGGCCTTTTCGTTCTCCTGGAGCAGCATCGACTGCTGCTGCTGGAGCTCCGAGCTCTTGAGTTGCTGCTTATCGACTTGGGCACTCAGGCGCGCCTCGCCCAAGCGGGCTTCCAGCAACATATCCTCCTTCGTGTGCACCAGTCTACAGAGAATGGACAATAGTGTCTTGTGATGAAGACGATATGTCGTACTTGGAGAGCTTGTCGATCTTCCTGGACGAGTCGTCGATGAGGCGTTTGGACGAGAGGAAATGGCTAGTTTCAAGTCGTCGAGTCGAAATCGACTAACTGGATTGCGCACCGCTCCTTCTTGCGCAAATGGAGCACTTCTTCGTGCAGCGCCACGTTCTCTTTGACGACTTCTCGGTACCGATTGCGCAAGTCGACGCTGGCGTTGTGCGCCAGCTACCTTGATAGTTAGTCGAACAACGAGGACGATGCGCACCTTGAGTTCGAGCTCAAGGTTGCGGGCGCGGAGCTCCTCGAGTTCTCTCAGCAGCGCCGTCATCTCGGCGTCGTACTAGACACGAATGAGTTGTGCACATGTCGATTTTGAACCAAGGTGCCTTGTCGAAGAGCGACTGCAGGCCCGACGACTGCTCGAGCATGCGGACTTTGCTTCGAAGCTCGACGTTGGCGAGCTTGAGATCCTGCGTCTACGATTCAAAATATCAACTTGATACAAACCCATGCAAGACGTACTTGCACGTCAAAAGTCGTTTGCATTTCCGAGAGCTGAAAGTGAGCGTCGTCGACGTTGAGCTGGAGCTGCTCGTTGTGGTGGTACTGGTCCTTGACGAAGCGGAGGAGCTGGTCGTAGTTGGAGCGAAGTAAGAGTGCCTCGGTGCGCTGCACGGTCAGTGCACTTTTCGCATCGAGCCCTATCTCGCCTGAATAAGTCTGGATTTATCCAGGGTTGTACCCTCGACATCCGGCGCGGGCGGCGCAATGGATGGCAGGTGCGCATCGCGCAGCAACTCTTCAAATCGACCTAGACCACACATGAGCCACCTCGTCAAGGAGGAGAGGGTCGTTAGTACTTGGATTCGCCTCGCGAATCGGCGAAAGCGGTGTGACGGAAAGCGGGGTCACCACCATCGCGTCTCGCAACGGACTTTTGACGGTCGGCGGCTCGGCCACCGATGGACGCCCGAGGCCCGCAGGAGTCTAGTACGCGTGTTCTCTAAGCTCTTAGATTGCATGCGAGCAAAATACCATCGCCGAGGGCTTCCGGTCGGGTTCGGTCCGTGGCTCGCTATCGAGCTGCCCGAGGATCTGGCTTTTCCGGTGGGTGAACTTGTCGAGCCAGTCCATGGCCCCGTCGGCGCTGCTGGAGTCTCCAAAGAGCCGCTTGTTCAAGCTCGCTTTCGGTCTAATCCATCGTATCCATGAGTTCTATCCAAACCTATCCGAGCCCATCCACACGATCCAAACACGTACGGCGTCGGGTGCGGTGCGACAAACGGCTGAAACTCGACCATCTCGGGTGCAATCTGGGTGAGCTTGACGCACGCCGACGTTATGAGGCGGACGCCCGACATGACCCAGAGCCACTCGAGGCTCTCGCGCACTCCGTGCCGTGGGACGAAGTCGACGAGGAACGTCTTGGAGTTGCCCGCCAGCAGCGGCGCCACGAACTGCGTCAACGTACAGCTCCGAGGCACTACTGCCGGTTGGGATGGCGCCTCAACGCTGGTTTCAAAATCAACGAGGTCGTCAAATAGCGTGAGGAACTCGGCCTGCTCCTTGGCCGCGAGCTGGCGCCCGAGGTCGACGTAGTGGAGGAGGCTGAGCTCTTGGCCCGCCGCATTGTAGACAGCAAGACGCACGAAGACATGTGTGTCGTCCTCGAGGCGATGGTTGGCGCGCGGACCAAAAGACGTGCGTAGCAGCGCGAGGGCCTGTGCCACGCTGCTTACTTGCATGGTCGTAAACTGAATCGGGCCGTCGGGCGGTGCGTCCGTGCCCACGAGGTCTTTCAAATGGTCGATGACCGTCTCGGCGGCGATGCTCCAGCAGCTCAAGCCAACGCGGTACACGGTAGCGTCCACCTAGATGTGCAGAATCATTAGCAGGGTCGTTGGGTTGTGCGTACCTCGGTTAAGAGCTGGAAGAGGATGCCGCCGATCTGGCCGTACGCAGTGAGCGCCGACTCGATCGACTTGATGGCCTCGGGTGCAATGTCGCAGGCGCCGAGCGTGAGCGCGCGCTTGGCCTCGGCGCGGCCGTAGCAGAGCACACTCGTGTTGTAGCCGTCGCGCACGACTTGCTCGACGGGCGACGAGACGGCGGCGAAGAGGTGCGCTGCGCGAAACCCGACGGGAAAGACGCCCGAGAAGGCGAGCTCGCGCGGGATGGTCGACGCCTCGTCGCCGAGGAGCGACGCGTCGAGGATGCGGAGGAGCGTCGGCGGCGCGGCCTCGAGCGCTGGCGGGCGACTCGCGCCAGCGTCGGCGCAGACGCAGCAGTAGCTGCCCATCTTGCTCATGCCCACGGGCTCGGCCATGCGGCAACGGTTCCCAGAATCCAGAGTCCGGAGATTACACCGTTTCATGGCAGTATCCGGAAAAAACGAAGTTGAAGTTGAACTTCGTTGCGCTTTGCCGAGTGGCGCCAGCCCCATGAGCTGTAGAGCTCACGCGGGTCGCCACCGCCGACGATGGGCTTCCGAAATCAAGCGAAAATGGCGGGATCCAAGTCGGTACCACTGTCCTGGCTGCGCGTCGAAGGTGCTGGAGTGTGTTCGAGACGCATTGGTCGAGGTAGATGCCTTGATGCTGCATGTCGGGGATGGATGCACGCCGTGTGCCAAGCAAGTGTTCGTATCGCACGAAGAAGAGCACCACGAGAAGAGCTGTATTGGTAGTTGTTTACGCCGTGAGGAGACATCATGGGTCCCTCTCACGGCTACTCGGCGTGATATGCGTCAGCTTGGACCATACGATACTGATCACAATATCTCGTCGTGGTGTGCGAAGCCGTGCCGAAATGCCGCGTCATCTTGATGAAAACTACAATACCCTTATAAAGAGCCAAGGACCATTGTTTGCGAATCTTCGACAACCCGAGTGCTGAGGCATGGAGACACGTCTCGAGCGATGACTTCCCAACGCTACCAGAGTGACGAAGACGGTGGGAGTGATCTGGTCGTCGTTGATTTCATCAATCGTCGACGCCATGTACTACGTAGAAGCCTCCCTCACACGGCAGGCATGTCTTTGCATGTGCTCTACGATCTGAGAAAATATATATCACAGTGATCATCTGCAGATCAGAATCCATCCTCCTACGTTGCTTATCTTTGCTCGGACCGAGCCACAACCACTGCATGAGCTCACATTGCATTTGACCGCACAGCATGCCCGGAGCCAGCTCGCCCTGTCAAGTGTCCATGAAGGCGATCAAGCGCAAGCTGCAACGACGCAACCGGGAGCGCTACCTTGAGCTGCGCGCGACGCTTACGCAGCAGATCCTCGAGCTCGAGGACGTCATTGAGCTGCGTCGCGCGGTCCCCGCCCTTTCGTGGCGCGACGTGGCCGACGAGCTGCGCTGGGAGTGCGCCCACAGCTGCCTCGAAAACTTGCAGCTGCGGCACCGCGTCAACCAGTGCGATGGTCTTGTCGCTGCTTTGAACCACGTCCACGGCGTGACCGCTCTATCACACTACCCGTAGTCTGCTCGGTGCTCCATGTTGCGTGACGTGCTCAATGTCTCTTGAGAGCGATGCATAAATTCGTGCGTGAATTCATAGTGTGTCTCGTATTTCTTGGCTCGTGGGCGCCAGTGTGAAGAGAGTCCCATCCATCGCCGTCTCTCGAACGTTCGAGTAGCAAGGAACTATTTTCTCGCATGTATAGCTCGCGCCGTGTGCTCTCTATCACACCACCCAAATTGCGCTGGTACCTTTGAAATAGTTCAACACGACCAATATAAGAAACGCATATAAAAAGCGTCCGACAGACTCTGTCGTTTTCACGCTGCGGTCTGCACCCTCCATTTTGCTTTGTGCTTTTTGCATAATGGAGCGCGCTCGTCGTGATATACGAATGGAGGTTGAGATCGACTCCGACATCCAAAGCACCGAGGTTAGGAGGTTAGGAGGCAACCTCACAGTATTTAAGATAGAGTGAGGCAGACCACCGATCTCAAATAGTGTACGATCACCAAGATGATCACAATTATCAGTACACAGGTGCATCAGCGCCACGTAGCAGCCGTGTATACCTCTCCACACACTTCTTGTACGTCGTACTTGTCGTTTCTGACGCTGAACGCGGCGTAATCACACATAAATCCATTGTTTGATTTTCGAGGTGGCGGCATGCTTGCCAAAATACTATTCGTGACATCGTGGGGTTTGATAGCTCCAAGGACCCCAATTCTAGGTGCCACAGTTGGTGATGGATCTCGAGCCAGGCTGCGTCCAGTTTGTTCGGCCACGTCGTTCCTAGGGCGCTCACACCAAACTCGTACTGCCGAGCGTTGGCTTTTACGAAATTTGGCCAGCAATTCGGTTGAAAATGCGTTGAAATCGCGGAAACTGAGGACGCCATCTCGTTTATTGCTGTTCGAGAGCGTGTTTCGTGTGGCCGAGGGAGGCAAAGGGCGCGCGATATGCTGCGCGATGAGGCCTGGTTTGCACGAGTACAGTATTTCGGTTAATCAAAATCACACTATATCATGTGTTGGGTCGCCGCTGTCATTTCCTCTCGCTACAGATCTCGCACGGCGACGGTACATAGCATTTTGCGCTCGCCAAAGCGCCATCTAGCACTCTGGCGAGTATGGGCGATTTCATTTTTAAACTGAATTTTGGTCAATGCGCCGACGCGGCGAGCCTGCGTTCGCCCAAATATGGTTATTTATGGTTGTAAATGGCGAGCGCCAATAATAAAGGCCACGACGCCGAGGCTCCTTAAGCATCACTGACGCGTGGCATCGTGCTCGAGGAGACTTCGTCAACATACTTTGCGTACACGCCATCATTGATTTCAACGCAAACACGTTTGATTGATTGATTGATTGATTGAAACGCCATCATGAGGTATGTCTCTCGGTCGCAATGCGGTATTGCTTGTCGATTCCCTCGGGGACTTCAACAATAGTCGTTCGTCGACGACGGCTACCTACAGACGCGCAGGTGCGCAGAGCCGACGGACAGCAAGGCATACCTTAGGAGGGCACGAGACGCAGGTGCGGCTTGAGGAAGTCGTACATAAGCATAAGGCTGGCAATGAGCACGGGAGAGATCCTCGCGCCGACGCCGGCTTGAGTCTGCTGGACTTTAAAGCGAGACGGCGCAATGCCATCGGTATAAGCGAGCGAGCCGCACTATGTTGCCGTTGGTGTACGTCAGCACCGGCCCATAGACACTGCTCTATTCTTTGCTGGATCACCGACCTCGTCCCTTCAAGTTGCCTACCGAGCACTCTAGTCCTCCTAGCACCGTCTTGGTTGCAATGCTCGCATACAATTAGATGGGGGATACATGTCATTGCCATTCATTGAACGCTAATTAGGCCGTAAAGGTGTCGATGGACCACTGCTGGTTGGCGTTGTTGGGGGTGCATGCCCACATCTGCGCGTGGCGATCGGCGTACGTCGGGTCGGCGTCGAGGCACTGGCCAGTGTGCGTCGCGTGCTCCAGCGTCTTGGTGGTCGGGTTGAAGTTCCACTTTTGGTTGCCGTTGTTGACGTCGCAGGCCCACGTGTGCACCTGGACCTTGCCGTTGGCGTCCTTGAAGGCGTCCAAGCACTGGTTGTTGCTGGCGACCTTGAACATCTTGTTGGGTTGGTCCCAAACAAAGAGCTCGTTGAAGTTGTTGGCGGGCGCGTTGGCAAAGAGGTTCGAGTAGTACTCGCTCAGGCGCTTGCCCTGCGACGTGACCGTCACGTACGTCGGCTTGGCGGCTGCGCACTCGACGAAATACGCCGGCGACTGCCCGCCAAAGTTGCACGAAGTGAGGCCGACGACGGCACCGCGGCTCGCCGGCTCGGCCTTCAGGCACAACCCCCCGCGCAGCGCCGAGACGCGCTCCTTCTCGATGGTCCACTGCTGCATCTCGCTGTTGCCGTTGCAGGGCACGGTGTGCACAGCACCCGGCCACGGCGTCATGATGGCCTCGACGCACTGGCCGTTGCTCTTGGCGCGGAGCGTGCGGTCCGTGTTGTTGTACAAGAAATGTTCGTTGTCGTTGCCCCGGTGCACATCCGTGTAGAGCTTGCTGCTGTACTCGGACAGCGTCAGGCCCGTGCCCGTGCAAAGCTCGACGTCCTTGGTGCGCGGCGGCATCGGGCTCGCGCACGGCGAAAGCAGGTCCCGGCCAATGTTGACGTAGTAGCCCTTGGCGAGCGAGACGTCGCAGTTGGCGGCCGGCGTCCCGACGAGCCGCTGGAGATCATTGCACGTCGGGTAGTCGCCGTAGCAAATGGCGTTGTGGACACCGGGGGACCCGATGCGAGGCACCGAGTTGACGTAGTGGTCGCTGTGCGGCTGGAGCGCGTCGGCGCAAGTGTACAAGGCGGTGAGGACATCCCTCGTGCAGTCGACAAAGGCGTGCGACGAGGCGGCGAGCAGAGGGAGCAGGTAGATGCACTTCATCGTTGGCAAATTGCAGAATGATGAGAATGCAAGGTCCATATAAAAGTAGATACGGACACCGTCATCCTCCAAATTTGTGGATGGCCTCTTGCAGCGGGGACAGCCTTCTTTGCGTGCGGTCGTTGCGGTGTCGCAGACGGCCGGCGCGGCAGCCTCACAGTTTCTGCAACCGCACCGGTCGTACGACTACACATTGGGTCAAGATGTAGTTCAACCAGTCGCTTCCGTGTCGATCCGCGCAGTGACAGTGCCAATCGACACGGCGGTGACGCCTTTCGGAAACGACACTATCAGGTTAGAGTGCATGTGTTTTGGCGGAACGTTCGCAGAAAATGGATTTGCTCGTTGCTTTTGAAGACAGCTTTTGAAGACCTGTTTGAATTCATTCAAGATGTCGATCTACTGGAATGCGAGAGGACAGGACGGTCGTCTTGAGCCAGACGCCGCACGCAGCAACGTGTAGAGCGATTGTACCGGGGTCAGCTCCGGGATACGGAATGTGCATGCGGCTCGGCAAGAATCGACACGTCACTGACGGGCTTTCGTCCCAGGCCACGAGATGATCGCCGTCGCTGCGAACCTTGCTGCTGCCCGATTTTCGCCCCGTGCGAAGCTATGCAGCTTTGCTCCGGATCGCGACGCCTGCAAGGACTTACGAAATGTGTCATCATGGCTTGGTAACTAGCAACGCCAGGCAACTGCTGGCGAGCAAGACGAGCCGCCGCCCGCGTAACCACATACCGGCGAGCTCGCGATGGAGGAGGAGATTACTTGTTCCAACGCTGCGCATACTTGGTAGCTACAAAGTATAGCGCTCGCACATCACAACACTGCTGCTAAGGGCTCACTGATACATGGATATATTGATAGATCGATGTTACAATGGAGCGCCACTGGTTGAGCAATCCGGGCTTTGTCCAACGTTCATGTAAATGTGTCTGAGCGCGATGACATCAACTGGCGAAAGAAAGAGCTCAACCGCAGCATGAGCCAAGTGCGCTAGTCGGTCGAGTGGAACTTGGGTCGCATGAAAACGCTATGGGCAAGCCTCCAGTTCACACCGCAACAAAAGATCATGCTTACTCCCGTCGGCAAGATTGTCGAGGTCGCGATGTTCCTCACTCACCTCAACTGCTGCTGTTGCGGCGGGAATCAAACCTCCGACTTCTTTAATCTAGTGCCTCCGACACTTGAAGAATACTTGTCCCGTTAACGATGTAATAGTGGACGAATTGATGCTTTGAAACATCGTGTTCAGTCGAGTTCATCCCAACGCTTAAGCATCAGCTCCAGTTCGAGGATCCGCGTCTCTAATTTTGCTCCGTGTAGCCGGTACCGACGCTCCTTGCGACGCTCGGCGGCCCCTCGCTCGGAGCGTGCCTCCTCTCGTTGGCGCTGGCGTTCGGCCAAGTCTTCCTCGAAATGGAGGCGCTGGAGCGATTCGGCTTGGAGCTCCTTGGCGTTGTCGGACTCCCGCTTCAAGAACTCGAGCACACTCGCGTCGGCGTTTTGTCGTGCGGGCGGATCCTCGGCCTTGCGCTTCGTGCACGTCGTCACGGCACGGTCGCGAACGAGTTGGCCGGCGGTCTCGGACTCGTTGTTCTGGGTTTTCTTTTCTTCACTCTTCTCTGCCACCTTGACCTTTGCTTGCGCGAATTGCTGGGTCAGGTCGTCAAGTAGCATGATCTTCTCCGTTGCGTCCTCGTCCGACTTCGCTGCAGCCCCTTTGTTGGATACTTTGTGGGCTTCGAGGAGAGCGCTGAAGCGGTTCTGGATCTTCTTGGCATCGACGTCGCGAGTAAACTCCTCGCATGCCATGAGCGTATTCGCTACTTTTGCCCAGGCCATACGAAGCCGGCCGTGATGCTGGGCGAACGGGCGGTCGGCTGAGATCTGCCACAGTAACATGACGTCCTCTTCGTCGTTCCAATTGCGCCACCTTGTTGTCTCCATCCGGCCCGCGTCTGTTGTCTCCAAGGGAAGAATTCCCGTGGTCGTCTCCGCGTCTGATGACTTTGTGAAATGACCGCGCGCGCAATTTAATAAAAAAGCGCCAAACGGAATAAAAATACGTTGTAAAAAGGCGTCGCAATAGCAGCAATAATTTCCGGCAGCATCGGATTCGCATGATCGAATGTCACAGGTGGGCCGCCCACGCATTATTTCTCGGAGGTTTGTTTCGTTGTTGAAATGGGTCAATTAATGGCAAAGTGCCGTTCAATTGGACACTTGGCGCTTACTGGCTAATGCTCTATTGAGAATCAATATCCTGTGAAATCAAATACGGACCATGGAGATAGGATGGCAAAGGGTACTGAATTGCATTCTATTGCGTCGGGGCGCGTCAGGCCGCGCGGTCCGCGCGGTTGGCGCAGCGCCAGCCACCCAAGCCGTCGCCGCCGGCGTCGCTGCTTCCGGCATGGAGGCTAGAAGACGCATCTTCGCAGCGCAGTCCGCTGGCGCTCGCTCGCACAGCCAGCACGTGTCGCTTCTGCTCAGACCACCGCGCGTGCCACTGCTGCCGACGCGCTGCCTGGTCGCCACCACGTAGCTACCTCCATCGCCTGAATAGGTGCCCACGACGCTTGCTAGTATAGAATCAAGCTAGATGCGCCAGCGCGGTGATTCCGCGGCAAGGCTACACTGCGCTGCGAACACCAAGCGACACGGCACTGCCGACACGTTGTCGAGTTGCACCCCATGCCCTCATCGACTCTGGTACATTTACCCGGTATGTCCATTAGACAGCGATCTCCGTAGCGCACTCGTATCAAGTCTTATTCGCGAGTGTAGCCATCTCATTAACTTATACATGCAATACTATCCGATATCCAGCGGCTTCAACCGCCTCTCGTTGTTGCTTTGTCGTTATCGCTCGACCTCGCCGCATTGGCGCGCCTTCGTTGAACGCACGTTTGCTGCTGGGCTCGTTCTCAGCGCAGGTCGTGTGCGGCGCGGGTCGACGAGCCAGCTATCTGTCGCGAGCCGACGATGATCGATGTCGAAGCGCTCGCCGACGGCCGCGATCAACCCTTGCGCAGGTTGGACAATGCGCTACCGAGCAGAACTGATGTGAGCGAGCAAGCACAGGCAGCATGATGTGCGTCGCTCTATGTACCTTGTGCGATCGGCTCGTCGCCTCGGCAGCTGTCCGGCGCTGTCATGCGCGGCGTGGCGTCTCCTCGGGTGCCACCGCTAGTCATGCTGCGAGCGAGAGTAGAGCGGGAGGCGACAACGCATCGGGCAACGTATACTTCCACGTTGGTCACTTGCTGCGGTCGAGAGGCGTCTTGGGGCGCAGCTTGTGCAAGGACGGTAGCGTGGCCTCCCGCTCTTCCCACGAGCGCGTAAGAAAGTCGGAAAGAAATCCGCCATCGTCGTCCATTCTACAGATAGCATGTGAGAGATAGTACATCGCATGTGGCTCTCTTGAGAGCAATACGTACGAAGGTATCATGCCTCGCACGTCTGCCTGAGTAGCCGCTTGCGCTTGCGGCTGGTGCACTTGCGGCGCGTCTTGTCCACTAGCCACTTGCACTTGCGGCGGGTGCACCTGCGACGCGTTGTCATCTTGTCTGCGGCCTTCGTTCCTAGGCATGGCATTGGCGCAAGTCGAGAGATAGCCGGCGACGTACAAGTACTTGCCCGGGTTGAGCTTCCAGGCACAGAGCGGTGTGTGGCGTCCCGGCTTGCCGCAATCGAAGCACACGTCCTGGCTCTCCCGGTTGATGCGGCGCTTCCCGCGCCCCTTCTTGGACAGGTACATGGTACCGGGCGGCAGGTTTGATTTCTTCTTCAGTGCACGCCTCATTGAGGATACTGTGATGGATTCGGTAGTACGGCATGTTAGCACGGAGTATTTTTCAATCCATACGCAATCCGCTCAAATATTATCAAGTCATACTCATTTCATGACCAATATTATCAATGCATACTCAACGCATCTGATTGGCCAAAATAGACCAAATAGTCAACTCTGATTAGACAATACTCAAATAATCCAAGGAGCCTAGCACAGTCGCTACAACCCAAATAGTGTTAGCCAATACCAAAAAACGCAAATAGAGTATGTCGGACCGCCGTTTCAATGTGGGGCTCAAATTTCGAAGTGAGACCGACCATCCCAGACAA